TATTACTAAAGCTGCTGGGTAACGAAACTTAATGTCACTAAGACAGAAACATATCAACATAACCCCAACTATTACATTTCTACAAAACATTATCAACTCTATTACAATACCATAAAGTTCAGACTGTAACTTTTCTACTGTTAACATAACGCCTATAAAAAAAATGTGTAAATTTAGTACAAATATATGTTTACTAAGTTGCTGGGTAACTGAGCTTAACAACTATCTTGTTTTTACACAGAAAACAAACATTTACACATTTTAATGGCGTCGTTTAATAACACACACATGGAAACTAAAGTTGCTGGGTAACTTAGCTTAATAGTAATTTTACTGTGTGTGTAAAATTGTAAACAATTGTGAAATCACCACATTCGCGATAGCAAGCTACACACACATGCAAAAATCGCTGTATAAATATTTTATAAAAAAAATGTGACATCGTTCAAATATTGCACACATGCACGTCTCCAACACACACATATAAAAATCGCTGGGTAACGAGCTTAAAAAATGTTTCATTGTATATAAATGTGACATCATTCAAATATCGCACACATGCGCGTGTCCAACACACACATGCAAAAACCGCTGGGTAACGAGCTGAATGAATGTTACGTAGCCACTGTATAAAGGTTTTAAAAAAAATATGATAATATCGTGCAAATACACTCACACATATAAACACTTACTACACACACGACACACATGCAAAAATTGCTGGGTAACGAGCTTAATGAATGTGTCGCAGCAATTATTGTATAAACATTGTATAAAAACGTGATAACATCGTGCAATATACACATATTACACATACATACACAGGTTGATACAAAAGTTGCTGGGTAACTGAGCTTCAATACTGTATGACGCAGTTTACTCTGTGTAAACGTTTATTTAAAAGACTAATTGTTAGGCGCGGCTTGGCCTACGTGGTAGAGAAGTAACTACAAGCACAGGGTAAAAGAAAAACGGCCATTGTTAAGACAACAAGGCTAAATATTACGATAGCGCCATCTACAGACATTTCTGTATACAGATGAGAACTACACTTTATGTCTATAGTAATTAACTCGTCGAGTACCGGTTATAGAGACACAATTAAAGAACAATAGGTCGCGGTCACCGGTGACCGCTTGGTGTTTGACAGTTTAATAATAAACTGATTGAATAAAATTTATCGAATCAGCAGCTGTAGCCAAATTCTATTTAGCCACAGATTTATTAATTAGCGCTTGTCTACTTGTACAGTAGAAAATCAAATTATATGGAATTGACGTAAATTTTGACACTTGTCAGTGTCATCCCCATACATTTAGTTTTCTACTCTCTCGGTAGACGATTGCGCTAAAGTGGCGTTTGGCTAAAGGCACAGATTATACAAGAATTAACGACATTATGTTTACCCCGTGGGCTGTGAACAGTTTTGAAAAGAATTTAAACAAAACAGTTTAGAGATAAACACGAAGTAAAAATTATTCACGAAATAAAGTATAATTTCCTGTCGAACTCCGGTCAATTCAATAGAACGACAAACAAACGCCCATTCAAATATACAATATTAGTATAAAATTACGAACAGCGATATCACACACACATTTACACACTTACAGACAATGCTACTGAAGATGCTGGGTAACTGAGCTTAATGATTGTGTTACGTTATAGTGTAAACGTTTGTAGAATGTACTAAGTTTTACCCGTGGTTTTATCTGCAGAGCGAACAAGTGCCCGTCTACAAGACAAGTACACTGCACTCCTTCATGTTGATGAAGGATAAATACCTACTTATAATAAATGTTCCTTTCCTGAATCGGAAACATTTTTTAAGAGTTTTCAGAGCACAAAGTCTGTAACTTAGTCAGTACACAGATAGCCATGTGGCGAGAGTCTCGCACCCTATAACATAATATGTTTTTATAGTTAAAAAAAAACATTTGTGTTGTAAACCTAACTTAAATTATTTAGTTTAAAGACTTCAAAGACAAAGAAATTCTTTATCAATTATCAAAATTACTAACTATTCTTTGTATTTGAAATCATAATATTATTTTTTTGTTTAATATTAATAATTTAAGCTCAGAATTTATAATGTTTATTATCTAATAACCATATATCAATCGAATTACTAAATTAAACTCCCATCTTGCAAAATTTAAATCCACAGATAAAATAAGTTTACTGTGCATCTCCATACAAACAGTCGATCTGTTTCAACGAACAAATACACATTCAGATTTACAAGTTTAATATCATATTTAATTTATATTGTAGTGGGAACACTGATAACACCGTTCAAACACTACACACACGTAACTCCATACAAGGCTACTATACTTGCTGGGTAACGAGCTTCAATACTGTATCATATGATACCGGTAATGCAAACACAATGTACTAGTTGATACCCGTGACTTCGCCTACATAGAGAAGAAATAAAAATTCTCTTATGCCATGTATGATCTATTCTCTGCTAAGAACTCTATTATAATAACATGGGAATAAAGTAATCTTATACTATTATATAAAGCAGAAGAATTTGTTTTTTTGTTTGTTTGTTTGAACGCGCTAATCTCCGGAACTACAAGTCTGATTTGAATAATTCTTTTTGTGTAAGATAGCGTATTTATCGAGGATGGCTATAGGCTATAAAAAATCACGCTACGATCAATAGGTACTGAGCAGAGCGTGTGAAACCGCGCGGAAGTAGCTAGTAATAAATATAACGTAAAGAATAATACATTGTAGCGCCATCTATGATTAACCGTCAGTCAGCAGAACTAGTATAGCAATACCTGATATTATCCCAAGGCACTAACTGCGATACTCAGAGCCATTTAATGATTACTTAAACTATTCCTTAGTTACGATTTTGTTCCGAAAATGATTGCTAAGGACTGGATTAATTAGCCATTAAATTACTCTGAATACGGCGGTTAGACAATGATACTAAACGGCGAGTTCTAAAGAACTATATCGAATCAATCTTATACTCTATATTGTCATGAAAGAAAGACGGATAAACATACAGTCACATTTACTACAGTACTACTGAAATATAAATACTGATAACAGCGTTTAAACACACACACATTCAACTACAAGGCTCCTAAACTTGCTGGGTAACTGAGCTTCAATACTAATTACTTTGACGCTGTTTACTCTGTGCAAACATTAAAACAATACCTGGCTGTCACTCATTGTGTCGCCAACAGGATAAAAATAAGAAAAAATATGAGTGACATAGGTAGGTACCTACTACCTATGAGGGAAATGGGAATATATTAATGGGTGAGGAAAACTATTATGTTAACAATTGATCACCAAAAATTGTAGTGTTTAAAAATCCTAATTGAAAAATATAATAGACGCACTACTCGCCCATAGAATTTTCGAAAGTTCCCCTCGGTTTCCCTAGGATCCCATCATCAGATCCTGACCTCATGGAAATGGGACCTTCTCGGGAGTATACCCTTTCAAACGAAACAAGAATTTTGGTAATCGGTTCACAAATGACGGAGTACTGCGCGAACAAACAAAAAAAAAACAATCAGCCGAACATAGTACCTCCTCCTTTTTTTGAAGTCGGTAAAAAAATACACATACACATGTATTACTTTTTCGAGTAATAATATCCCGTGATGTAAAAGTCTCTATCACTCCAGCCAATGAACAATACAAAGGTAAAACATAAAAACTGTGTTTAAAAAAATCGACTTCAAAACTTTTACTTTTAATCTTTACCTTTTGTTTGAATTTAATTTTTTGTTTTTGTTGTCTCTTTATCTTATTAATCTACATAAAATCAAAATTATTCAAGAAGTTCTACTATCTATGTATTTAGTAGAAAGAATTAGTTAGACTGACAGAAGCAGAAAAAATCTGACAAAACTTATGACGTAGTATCACCCTTAGCGGGCAATGGAGGCTTCCTAATATAAAAGTTTCTTAACCAAATATACAACAAAGTAGACGAAGATAATTTATAATCTGTATCTTACTGATGATAATGATTTAATGTATTGTAGTTCAAAGGCTTATGGATAAACAATTAAATGTGTAGTAGTATTGTTGTATGTAAATCTTTGACAATTGATATCTGGAACATTATTTATTTCAGAAGGAATCTTCCAAAGGATTTTCAATTGGAATAATTAATGGACCTCTTTGATTAGAATAGATATAGAAAAGGTAATTAGACAGGAATTGTTTTTTTGACAGGAATTGTCTTATCAAGCCATTTAAAAAAAAAAATATCTTAAAAACTAAAATTAAAAAAAAACCATAAATGTTCTGTTTCAGATCTTTTAGTGAAATTAATCATCAGATCCTGGAACCAAAACACAAAATGTAAGTAGTATATAAATAGAAGTCTACGTAAGTTTAGTAATTACTGTTAGAGTAAGCAATAATATCTATATTTATTTAATCAAAGACACATGACAGAGTCGTGTGAAAAAACTGAAACATTCCATTGCAATCGTAATTAGGTAGTCCCTATGGACATAAATAAACTAATTTAATTTTACACACTTATCAGTTTATGAACTCTGTAAATATAAAAGAAATATTTGCACTAAAGCCTATATTGAGTCTTTGTTAACACTCACACTTAAGTTTTCTAAAGATATTTCGTGTAAACATTTTTGTTAAGGAACAAAATGTGTTACGGAAAAATGTAAACACAGAGTTTGTGGATAGTTGCAAGTCATAGTTATCTCATGAAATGTATCTGAGAGTATCTGCCATCAACCCACATGGTTCTACTATCAGTATTTGATTTACTTCAAACTATATTTAAGCGTGCACCGGTCCACGACCGCCATTCCACTGTTCGCCATTCCGTTACCGATACGCGGCAAAAAGGAGGCTACTCCGGCTAATAAAAAAAAATCGTAAACAATTATCACAGACAACTAAAATTAAAACTATTAACAAAAAAAGTATTCCCTTAAAAGTTCCTAATTCAAAAATATTAATCGTGTTTTGTATTCTAAAAAATGGCGTTCGCCGTTCCAGACAGTATTTCAAAGAAAACTACTTTTGAAGATGCCTTGGACCTCACAGGTGAGTGATTAATTTTATAATAAAAAAAAATTGAGATTTCTCAATCAAGTCTATTAAAATTAGTCTATTAATCGTGTTTATAAACTTCGTGTATGGTGTAAATTTGTATCGATAATATTTTAAGTAGTATGTTTTTATTACTGAAAATAACTGTCATTCGTGGGCCAGTGGTTATAAATATTTAATTGCCTACAAATGAAAATGACTAACAATTTGAGATCCTCCATTTCGCCTCTGACGTAAAAATAATCCTAACTCTAAATCTGTGCTTCAAGGTTGAGACTCGCGTGTTTTTAATTCGGAAAATTCAGTGCTATCTGAAAGTCTGAAAGATTATTATGCATCTGGCAAATAGGTACTTTTAAAAATACTTAGGGAATTCATAGGGCCGCAGACGTTTCAGAAGTGCGAAAAACATAACATAAGATCACGCCTTTTATCCCCGAAGGGGTAGGCAGATTACGGCACTTAACGCCACAGTACTATGTAACTCCCACTTTTTACTATGTTCCTATGTTATAAGTCCCATGTAATAGGGGGTGAGCTTATTGCCCCGGACACAATTCCCGATTTCATGCTACTACTGGGATTATTAAGTGCTAAAAAGAATACTTAAAATAATTAAAAATGTATATTGTATGTGAAAAAATATCCTACCTCATGTTCAGGAAACGAATACAGATAAGTAAATTAGACAATTTACAAAATTATCACAAACAGACTACTGTAAATTTCATTTATGTTTAGATTTTCTAGACATAGTTTTTTACATTATTAACTTTAAATCGTTCCTAATCATGCCTAGGTAAGAATTTTCAAGAAAAATCTAGTAATATTTAATAAAATTGAAGTTTATTTTCAGTGTTCCATTTAAGCACGAAAGAGTAATTTAATAATACATAATGGAAGTATATTGAAACATCTAAAAATATCAAAATTTTCGTCTCGATTTTTCTAAATTTTGACAAAAAATACAACCAAAGATACCAAACCGGCGATAGAAATAATGTAAATAGTATTGTAGTACCTACCTAATAGATTACGTCATTCAATTCGTATAAACAAAAACATGCTCACATGTTTTCAACAGTCCGAGTAACCAATCTATTCTAATGTAATCAAACTAAAGAGTGCGTTTGAAACAATTTTCCGAGTAAAAGAGCAACTTTCGACAATAGCATAGTTAGGCGTTCAAGCTATCTAAAACATTTTTTAAGTGTTAAGCCGGTAAACGAGTTGACGATCACCGGATCACCTAGTGGTAAGCAATCGGCGTCACCCATGGACGCCTGGAACACCAGAGGCGTTACAAGTGCATTATCGGCCTTTTGGGATTAGGAATTTGAGGATTGTTGGGGATTCAGAGATTGGGGAAAGGGGGGAGAGTAAAGGGCCTTCGGTAACCCCACTCACACGACGCAAAACAACGCAAGCGTTGTTTCACGTCGGTCTTCTGTGAGGCCGAGGTATGACTCCGGTCGAGCCGGCCCATTTGTGTCGAAGCATGGCTCTCCCACACTTGAAAAATCATCCTCTAATGTTAAGGAACTGAGTATCACCAGTCCATTAGTCCTAAACTAGGTACCTGTGTCAACAACGCACTTGAATTTCTCTGGTGACCAGTGTCACAGTATAAACATGGATCAGTTTATCAGTATAAACATGGATGGCGCTAATCACTTCACTTGAAGTAGCTAAATGAGTTTGATGATCGTGTGCTGCGCTCTATGATGCTCTGAAATTGGAAAAATATTAGCGTAAAATTTTTAATAAAAATTTCCGTCATCAAGTTATTAAGTTACTAAGTAGTCCTGCCTAACCCACAAAAGCATAAGTGTAGTGAATATCAAATTTAATTTTATATATCAAATCAATCACGATTCCTTTGATCTATATTATTAGCTATATCTACATTTTACTACAATATCAACAGTACAAAGTCAAACCCAAACTCAAAAGCATTTATTTCAATTGAACCATAATTTGGTACTTTTGAAACGTCAACAAATATAAAATTAATAATAGTCTGTCAAACTGTCCGTCGGTGAAATAAATAATAGTACGTCAATCTGTCCGTCGGTGAATATTGTGAACAAATACAAATTAATTATTCAATTATGCTCATAGTACAATGATCTGAAAATTCAAAGACTATAAAACATGAATACTATCAATACTCCTTCGTGAGCTATTCTCTAATGAAATCTTTTGTAGAAGGAACAACATGTGAGAATGCACGTGATAGTTACTAGTGGGTACATACTGCAACATAGGCCACGTGGCTTCAATCACGACTGTAAAGAAATAAAGAGAATAATGAAATCAATAGTACTATTAATGTGAAAGTATTTACATGACTTAAATGTACGTACGGTTAAATTGAAACGATTTGCATGAAGAATTCAAAACTAATTCATAATTATCAATTGGCGAAAATTTTAAGGAATAACATGGAACGCATCTATATAATTGTAATTGGAACTAGAGGTAAATACCGTTTAAAATATACTGGTCTTTGGAGTGCAAAAATGTATTTGTTTGACGATAAAAATTAAATAACTATACATCTAAAATTTCAAACATTAATTTCTTAATCTTTAAAGAAAAACATCACCTGCCTCTTGTTTTGTGAAGTGCAGAATATGACTTCTCATTGTAATCTCTTGCCTTAATTTTTTTATGCCACGACGATGTCTAAAACTTACTGAAGTTTCTTTAAAGAAGAGTATATTATAACCTCTTAATATCATTTGAACAATTCTTTTCACTATACACCACACCGCACCGTAATGATATCATCTCTATTGAAGTCTATAATGAATATCACAATCCAATGTCAACAATTAAAGAAATCAATTATAGACGAACAATCTCGTCAATAAATAATTTTCTAGAATGACAAAGGAGTGTCACTTATGAAAGTAGATGCATTACTTATTAGCGCTGTAGGAAAACTACACATTTTCCATTAATACATCGAATTAATGACGACCAATCATCTATCAATCATATCTACCAAATAAGTACCAACTTATTTTTTATTGCACAACATTGTGCAACGAACAAAAGTTGTTTAAAAACTGATTTTATTTGGGATTTTAACTGATTGTGGAGCTTTGATTTTCGAAAGAACTCAGTTATAGAGTAATAGCAGAGAATCTGAAACACGTCATCACAACATGGGCCTAGACCCGACCCCGCTGTCGCGGAGAACCTAACGGGTAACCGGGGCTCCGGCTCGACGTGCAGGAGTAGGAACGGGGTGGGTTTTAGTCAGTAAGAGTCTGACACTCCCTCCCGCCTCACCCAGGTGGGAGCAGTGATTTTCCCCCCTTAAAAGAAAAGATCCGAACCTGCTATGAGGACAGGAAACTTAATTTAATGGCTCGATAAACGTTTGTTACTCTTTGAGGCAAAAACCACTGAATGGATTATATCCTGGGATTACATGCCTATGCGCCATTTTTATCCAGGGTTTAGACAGGCGACGCCGCTGCCAGGAGCCAATAAGAAGAGTAACTGGCCAACTCCTTTGACTTATTTAAAAGATGACACATTAAATTGTCTAAGTAAAAAATCATCAACATAATTAATTAATTATCGGTCATCAAGATTATATCAATAAAAGATTACAACTTACTGTCTATCTGATCGAATATTTATCTATTAAAACGACGTACCATTTCATTAATCGTTATTTGATAGTAAGAACGTTATATAGCGGTACACTTCTTGGAAAACCTGGATCTTACAACTGCAAATTATACTCATAACATTGAAGTCTATAATCCGCCTTGAGCAATCGCTGTGATTAATGCTCATTTCTTCTCCTTGCGAGGATATGCTGCGTGGCTTTATGTTCAGCACTGGGATCTATAGGCTACTGAAGACGATGTAAAGCCAAGAGTTAAACAAACCCGTTTATTTCCCATAACTCTCAAGTTCGTTTTATTTCGAATTATACGAGAGTAAATTGTCGCCAATGAATGTCAATTAAATTTTATCAAGCGCTTGGTCGAAGCAAATAAATCATACGAGTAGTAGATTCGGGAGCTAAAAACTAACTACCAATGTGTCTATTTAAGCTTCATTGCATAGTTTTAGCCATAATAAGCCTTGAAAACAAAGAAAGATGGCGACTGAGTAGAATACATTTGTGACGCTTGTAAAAATGAGACATTGTGTAAAAACCGATCACCAGCGTTGTTTGATGGACCTAATCTTTTTAGCTTCGGTCTCCATATCCGTGGAGAAAATGGCAAACTATCTAATGAAGATAAAGCTTATAGTCTAAGAGATCAGTATCTCTGTTATGGGCTGTTGACACAGATTGTTACTCCTAACTCATTTTTTTTTCTTTCTCCAGGTTTCGGCAAATACAATGTGGGTATGCTGATAACATGCTGCCTGCTGATCCTGGCTATGTACCTGGATATCTTCGGTTTCTCCGTCGTACTACCAGCTATGGCTTGTGACATGTCGCTCAACACCTCACAACAGGGCTTACTGTCTGCTATACCTCTGATAGGTGAGAAATATCAGTATTTATAACTCTATGTAAATGTATTACCGTAAAAGTACAGTACAGTAGTAGCGTAACAGCGATTTTATTAAATGATTTAAAATTACTTGCACCTAACATTTTTAATGTCACCGGCAATATAGAATATAATTATTTTTTTTAATCTCATGTTTAAATACTATAAGTAAACAATAGTTTTCCAGTTTATTAGCACAATTTTCTACAAATTCCAGGTGTAATCCTATCGTCCTACGGTTGGGGTTTATGCGCCGATACAACAGGACGACGAAAAACTATGCTCATAGCAATGCCAATCGGTTTCATCCTCAGCCTTGCAGCTACCATGGCGCCAAGTTTCGCGATAATGGCTGTCCTTAAGTTTCTGTCTGTGTCATTGTAAGTTTATTACTTATTAATTCTTAATTATTCCATAAGGTGCGTAATACGAAAAGTTCTGAATTAAAAACCTACCAATTCGTTTTATTATTTAGCATGGTAACATTGAAAGGAATTGTTAATTGCGTTGGCGCGAAAGTTTTCCTATTCGAACCTATTCACAATAATCTCTTTATTTTTATTTAAATAACTAATTCATAATAGAAGGGTTATTTTTTTACTGATTTACTGTAAATCATTTCTGCACATTTTTAATGTTCCTCATGTGTTTGGTTTCCAGCTCAGCAGCAGCAAACGCAGCAGCATTCGTCCTGTTAGCTGAGAGTGTACCGAGCAGACATCGAAGCCGGTTCATGTTCCTCATGGCCAGCGCTACTATGGTGGTGCAACTTATTATTTGCTGTGAGTATCTTTCATTACAAAATGCTGTAAAATAAAAATAAAAATATTAGAATCCTGTAATAGCGATTGTTTCTTTATTCAAAGTTATTATTACAACACCATAGCAAAAACTTCCAATGCTATCGCATTGAACTAAACAAACTTTACCACACTTTCAAATAAATAAAAATCGTCATCTATAAACATATTACATTTTTCGTTTCCAGCCTTCGCCTTACCCATTTTCACTCTGGACTTCGCATACGAGATCTCCTGGCTAGGCGTGGTGTACAGACCATGGCGCATGTTGATGCAAGTCATCTGCCTTCCATGTGGTCTAGGCGTCTTATTCATGATATTCCTACAAGAAAGTCCCAAGTTCCTCCTCAGCAAGGACAGGCATGATGAAGCGTTAGAGGCCTTCAAGGCTATTTATAGATGCAACACTGGACAAAAGAAGGATAGCTATTCTGTAAGTCGTTTTTAGTTTACGAAATGTTGAATCGGGAATACTAATTGCGGTCAAACCATACCTTAAACTGCCAACACTAAAAATCACAATATTAGGTACATGAATGCTACTAATGCTTAATGATAAAGTTAGTCTGAATCTGAATCTCATTAAAATTTACGATACCAATATTGAAAGGTCAAGTGAATCGTTCATAAAGTTTCCTTATATTCTGCTGAACAGATTACGTATTTTATACATTAATCATGAATTAAATCATTGTAATACGATAAAGGTCTCGTAATTATTATGGCATAGGTACTGATAAATGCACATAATTATACTTATTGGCTACAACCACCTGATTGTTGTCACTGAACGACAAAAAAAATGAAAAAGAACTATTTTCCTCATGTGAAGCAATTAGTGAAAATATGTACATTCTCATTTTTCAGATCATGCACGTGTACCTAGAAGAAGCGTTAGCAGTCAATTCTGCTGAAACCTCAGTGCTAAGGAAGGTGTGGAACCAAACCGCTCCTCTATTCAAGCGCCCTCTGTTGAAGAACTCAGCCATCTTGTACTATCTGCTGCTTACTGCTTACATGACGTGAGTTCATAGTTCACATACAATATAAAGATATGTACATAGTTTCTTGTAAATCCTAAGCAAGAGTTCCAATCAAAGACGAGTTGCATTGAGATTTTTATATTCTCTGTAATAGTCTATTTATTTAGTAAAGTTCAAATGATTTTATCTTTTGAAAATGTATTGGTGGCTCGGAGGTCTAAGACGACCTCTTCTCATGTATGAGAGTGCGAGTTCAAAACAGCAAGTACGAGTGTGACTTTTTCCGAGTTACATGTTCTACCTTCTCCGGGTGAGTCTTCTCAAAGCAAAGCCTCTTGGCTTTGCTCAGCAGTGGGCACTAATAGGCTGTTAATGATGATAAAACCTCCACTCAAAGCTACTCATACTAAAAAATGCTCTGAATTAGAAAAATCAAGACTTATTAAATATCCTATTTACAGATCAACTGGTTTCACCATGTGGGTGCCGACTATGACCAACGCTTATTTCACTGGCGATGAAAGCCACCACGGTCGCACCTTCTGTGAAGTCGCTAGTCAAAGCACGAAGACAGGATCCAGTAATAGCACTGTAAGTATCTTTTATCATTTTCTACGATACATTAATCAAGCCAGTATTTCAAAATCCTGTAAAAATATCAAGACTTGTTCCACAACATCTGTTTGCCTCATTTCAATATTCCGTATTTATAATGCAATATTCTGAATTACCATGACCGAGCAAGGAGCCTGACTGTGATTAGATTTCTAGATCGAATAATAAACTCAAAGTCTGAATGTGTGCTTAATATATAACAACAGAATTAGTCTATAATTATATCTTTTTCTATCTTATAAAATTAGCGATAGCTTAGCCCATCTCGTTGGAAAGTAAAAAGGTTTTGTTAAAAAAATATTTACTTGATTCCGTAAACAAATTCAATGGCACTTCTCTAAATTATATTTCCAATATTTACAGGAATCTGGAAATTGCACAGGCAGCATCGAACCCAGAGCATTATACGCCACAATGATATACTCAGGCGCTTCAACAGTACTGATGATCTGCCTTTCCTTCATCGTGGGCGTCATGGGAAAGAAGAAGATCACCCTCACTGTCTTCATCATATCGTCGACTGCTGGAACATTGCTGCTCTTCATCAAAGTTCCAATGCTAAGCATCGCTTTGTTCTTCGTTTTCCTATACGTTGCTCAAATTCTCGGCAATGTGAACACTTATCTGGTCGAGCTGAACCCTACACATTTGAGGTTCGTATCTTTGAAAATGTTCATTTTATATTATTTCCTATATACTTACATTTCATAAATCAAACTCTAAAACATGTCTTTCTGTTAACGGTAAACTAAGAAAATGCTGAACAGATTGTAGTACAGTTTTCATCAGTAAAGTGGTTCTTAAATAAAGCTTATGTTTGTGATTCCTGAAAGTTGCAGCTATTTAAACATAAAATCCATGTTACGACTTAAAATAACTTTAATCTTTTGACATCTACATGTCTTGGTCTTTTTACTTTCCCAGGGGTATGGCAACGTGTTTGTCTGTGGTAGTGGCCCGTGGTTCTGGATTCTTTAGCGTACAGATCATCGCCAGCCTCCTCGGTGACTACTGCATGCCTATGCTTAGTGGATACGTCGCCTTAGTTATGTGTAAGTATATTTGTTTATATTCCAGTATTTAAAGAAATCATGTTACGGTTGATGTAACTGTGTATCTAGCCAACTAGCCAACGTATCATGAGTTCAATATTCATTTGAAACATCTCTCAGACCTTTAAATTACTGTCCAGAATCTAAGAGTGTTGACACGTTTGACTAAAGAATATCATTAAAGAAGATGAAGTTGTAAAATATCATATTTTCAATTTTCATATAATAATTATTTTCATTTTTGTTACAGCTGGATTCGTAGTAGCAACATTCCTACCATCCGACTCCGAACCAGAAGAACAAAAGAATGAAATAGAAAGAAATGAATCTGAAGACGTTGAGAATCCTAAAGTTTAAGCTCAAGGTTATTTAATATTTTATTATTTTTTATTGTGATCTAACATTTTCCCATACTTGGAAGATTGGATCTATTATTATTTGAATGTCTATGACATTCTTTGTTAGGTTTTTGGACCGTTTTAGGCTCCCGATGTAGATACAGGATAACTACCAAAAACTGATTTTATTAAATAAAGGTTGTTGAATCCTGTAAATGTTATTTAATGCATAAATAAGATGTTTCCAAATATTATTTTCTTTTAACAAATTCTTTACAATTTGTATTAGCATTTGTGCTATTGGTACCATCATAACGATTGACATAATAATTAACCTACTGACAGAAATGTTAAATCTTTGAACGATGTCAATTAACGAACGAAAGTGCGATTTCTTTTTGACTAAACAAACATCTTAATTAAGGAAATGCTCTTTTTGGCACATTTTGAGTAGTAGACAGTGTAAGTGGAGGATTTATAAATCATTGTAGATAGCACAGTCTTTGTAGATAGTTCAGTAGTGTATGCTTTAATATTGTAACTCGAATTTAAATAATTATAACTGTTATTTTGTCTGTAGCAGTACGATTAATGTGAAATGTTAATGAATTGTGAAGACTTGACGAAAATATATTTAATATATTAAATGAATACTTTGTTTTATTTACTTAATTTAGAAAATAATGGAAGCGTTTTACCTACCAATAAAACGCATATTAATTTACTTACCTTATTCGAAGCTTATTTAATTGAGATAGGCCTTCTGCTTCCCTCCTTCCGCTTTTTCTATATGTCTATCTCTTTCTACTACGTCACTTCCACTTGGCAGTGGTGGGGAGGCTTGCTAAGAGAGACTCGCTTTTTTTATTTCATTGAGTCTCATCTTACAGCAGAGCTTGACTATAAGCTTCGAATAAGGTAAGTAAATTAATATGCGTTTTATTGGTAGGTAAAACGCTTCCATTAATTTGACTTGACCGTTATTCGAAGCTTATTTAATTGAGACGTTTGTTATCGCCTGGTGGAAGTGACAGACGCCAATGTGAGGTAGTATGACTGCGGTCAAGGTATGATGTGGTAAAATCAGGAATAGAAAAACTAAGTAAAATAGTAAGTATCTAAAACATACATGTTTTGAAGAAAGGAATTGTAGCAAATCTATTCTTTATGACATTGTATTTGATCTGAACAAAAACAGATGTAATATATCTCTGAGGTATTTTATTACCTTATTCTAATTTTCTGATCGACTTGATTGAATAAAAAGGCAAAGATACACTCATCATCATCATCATCATTACTTAGAAAGGATCGCTTCAAAAGGATAACTATCCACTCAATTTTTTCAGGTCAAGCTGATCTGAAACCCTCAGGATGTCTTGGGGATTACTGATACCTTAAACTGTCAAACACAAGCGGTCACCGGTGACCGCGACCTATTGTTCTTTAATTGTGTCTATAAAACCGGTACTCGACGAGTTAATATCGGTTTCCGCCAAAGAACCTTGATCCTGACCGCAATTAGAGTTTTCTATGCCGGTTTAAGTTCACGTGTAATAAAACAAAACTATAACTATTTGCATTATTTTCAAATTTGACACATAACATTACAGCTTACGCCAGCTTATGCTTAGTACATGGACTGGATCTAAGCTTTAGAAAATTTGGTATACAGGCAGGGTATGGGCCCCGACTTAGGTGATAGGATGCTTTTTATCCCGATAAGTGCTCCCTTGGTAGAAATGCACGGGCAAAGTCGCGGGTGAAAGCTAGTTATTATTATCCAATTAATCAACAGAATCAGTTTTTGATCTAAAACCGACCGAAAAACTAGTACGTGATTATGATTACGGTAATTATTAGAATCAATATCGAGCAAAATGAAGTCATGAAATCATCTCCTGGAGTATAGGAGAAATAGAACAGCTGTTTGTTTCTGCACTTGAAAGATTTAATACGTTTACTGTCTAAGAATTAGCTAGATCGTTTATGACCCAAACAGGGCGATTGACATGGTCAATCACCATTTACTACACGTTTTACATATCTACTTACATTTGAGATTAACTGACTAACTGATGTGTTAGTTCTAAGTTAGATTAATGTTACTGATTGTATAGTTTTTAGCAATAAATGTAAAGGACATATGGTTCTGGTTAACAAAGGACAGTAACCACAGATTTTGATTGTACAAAATTTAAGTGTACGACAAATTATTGATTCAATAGAGATCAGATATAGATAAAAAATGTACTCAAAAATCTTGCTATAGGAGCCGAGGGGTTCCCCCCCCCTCCGGTGCGGTGCACCTTTTGAGGACTGCATATAGATTTAACGTATTGACGGACGCCATGACTTCTTAAGAAATTTTAATTGTGTAGAGTATCATTTTAATAGTATTCCAGACGGCTCACGTTTCCACACTTCCAAGGTCATGTCGTAGACGCTCGGTGGTGGCCGCCTTGTTCTTAATTAGGACTTTGTCTAGGTGATAAAGCGTAAAGAAACGGGGTACTACCTACGGCAAGCGAGACACGTCAAAAAAACTCGCTCTCATTTAGGAATTACTAGTAGGCACGTTCTCTGTGCCTGATTAAGAGAATCCAGGACCTAAGAAATCAAAAAAGCTGGAAAGAACACCCCCGCTGAGTTTTTCAACGTTTCCAAGTGGGAAAATGCGTCACAAAACAGGGCTTGTCCGTAGTTTTGATATAAGGGCACGTAATTGTATTACATGTACTCGGTATGACGCAAATAAGTTGATCAGTGGAACTTAGCATATGGAGACCGTTTTGTTCGTGCATTCTGCAGGCAGATGCTCTCTAAAGTTTCGCAAAACCTCAACAGATGATCTGCCTGGGCATTGTACATATCTGGTACATGAAATACGTGTATGTTAACGCATATGAACGTATAATGAAAAAATGAGGGTTAAATCCAGGACTGGAGTACTTGGTGCCCCCCCCTTTCGTAACGGATATATGCGATGACAGACTTGATGTCGTCCTATATCAAACCAGTCTATTTCAGGAACAGACAAGAATCTTCCAAAATTCTTAGAATAGCTAGCGTTCTCTTTTGGTTGCTATGACGATCTTTCTGCTCTGACCAGAGACCCTAAAGAAAGAGATTGCCCAGGTAAGCTCCCTTAGAAATATCTGACGCATTGTGCAACCTGCTGGGAATGAGAGAAGGTAGTAGCATGTGTAGGACCGACAGAGGATGATAATTCTGGCTCCTTCATACAAGATTGTTCACATGAGACAAAGTGAAAACCAATCTGCGATCGCACTTTAAGATTTTATTCTTGTAGGATCAGAAAAGCTTGAAAGTCGAGCCTTTCTCTTGAAACTGCAGACGCAGCAAAAATAACTAGGCTCTGGAGTTCTGTGCGTGACTTGCATTTCTTCCGCATTAAATGGCAAAATGATCCCAGAACTTTTACTCCCGGGAAAATGTTTGTGATTTGACTATGGATCCCTGATATTGACCAACTTTTCTAGAACATGGAGCCCCAGTTTAATACGAAGTCGGAAGTCGGCCTTCGTCCTGGTGGCAATAAAAATCCCGACACCTCATTGCCCAAGTGTCTGAGACAATCGTAGCAAAAGTATTGGGCGCTGAGCTCATGCCTAGTGATAAGCTAGTCATTCGTACCAATTCATTGCGATAATTTAGGCGCAGAAACCTTCCGTGGCTACGGGCCACAGGAAATGTCGATTTTGCATAGACAATCAGGTTGTAGAAAATGAGAAATACTATGTGTGTTAACACGTATGTGTAATAACGAATCGGTCAACTGATATATAAATCCTGAATTTCCAAATGGACGATGCGGGCGCCCTTGGACCAGAAATATCAATGGTAGGAAGCTTGGCTGCTCAGTAGCTCGGTCCGGAATTGCCTGTTCTGTTATTTTGTTCATGACTGATGTCATTTCTGAACAGAGTGACAGAGATTCTGGAACAGATGTTTGATGAACAGATGTTCCAGTTCAACAAGTTCGTTCAGACAACATTGGGGTGAACAAGGAACAGTTTTTGTAAAAAGGTATGCGATACCTTGTTATTTCATAATCTGACGTTTACAAGTTCCCATCGGTCTACCAATTGCAGGAGACTGTCTGCTCTATTGTTAATACTTACGTCGTTGTTGTCAATGCTGCAGCGTCTATGACGGTGCGATAACACGTCTTCGCCCCTGACTTTGCTAATTTTATTCTGCCGAGGATTTGACCAACTCCGAAAGATATTACAATTTTTCGGTACGACCGAAAAATATATAAAACAGCATGAATATGATACAACCACCTTGCGGAGGTGGGTTTATTGCTGTTGTCATCACCTTGCAAAGGCGGGTTTTATTGCTGTTGTCACCACCTTGCGAAGGTGAGATACTGCTAGCACATTGCGAATGTGTATTAATGTGTTGGAAAACTTGAGCACAAACCCTGCGAGGGCTATGTAAGGCTGTGGCCCCTGGGAGACTTGCGAAACTTGAAACTGAATCTACCTGCGAGGTAGATGTAATATTTACCTTTTGCAATGGCCAAAAACATTTTCTCACGCCACCAGCTTATTCTACAGCGGCAGTAAACCTCTCTGCGTTGAATCAATTAGTATATCATAATGGTGGAATTGTCTTCAAATTAGCCTTATCAAGAAGTCCTTTGTCTATCTAATGGCTAAGCCTCTTAGCATTTGGTGATTCTCAGAACGATGTCCACAAACCATCTGTAATAAAGCTTAAGACTAGGTACTTACTAAAATCCCCTGTGGAAAAAGGGTACTTTTGAAGTAGCAACTCACATGTAAGCAGTTCTTAAAGGGTTCCCAAAAACCCTTGTTAAAGTGCACACAATATTTAATCAAGTACACTATTAAGTTTAATCTCAAAGCAACATTTTATATTATAGGAACGTACATCGGTTTCTATATTTGCACAGTAATCTCACAAGACAATTAGGTACAACAGACAAATAACTGTGCAATATTATTAACATTCGAACAGAACCTTCGTTCTTTGTTCGTATAGTGGTACAAATCCACCCGAATTTCTGAGCAATAGCTATAGCATAGGGTATCGCGTCAGCAATTCCACGTATGCAATATACAGTCCAAGACTGTACCGAATTAACCAACAGTTCTGTTGGGAGCACAGCTCTCGAGTTTTATCCGAAGACACACTTTGATAGACATACATAATTTCTATACAATTTATCAGGTCATCAACATCAAAATGATATTCTCAAAAATTTTCAATAACACTAGAAATGCATGGTCCAAAATGGTACTCATACAATTTATTGCTAAAGGTTACGTACCTGTTTAGCTATTTTTCGAAACTTACGTTCAAGTCGACACTTCCATACGAAGAAGTGTTCAGGAACAACATGAATAATCACAATTATTACCTGAATTCCATAATAGGTAACGAAAGACTAAGCTTTATTTAATTTAAAATTTTTACAATTGTAATAAAAGCCGTTAGGACATTTATCACTTTTATAAAAAAGAAATAATAATAAAATCGGAAGGTAGTTTCACAACTTGTGAATGGTTGTCTTGTGATTCACAAGGCACAACCGTTCAAGGCGGGAAACAAGACGCCAATGAAATAAAAAAAGCGAGTCTCTCTTAGCAAGCCTCCCCACCACTGCCAAGTGGAAGTGACGTAGTAGAAAGAGATAGACATATAGAAAAAGCGGAAGGAGGGAAGCAGAAGGCCTATCTCAATTAAATAAGCTTCGAATAACGGTCAAGTCAAATTAATTATCAATTATGAAAAACTACTTGTTTATAAAATTGGTAGAAAATTTATGCGTATCCTGGTAACATTATATTTTGGCGGTTGTTACGTAATTTGTCAAAATGTAAATTCTACAGAAAGAACTGTCATGTCAATCATTCATTTTTACTCACTTTTACTCGACTCAACTAGTCATGAAGTTTCAACGCATGAAGTTTTTAAATTACCTATGTCTTGTGTTTATAAAACTCTAGAATTCTACACCCACGTAGGTAATAGGTACACTTTTATATCTCTCTTTGAAGCTGCTCTAAGACTTTAAGTGTGTTCATGTTCACGTTTGTATTTTCTTTTTCAGATAATCCCTTTGTTGTTAGAACTGTTCTATTAAATCTATACATTGCAATAAAACCAAACCCTTGTTTTGTTTTTCATTATGTAGATACTTGGAATCCACTTTCACTTACGTCTTTGGTTCTGCGATCTGATAGTGTCGGAGTCAGAAATGTAGTACCAAAAATGAGCCAGATGTGACTCATGAACTTATTCTAAAAGTTCATCGTGAGTCGTATGTGACTCCTTGGACAGTTAAGTTGTTAAGTTTCTTGGCAATTTCTCGCTTAGTTTTATTTATTGAATCTAAGTTTCCTCAAATCCACGTCCACCATATCTTTCTAGAGGACCACATCTTTCTTAATATCTTTCTTAGTCGACCAATAGGTCAACTGGTAGGTAACCCAAGGTTGATTACTCAAGATTTAAGTAGGTAAGTATGTTGTCTTTAGGTATTTCTCGATCCTCATCATTCCTCACCGATTTTTTCGACATGAGGAAGCCAACGGATCTATAGCAGCTTTCTTTACTGTTTCTTATTAATTCTTAAAACTACATATTGCGCAATAATAATAATAATTACATTGGTAACAATCACGTTTACTTAATAATTTTTTCATACATTTTCCGCATTACGTATTATTTTTTATGTAATTATGTACCTTCGTTATTTAATTGAAAGAAGTATTTAGTATTGCACAACATTATGAAAAATAGTAATAACAATATTTTCTATAAATAAATAGAGACATCATTGGGATTTTAGACGATAACTGTGATTGTTGATAAAGGTAGTTTAAATGTCTAAACGATAGCTTAATTTATCTAGGTAGAAATCTTATAGGTACTACATTACAAGTCTTTTACAAGCTTGATTGAACCGAATTGGACCGGAAAGATTAGTTTAATGATTGAAATCTACAACGGCTTTCATTCATTTATCATATCCTAGGTTTTCCCTTTTTGACTGATCCATTTTTACTGTTTCGTCTTATAATAACGGGTAAGGTGGAAAGGAAGAAAAGCGCTGAGCGAAGAAAAATGTCGTGGGTGCGCAATATTCGGAAGTGGACCGGTGTCAGCTCTGTGGAACAACTTTTCCGCCTGGCCAATGACAAGGAAGATCATACTCCTTAGTTAGGAGTCTTTGCCTGATAGCACGGACGGGGCTCCCCTGTCTCTTTAGGTGGACAACGACGTGATGAGGAACGCGGTCAGCATTAATTGGGTGCAAATGGCGAGTTGTCGGTCGACATCGCTTAGGAGGGAGGCCTTTGTTCTTCAGTGCAAGTTATCTATCTCTGTCCGTGTCTATCGGAGGCAATAATTAGGTGCTCCTATCTATTTAATCGTAAAAGCGGCTGCTTTAGACAGTGAGGGTGGCGATTGTCCCCGACGGGGAGTCGCCGCAGTTTCACAATTACAAAGGTATGGCGGCCCAGCTCTGTACAGTTGTTGGAATAGGGCGGCCTTATCGTCGTGCCATCTCTGTCATTTTACAAAGAATTTGTAGAGATAGAACTATACTTAAGCACGACTTAAAATTGAGTAGCGATTCAGTATTCCGAAATTAGTAAGTGAGAGTGGCACTCCTTCTCACCAAGACAAAAGGACTTGATGATTTTCTCCCACCAAAAAAGGTAGTGATTTTCAATAATTAGGGCCCACAATAGACCTCATGAAGTCCCAAGATAAAAATACTATCGAAAACGAACCTTACCTGCTTAAGCGTTAAGGGTAAAAATTCAAAACCACAAGTACCAATTCTTTATCACACACACGAAATCACGTCGCTGATTTCTATAAATCAAAATTGTAAGTACTGATTGTTATCTTAATTGGTTCTATAATAGAAATCACTGCATTAATCCGAAATACTCACAGTATTATCAACGTGAAAATTTGTTTATCTGTCTGGGTAAACCTAATCAGATACATTGTGACCCGAGCGTAGCTCAAAGAGCCATCAGACCACCACGGATGGGGCCCAACAGGGCTGATGCCGATACGGAGCCGCGAAGGGCAGGAGTAGGGTTTTTAGTCAGTAAGAATTTCGTCCCTTCCGCCTCACACAGGCGGGAGAAGACATTCGACGATTTTCCCCCCTTAAAAAAAATGATAGATATAAATAATGAATTTAGCGTTACCAAAAAAACCGAAGGAGTATATAATATAGTATTACATTTATGTAAAGGAAAACCTATGATTTCCTGAAATGCAAACAGAAACGAGGTACTTTGAACGCTTGAAAAAGTCTGGGCCAAAAAAGTAGTTCGTAAGTGTTCTGTTTTCTTTGTCCTGCACTTATCCCAAGAAATGCATGACAAGATTGGCACGCGTCATCATTTCACGTGGCAATTAAATGATCTTTGTAATAGATAAAGGCTATCACAGGCTATCACGTGTTATCGGACCATCTAATCTGATATTACGTTACGTTACGCCTAATTACTTTCCCGAATGATTGATTAACACTGCAATTGTCGTAAATGTGACGTCCAAAGACTCCAAGTTGATCCCGAAAACGTTTCATAGGGATTTTGTTCTCAGAATTTTTGCGATGGCATCAAATGAAGTTGGGTGAAGTTTTTGGCGAACAGTTGATGGATGGTGTACAAACAGTAAAATAAACTTTAGATTAAGAGTTTCGACGAAATATGAAGGTGGTAAAAGGGTGCAATATTACCTACACTAAGTTACCATTAATAATTACGCTAAAGCTACGTAACAGGATAGTTAGGTTAAAGCTTATTCTGACACTCCCTCTCGCCTCACCTCATTCAGGGCGGGAGAAGCCATAAGACGATGTTCCGCCCACAAAAGCTGAACTTATGAATTACTTTAATACGCAAAAAGTTCCCAACCATATCTACAATCTTACAATCTACCAGGACATGACAAGCTGAATCCTCTTCACAGCGGAATTTCCAACAAAGTTCGACGCAACAAAATAAAATGTTGCATAATATTGTGTAGAAATAGTTTTATCACCAATTAATGAATATGTGGTAGAAGACAGATGTCGGCTGATTAATTAAATCTCTGATTACGATAGCCCAGATTGAATGGCGTTGTATTGTTAATCTTTATCTTTACTTGTACTAGAAACTTATTCAAAGCGGATCGTGCCGATAAAATGATAATCTGCACGTACCTAATCAAATACACTGATTTATAAATTTATTGTGCTTTAAGTTCATTGATAAAATTAAGTACTTGTTAAAATAGGAAGGTATCCCACACATATCCTTTCGTCAAACATTATATCTTAAGCTGGGGGTTCCGAAATAAGCTAGATATGATTTTCCGCTCTCTTAAAACTTCTATTAGGCTATCCAATTATCCATGTTCTGAGGTACAATTTGGAACTTGGCGTCAGTCAGAATTTGATCAGGACTAAAATGCACAGCAAGAAAATTTTCACATTCCTATCGTAAAGTAACTTTACCAAAATAGTATTCCTTCCGTAAGTAGCTTTAGAGGCACAGCGAAGCTCAGGGGAGAAGCACGTCTAGGGATGTGCTGTAACAGATGTTGCACTGTAGGGACTCCGGAGTGGGTTTATTAACACCCAGTAGGTGCCGGGGATCGGGAGATAATCACCGACCACCGTAAGCACGGGCCTGCCTACGCCGAGCACAGGTAACGCCTCAAAGAGCCATCAGACCATCACAGATGGGGCCTAATAGAGTCGATGCCGATTCGGAGTCGCGGAGAACCTAACGGGTAACCGACGCTCCGCTGCGACGTGCAGTAGAAGGGACGGGGTGGTTTTTAGTCAGTAAGAGTCTGACACTCTCTTTCGCCTCTCCCAGGCGGGAGCAGTCATTCGATGATTTTCCCCTCTTAAAAAAAAGGACCCCAGTAGATGATGATGGTGGTTTTAGTGACATAAGAACCATACACTCTGTAGTCTTTCTCCCTAAAAGGTTAGGAGCCTTTCGAAGGTTTCCCTCGTCATCAAAAAAAAATAGTAGTATTTAGAGAGCTGTCATTTTTTCTTGTCACTCTTTTTTTTCATGAGCGGCAAGCAGACATATCGATCACCTGATAGCAAGTACCTAATTATAAAAAAAATAATAACATGGCTAAAATAAATTGTGCCGCGATATCTAATGGGGACTTTTGGTACTTAGTATTTTATTTATCGTTTTGGCCGAATTACATGGATCAGGTAATTGTGGTCAAGGAAACTGGCGGGCGTTGCACCAGGATACGTTGATTGAAGATTCATGTAGACTATAACAGGGTACAGTAAGCTTTCTGTAAAAAAATTGTCTCACATACCTAGGGAAGTGAAAACTGTCGTTTTTTTATTCTACTTTATTAATACCTTCTGATTAATATCGTTGCGGCATCCAAGACAGTTATTCATGTTCCTGGAACGCTCCGGACTTCAGCATTCCGGTGTTTTCGTGGTGGTGTAGATCCTGGTCTACGGGAGTTGCAGCGGTTTTGCGGTTGAAGTGAGCTTATCCCATTATAAAAAAATACCTAGGGTTGCTATCTGCATAGAGCTACCGTATATGTATATACGGACTTGGCAAAGTACAAAATATGGTTCTTCAAAAAAAAAGTTTATAAGTTTTTTGGGGTTGGCTAGGCACTGTCTATTCTGTTAATATTTAACTACAGAAGGATTATCGAATCGAATAAAGAAAAAAAATAGGAAATAACATCGAACAGAGTACGTTTTAGCTATTGTTAACTTTCCGTTTCTTTTTAAACAACCTCGCTCATACAGAGGCAAATATTCGTGAAACATTATTAACTTCGCACGACTGTATTACAGTATTAAATAGATTTTTAAAAGACTGCCTAAAAAGAAAAGGTACCCTAGTTTTGAAACAAGCTTCTACTTCCTACACTTATCAGTTAAACTCCAAAATTACTATTCGAAAAATGCATTAAAAGCCTTTATCTATTAAATCTGTCCCATGTATCGTAATTTTCACACTAAAGCACGCCTGAAAAGAGTGTTAATAAATCAGTTGTGTTATACTGATAATTAAAAGTTGCAAGTCAGAGTTATCTGATGAATCAATCACTTGATTTACACCTAATTATATTTAAGCGCATATCGATACCAGATAGGGTCAATACTATTCTACAGTCCATTGAAAATACATGGTGGACAGTAGCCCAATTTTAAACAGTTTTTTTTTTATTTATAAATTACGAAATATTTATAAAAAAAAATTGTTCGCTAAATAAAAACAGTCTAAAATAAGAAGTTTAAAGAGTTTTTTTTTTATTGTGATATTCGAAATTTAAGTTTTTAAAAATGACGTTCGTGGCCCCAGATAATCTCTCCAAGAAGAGCACATACGAAGAGGCCTTGAACCTTACAGGTAAGTCTAGTTTTTTTTAATCCGAGTAAGCATTATGTGTAACCGTGTAAATAAGTGTCTCCCTCTAGGGATGTGCCGTAACAGGCGTTGCACCGTGGGGGAGCTATTATAGGACCCGGTGCAACTTACAGGTCTTGAGGATGGCCACCGTGGTGGTTTTACTGAGGTCAATCCCAAAATCCCCCAAATCCCATACTCCCTAGTCTTTCTCCCCAAAAAACTAAGCGCATTTTGAAGGATTCCCGCCGTCATCAAAAAAAGTGTAAATAAATTGTTTAAGTGCCTAAGAAATAAGATGCCTAAGACTTGCGAGTTTATATAATTATTACATACTACATTATTGTCTATTTATTATGTTTTTGGAGGAATGGGAGCTAAAAACTTCACAAATGAAAATAAGACCACTGTGTGCAAAAAATGGCGAAAGGAATAAACATTTGGTTCAGCTGTAACAGTTCCTTTAATCACTGGGAAGCTTTGAAATGGCTCATGACCACAATCATCCAAGCTATTCATAGAGTTTTATATTAGAATAAAGCTAAAATAAATAATAAATACGATGATTAAAATAAAAAAAACTTTAAAAAAAACCAACTTCAAAATTTTTAAAATAGATTTAATAACAAACAAAAAGTTACAACAAAAAATATCCATTAGTAGTACTGATAGACTATCCACCCACTGTTGGGATAGAAGTCGGCGCCATAAGATCTAGCACCTCCCGCTTTTTTTGAAGTCGGTAAATAGATTTTTGCGGAGTTTTTTATACTGAACACAATTTGGAAAGCTCGTATACCTTAAAGTTAAGACACATTAAAATCAGTAGTTACCTATCACAAATTAATTCTCTGTTTTTGTTTAAATTTATAACTTACGATGATACATTATGTGACTACGGAAACTTTTGCTTTTCCGGCCATCGTTCGTGGACAAAAAAAAACCTTACTTATAGGGTGAAAACATAGCTCGCTCGATTATACTATTCTTCGACTCACCGAAAAATTGATACGCGCCTAAAATTGTTTTCATTAGTTAACCGTATTGGATTTGTATTAAATTTTTTGTATCTGTTCCATGGGGCTTCAAAATGTAGCCATTTTTTATGGGATAAGCTGGTAACCGAGCTGATAGATTACCTGATGGTAAGCAATCGGCGCCGCCCATGGACACCCGGAACACCAGAGGCGTTACAACTTACAAGTGCATTACCCGCCTTTTGGGGATACGGAATATGAGGATTGTTGGGGGTTCCGGGAATGGGGAAATTGGGGAAAGGGGTACTTGGGCCTTATATATTGATAATTACAGCATTTTGAGGCCCTATCGAATTAACCCCTTAATAAAAATAAAATCGTGGATAAATTTACCTACTTTTAGATAGTTTACGCTCTATCCAGAAAAATACATTGCCACCCTAGTTTAGAATCTTTAATAAACAGAACTTTTAGTGCCATAACATAAAATTAAAATAAGTCTGTAGGTAATGTTATTTTTTTGCCACAATATACGTAAGTAGGTATTTGTAGTTCCTTAGGATGTAGCTACCTACGTACCTACCGATTAATTATACTAACAGCGTAACGATAACAGAGCGTTACACTGATAAGGATGTAAACAAATCTAAAATTATTGTGTAATTATTGTTTTGTAATCAATGTATTAGTTGTACCTACTGTTTGTCTTTAATCAAATTACTTAGATAAAGTACTAGTAGGTGCTGTTAGGTTTTTCTATAAGATACATATTAATTCGAATTCTCGCTCTTCATTGGTCGAGATAATTCTGAACAACATTCTACAACCAATGACATGGCAGATCGCGATCAAGATCAGTTCGATCTTTAGAATTGAAAGTTACCGAACAGTATAACTATTCTATTTTAGATATTTTTTTCTACTAGGTAGACTTACACGTACCTACTATTCATGGATCACATAAACTAAACATGCCTGTCTTCACTACTTTAGAAAATCAAACGCCAAAATCAGATGATTATAAGAAACATCTCAAACGTAATTTCCAATTTCAGCAGCTCTTAAGATCAAAATGATTGATTTTCAATACATCATGATAATCAAGTACTTGATACCTAATCAAACAAGATGCTATCGTGCAACTAGGAATTACCAAACTGTGTAAATCGGCAATCAGAAATAATTAAAATACGTTTTTCTTTATAGAAATTTAATTTTGTAAAATCATTAAATTGAGCAATCATGTGATGATCGTATCGATACATCATGTTTGATCCACATGCATCCATCCATTAAGTACAATATCTACGATTAAATTTATAATTGCACAATATCGTGCAATGTGCCAAGCTAATTATAGATTTACAATGGAAGCTCTATCGAGATTGGGACTCAAAACTTGTAAAAAGTGAGTTAAAAACAATAGGGTTGTCTTATTACCTAAGTACCTACTATTTATTTTTGGCAAACGAAAAGTATTGCCTAAGGATCATCTATATCATACGGGTTTAATGAATAGACCGTTAATTTTTAATCGACTTCAAATAAAGAATGATGACAAAGAAAATTTTCATTTACGAGAAGGTTTTCGTATATTAGTTAACCAACTTCCAAAATAGAGGGAGTTGCAGTCGGTTTTTTTAAACATGGTTTATAAAAGAAAAAAAAAATCTTTAATCTTCTTTAAATCCCCTAAGCTCATGAAAGTTACACAGAAATACTAATGCTCAGTTTTTCTTCCTCAGGTTTCGGCAAATACAATGCTGGTATGCTAATAGCTTGCTGCCTGCTCATCCTCTCTATGAACCTGGACATGTTTGGATTCTCCGTCGTCCTACCAGCCATGGCTTGTGACATGTCGCTCGATACATCACAACAAGGTCTCCTGTCTGCTATACCTCTTATAGGTAAGAAAAACTTATAATTCTTTAACTATGTATCTATTTTCGTTAATTTATCATTCCAAAAATTGACTAAAAAACTACAGCAGTAGGTACGTACCTATCTATTCTATAGATTTTCTGTGGGAAGTTCTAATGTACTACTTACCTATAGCAAATTCTGGTTACTCACGCAATTTATAATCCAAGAAGTCTAGACAGAATTAATAATTTTAGGTAAAGCCCTAGTACGATTAACAAAACGTTGAAAGTGTAGTATTTATGTCATTGTACCACTTTATTTTGATGTGCTCGTTGGCCATTTAATATAAGTATTAAACTTTTCTGCATTTTTCAGGTATGATTGTATCATCTTATGGTTGGGGCTTGTGCTCCGACACACAAGGTCGGCGGAAAACGTTGCTCATAGCAATGCCAGTTGCATTAATTCTCAGCCTTGCAACTACCATGGCGCCTACCTTCGCGCTAATAGCAACTTTCAAATTTTTGTCTGTTTCATTGTAAGTATTTACTATAAAACCTACCAAATTGAACGTTATTTTTCATATAGCCACATTATAATTTAGTTGTTCACGTCTCTTGGTATTATAATGGTTTCACGATACCTTTTGGAAATATTCTGATTGTTGTAATATTTACGTAATTGCAAGTTTTTAAATATAATTTATTTTTGTAACTTTTTAGCTCAGCGGCAGCTAACGCAGCTGCCTTTGTCTTATTAGCTGAGAGCGTACCAAGCAGACATCGCAGCCGATTTGTATTTCTCATGGCTAGCGCTACGATGGTGGAGCAACTCCTTATTTGCTGTAAGTTTTTTTGTGTTGTTAACCATAAAGTTAACTAACATAAATGTCAGAACTTTCGACTTCATAGATCACGTGACCCTACGAGTTGAATTAGATGATTAAAACGGTTTATTTTATTTACAGCCTTCGCTTTACCAATATTTACGCTGACTTTCGGCTACGAGATCTCCTGGCTAGGCTTGGTGTACACTCCATGGCGAATGCTGTTGCAAATCGTCTGTGTGCCCTGTGCGCTAGGAACCATATTAATGATATTCCTGCAAGAGAGCCCCAAGTATCTGCTCAGTAGAGGCAAAGATGAGGAGGCCTTAGAAGTTTTGAAAACTATTTACAAATACAACTCTGGCGAAAATAAGGAAGATTATCCTGTAAGTTTCGCAACATTTTGTTAACTCTCTAAATCAAACAAGTTTCGAGTTTTCCCGCAAATGTTATCGTTTCGTTTTGTTGGTAATGATGTATATTTTTATTTCTAGGTTAAGTACGTGTATCTCAATGAAACCACAGCGGACAATTCTGCTGGAATTTCCCTATTGAAAAAGATCTGGAACCAAACTGCGCCACTTTTCAAGCCTCCTCTATTGAAAAACTCTGCCATACTTTTCTATTTACTGCTCTCTGCATTTACTACGTAAGTTGTAATCTTTTGATTTATTAATTCTTTTTAATATTAATTTTCATTCACTTATAGTTATAGGTTCGGTATCTTATTAATTATTCTACTTTCAGATCAACTGGTTTCACCATGTGGGTGCCGACTATGACCAACGCTTATTTCACTGGCGATGAAAGCCACCACGGTCGCACCTTCTGTGAAGTCGCTAGTCAAAGTGCGACAACTGGATCCGGTAACGGCACTGAATTCGAAGATTGTTCCAATAGTATCCAAACCGGAGCTCTTTACGCTACAATGGTGTACTCTGGAGTTTCAACAATGTTGATGATCACTCTATCCTTTATCGTGGGCGTTGTTGGCAAGAAAATCATCACGCTCGCCATCTTCGTCATGTCATTTACCGCCGGAACTCTACTGCTATTCGTCAAAGTTCCTATGCTGAGCATCGCATTGTTCTTCATGTTCTTGTACGTTGCTCAAGTCTTGGGAAATATTAACACGTATTTGGTCGAGCTGAACCCTACACATTTGAGGTTTGTGTATTTTAAAATCATATAATTATATCTCTCTATGAATTAATATGTCAAAGTCCAGATTCAGCAGAATATCACCAGTACTTCAATGTTCTGCTGTGTGTTAGTACAACTCTAGGGAAATTTTACTAAATCACTAGCTACTTTCACGTCACTAGCTAGTTTAACCTGCTCTGTTTGGCGCCTATTGAGCGTGATGTTTTGAAGCTTTTCTCGATAATTCCATAATTTTGATTTCCCGGGTAAAATGACTATCAAAGCTTCATGAATATTTATTAATTGCAAATCATTAATAAATATTTATTATTTTTATCTACAGGAGTATGGCAACGTGTCTGTCGGTAGTCATAGCTCGTGGTTCAGGATTTTTCAGCGTGCAAATCATCGCCAGTCTACTTGGGGAATATTGCACGCCAATGATAAGCGGATATATTGTCTTAGTCATGTGTAAGTATCTACTATACCTACCTAATATTTTTTTAAGAACAATACCTAATTTTGGCAAATATTTTGATACTTGATATTTAAAAAAAATAAAATTAATTATATTATATTACTGTCCTATATCACGTGATGATAATTATCACGACAAATAGTTAAGTAAAGTTATTTCTTTAAGAGTTTACTATTTTGCTATAAGCAGTTCTTGCAAATATTTCTGATTGTCAATAAAACTAGTATTTAATTTTATTTCATTATTGTTTCAGCTGGATTTGTTGTTGCAACGTTTTTACCATCGGAGTCCAAATTGAAAAGTATAAGCCAAGGAGAACTAAGCCGTACAGCAGATGTTGAAAGCCCTAAAGATTAAGATAATTAGTTTATTAAATAAGTAGGTAATGTTTGTTTATCCATTCCCGACATGATGGGGATCAGTATAGAGGCTAATTTTGAATGTTATAACATTCTTGATTTGACTCATTATCGGACCGTTTTAGGCTTCCGAACACGTATTTGTATGGTAATTTAGAATGTTCAAGCTACAATTAGTGTGCTCTACGTGGCATGATAGCGTGGTCAAGACAGCCCTAAGTATGTTTTGTTTACAAATGAAACAGTCTGAATTTATTGTATTGATAAACGATTGTACAGTGATAGAATAATTTTAAGATTTTGTGAAGCGAGCTGACGATGTTGTAAATATAATACTATTATTTATTACCAAACCTATTTGGTTTTATTTTCCCATTCTTAAAATTCTAAAAAGTTGCGAGTATAATAAAAAAATAATTAAAAAAATTAAGTGTCGTGTTCAATTGACACGAAATTAGTAGGAAATTTTATCTTACTCTGGTAACACTCACCGCTAGTGCCTGTCGGACAATCTGTCAAAACTTAAACTGTCATTCATTTTAGTGAAACGGCTAGCGAAATGTCTGATTGTGCCGGTGATAATTCAAAACCACGAGTTGTGGTTTTAGGAGGTAATTAATTTAATTAACCTGGAGAAAATCCACTAAAATATACCAAGAATGTAATTGTATCAGTTTTTAATTTATCGGTACAAAGTGTCAAGTTTTTTTTTTAATTCTTGTAACGGTCCCAGAGTGTTAGTCATCCGGCCAGGGAAGATTCTTTTTCGTCGGTTGACGGTATAATTTTGATTCAGGGTGCGGTTTCATCGGCCGGAACCTTGTGGAGTACTTGATATCCAATGACCTGGTGAGCGGGCTACGCGTCGTGGACAAAACTCCACCACAACTGGCCTTCTTGAACCCAACACATAGCAAGATCTTCGAAGACCCCCGTATAGAATATAAAAGCGCGAACCTAATTAATGCCAGTGAGTACCACCCTTTACTTATTGTATTGCTTTAACAAAATGTTTCTTTAATTTCATCTTATTAGAATTAAAATTCTAATAAACCGACCATAAAACAATCATAAAAATTAAAAATATAATATTTCATAGTCCTTACTTGCTTTACTAAACATATTTTTGTTTCCAAATCTAACCGTTACTAAAAATTGATTCTGCCTTCTAATTTCCTATTATTTTGGTTACAATTTAGAACATAATAATTCAATCGTTAACTTGGAGGAAAATAAATACTGATAAACAACTCAATGTCCTACTAAAATAACTAAATTACTTTAAAAGTTTGTTGTAATACATATCATTCCTCAATTTAGTTTTTCAACTAGATCCAAGGACGGAGTAATCTAAATCAAATGAATTTCAACTTTCACACTATCTCACATATAAACAGAGATAAGATAATAACTTTCTGGCACATTGTACACAAAACAAGAGATATCTAATTATAATACTATAACTATGTGTTTACTGCAGTCATAATATAATGTGTTATAAGAACTGCTGCAATGGTGTTTTAAAATATTGTGGTTTCACTATTCCCTTGGTTTACTAAGTTATATAATATTTTTAGGATTTAGTTTAGTTTCATATTTATCTTCTCCCTTTCCCTTAATAACTTCTATGGATTGCTAGTATGCTAGCAAAGGCCTGCTGTAGCTGAAGCATGTACAAAAATTAAATTCTTATTGGAATTGTTAATGTAACCTACAATAATTTGTAAAATGAATTGGAGAACCTGTCTAAACTACCCATCAAGTTTTTTGTTCGTTCTTCTACAATTTGCATAAGCGCATAACTTTGGTAAACTGAATAATGGATTATCACTACATAACAAAGTCGCTCTCCGCCGTCTGTCTGTCCCTAGTGAGATCTTAACAGAGTAAAATGTAAAACAGGTTTGTAACTTTCACTTCCTATGTCCTTTTCACATCCATGCACAACACCCCCAGCACATTATTTATTTTATTTTTTTAATCATTCGACTTCTGTAGAAGTCATTGATTATGTTATCAACTCACAGAATGATTCACTTCCTAAATGTATTCACATACATTTGTTACAAAACTTCATACTTTTGTTTATTTGGTTTTTAGCAGTTTTATTTTTAAATTGATGCTAATGTAAAATGAGCATTGAAAATGATGTAAATATTGATAATTGAGTAATACGCACTTTCATTACCGAGTGAATGATTTACAGACAAAACGTAAAGTAATGATGAAGAAGGATTCTTTTTACATAACATAACATCACGCCTTTTATCCCCGAAGGGGTAGGCAGAGGTGCACATTACGGCACTTAATGCCACTATACAATATAACACCCACTTTTCACTATTTATGTTATGAGTCCCATGTAATAGGGGGTGAGCCTATTGCCATATACCAGGCACAATTCCAGACTCCGTGCTACTACTACTACCTAGAATATTAAAAAAAAGTAATACTTTGCCCGACCCGGGAATCGAACCCGAGACCCCTTGCCTGGCAGTCGCACTTATGACCATTTGGCCAACGAGGCAGTCAATTATGTTTTTTATTTATTTATTTAATGCTAACAACTACCATTACACACTATTCCAATACGATAGTGTAGCCGTCAGATAGATTATTTTTAATTACTAGTGACTTCCACATGGTTTCATCTGCTCTGCTCGGCACCTATTGATCGTAGCGTGATGATTTATAGCCTATAGCCTCCCTCGATAAATGAACTATCCAACACAAAAAGAATTTTTCAAATCGGACCACTAGTTACTAAGATTAACGCGTTCAAACAAACAAACTCTTCGACTTACTATATAATAGTATAAGATTGTGTTTTTGGCTTTCTCACGTAACTGTTTGACCATGAACTCGACTAGTTTCAAGCCATACTTGAGTCTCATATTGATGAGCAGCATTAGACGACACACGACTGTCGCGCTACTTCTCATTATTAAGTCAAGGATTTTAGAATTGGGCCTCATCATCATCATCATCAACAGCCTATAAATGCCCACTGCTGAGCAAAGCCCATTCTCAGGCGGAGAAGGTTTAAGCATTAATCACCACGCTTGCTCAATGCGGGTTGGTCCAGGTTTCCTCACGATGTTTTTCCTTCACCGTTTGTCAGTGATTTCTAAATAATCTTAGAAAGTACATATAACTCGGAAAAAGTCACATTGGAACTTGCCGTTTCGGTTTCGTTAGGTTTCGAACCCGCACCCTCATGGATGAGAAGCGGGCGTCTTAAACCTCCGGGCCACCACGACGTGCGTCTAGTCGATGGCAATAGACTCGCCCCATAATCCATGGAACTCATCAAGATTAACTTAAAGTCTAAAAGTGCGTGTTACATACAATCGTCATTTATTCGATGTCGTGTATGAACAAGAAAACATTCAGTTGCCTGAAAACTGGTTTAGCTTACTACGAATGTTTTTGTAACAAGTCGTGTTTTACAGACTCGTAAATTTCGTAATCTCACTCTAATTAGACTTTAGCTAATTACTTGCTTTTCTTTCATGCACGTTGTGTTGCGTGGGCGCATGTATGCATAGTAATTGACTTAAACTTAATAAAATAAAACGTGTTTGTGAGGCTGATCTATAGTATAACTAAGTACAGAGAAATATTGTCGAAATAATGTTTCTTACTTAGTAGTATTAATTTTTTTTTTGATTATACGAAAAAGACTAGCCTACTGCGCAAGACCTCATCAAGAGATGCAGTCTGAGCAAATACTTGTACAGATGTTTTGACGTGTACCTACTCTATTTTTTTTTTATAACGTTGCCCCACACTAGGATTTTCTCCTGTGTCGTGGGTCCGCTTACAAACATACAAGTTCACATACAATGACACCGAAACCCGAAACAACAATTTGTGGGCCACACAAAGAGTTGCTCCGTGCAGGAATCGAACGCGCGACACGTTGCGCGGCAGTCGGTTGTCCAGTCATCGCACCAACCGTGCCATCAATTATTCACTACTATATCAATGAACTACCGATACGGCTCCACGTCCCTTAACACGTTAAACGCCATGGGGGTCACCGGTGACCGGCGTTAGCGGAGGATTTACCTTCAACAGTTTTTTATTGGCAGTCAAAGTCTTAAATACCCGCGGAAAATGTTGTAGAGGTGACAAGACAAATGCATTTTACTCCACCGCTACCTGCCTACGGAGCGAGCGCCAATGGTGACGACCTACAAATACGAGTGAAATAAAACTATAAGTTACGCAACGAACGTATGTAACCTTTCAACTTGGCCATTGCCAATAAATTTCACCCAGTTGACCTTTTTAACGGTTTGACATATAATAAAGTGAAAAATTTACTACCTAATAGGGTTGATGCCTAATTTTTGTTTTAATGTCCGTCTGGTAGATAATTTTAAATCATCAGACACGTATTTTTTATTTTCTTACAGAAACAAATACTTTCGACGATATATTGATTTGAAATGTCGCGTGACGTCACTTCTATGTACATTTTATACGTAGAAATGACGTTTTAGCCCCCACTCCTAAACTATGATTCGTTTTATCTAAGTATTGTTTTATAATACGACAAAATGAAAAAATACGTGTCTAATATTTTTCATTATCTAACTTACAGACATATTAGATTTTTAATTTTTATAACCTGTCATCATCCCAATTACCTATCAAAAGCAGGCACGTGATATAAAACAATGGCCCTAGTGTCGTACAATACTTAGGGCACAAGAAATAAAAAGCACAGATTGGAAATATGACCCACGTAGGTACCTATACATATAGGCTTTTGTAACTGGATGCGTGTAAAACCTTTGAACTGCGTTGCTTTTAAAAATTTCTGCCGTTTTTGCAAGCCTACATCACTCAGTGTTCAGTGCTAAGTACATATACCTACAGACGCTTACTCGTCTCCATTTCTCCAGTACAATGTAAAGATCAAAATATACCTTAATCGGATTAGCAGTCACGGAGTAAAAGCATGTCAAACAAACAAGCAACCAGGCAAACTGCATATTTTTATTCTCAAAAGGCGACTGACGTTGCGGTATTACCATCAAAAACTATTGAATGCCTCCAGCCGCAAAATACCTTTGTAATTCCACCAACTAGTTTCACAGAAATGACAAAAGAACATTAAAAACTCCAATAAAAATGGCGCCATATAATTTGTCGCTTATTTTTATCAATGCATTTAATGTAAATGCCCTCCATTCGACACTTATAGACGCGCGTCATTCGCGAATCGTCGCCGCTCCACTCCAGGTTACACGGAGTTATTTGTGCATCCGTTATCGTATTAACCCGTTGTTACAAATAATGTAAAAAGAAATATGTAAATGTGTGCACTAGACCGCGAATGACGAACATCGGTCAACTTGTAGCCACACGCAGAGAGTGGGCCAATTATTTCGTTTTGCTAGAAAGTCTTATTTAGATAAACTAGGACACAACGAGCCTCCTAACTATTATTGCGCCCTGGTACCTGGTACCGCTTCTACATTCCGACTGTGTACATATCAATGATTTTATGAATTCAACTTCTTCGTTATCCAGTCTGCTATCTTTCCTAGACATAATATCGTAAAATACTAAACTTTATGTGAATTCCAATTAAACGCAAACTTTCATCAATTAACGGTGGTGTGAGCAAAATGATTACAGCGTTAACCACATCACATACATATTTAAACATCATCAAACCAAATGAATTATTTATTAATTATAGAATTCCTTCAGTCTTGAATGCACAGGCGAATTTAGGACATAGGAATCTTTAGGTGCCTAGGTACTGTGTCTCATGTATCTATAGATAAATTAAGTGTCCATTGTCACATTTCGTTCCCAAGGCTCGCAACAAATACAGCACAAACAATATATTAATAAGATGTCTTTGTCGCATTGTTCTATCTAATATTATGAGGATAAATTATGTTTTTCCTTCATAAACAACATTATTGAAATAGGTAAGGGCTACTGTCCACGGAGCACGGTTTTGTCAATTGACGAATGCAAGACGGATGCTTGCATCTTGAGTAGAAACAATCAAAACTGTCCACGTTGCGGCAACGTAGCGGCAACTGCACGTTATGCGGAACTAATAACAAGTAATTATTGCTTTTGCCTGCGTCATTTGACGAATGCATGCATCCTTCACAAACACTAGGCGGCCTACAAATGACAAATACTTGCATCTTGTTTGGAAACAAAGAAAACTGTCCACGAAGCGGCTACGTTAAATCCGCCTGTCGTTTTTGACGAATATATGCATTGGTATTTTGCCCAATGTTAAGGTATTTTCAGATTAAATTATGAGAGAATGGTAAAATTCACCAGTTTTATATGTATTGCGTCATAATTATTTCTTCATGTTTGACGTACACAAATGTAATTTATATTTAATGTAGTACAGCGATAATTAATAATATTATATTAATGAAATATTCAACAAACACAATCAGGTAGGTAATTGAACTCCTTAAATCAACATGTTATCCTCCAGGTAAGTTATTTATACCAACAAATTTGTCATTTTAACGTAAAAATCTGTAGGAAATGATTTTTCAGTTGTTTTACATTGTTTTCTTAATTTTCTTTCATTTCTGCCAACGATAACATTTTCAGAGCAAATACAGCGTGACTAAAAGTGCATTTAACTATAATTAATGAAATTGCTCTCGCGGTAAATTGATTTTATATGCCTATCACAGAGTTAATAGTTCACCTACATTGCCGTTCTAGAAAACACGCTATGGTTTGACATTAATTAGTTGAGTGGTTGCAAACACAACCGATAAGCATTGGTACAGGGACCCGGTGAGTTTTGGAAGAAAAGCACATGTATCAGGATTAGCATATCTCATCTTACTGAGAAACCTGGAATTGTGTCCGATTTTGGCAATAGTCCTAATTTTTACTCAGCATTGAGCCAATCACAATTAAAATATTAATAGGTAATGTTTAAAGAACTATGTTAAGTAGCTCCACCTTAACTACTATCTCAATACAACGGATTATAATAAAATTCCACTCATAAAAGCCATAAGGGAAATCTCCAACGAGATAAATAAATCTTTAATTTTTATTATACTTGGTGTCGTACCGCATTAATATTCAAAATGTCCGCGGCGCATGCAAGGAATATTAATTTATCATACGTTACACGCCAATTGTTATTGCCTCTAGCAACCAGGATATTTAAACAGGAAGGTACACAGGAAAATATAAGTTTCTAGGTATTGTAAATAATCTGAATGGAACCTGCTCTATTTATAGTTTAGGAAATGTAGAATATACGAAGGTAAAGAAGATTAAAACTGGGTCCATTTAGCTACAGCAGTATTAAATGAAAATAATTATTCTTCTAGCCCTTTCCTATAAAGTAGATTGAAATAAGTCATATGTTTTTACCGAGTGCCTCCCTTCATCATCATACGTCGCGTCAACCAGAAATGACCAGTATACATGACGTTCACTGCTGAATGCAGTTTTTCCTCAAAGACTTCCGAATCGGCTGGTTGGAAACAATCTGAATCCAAAGGCTTCCTGCTACCTTTAGCAGATCACTCTTTTTACATGGAGGGATTTTTATTCTTTTAAAGAGTATTGTCATGATTAATTATACTAAATTGCTAGATATCTAAATATACTGGTAGACGGCCAGACTTGAACAGTTCATAGCTTGCGATATAAATATACCCTTTAACAACCACTTAGCAGAATTTTGCTCTTATGTACGTAAATCAGAAAGCAATGAACTTAGAAACATGCTAGAGTAGACGAGGCACTTTCAGTTATAACTACATGGTATAAGTAACACACAACATTACCTCTGTTATTAGGTAGCTCCCTAAGAGGTAACAGTCTTGTTCTAGAATATAATTTTGCTCTAAAGCCAGTAGGAAAATGAAACTTAACTCGATAATGATATAGTACACATTTCAATGAACCATAACGCAACCTTGATACTACTAATGGACCTAATATTTATTATATTCAGTATTGATGGTGGTATTGTATGCACTATGTGAGGACGTACCGGTACTGTCACAGTATAAATATATTTTTATTCTGTGGTACTGTCGGCGCCACATACGTCTGGCTCGATATCTGACACCTGTGTACCTATTTGATGAGTCAGGAAAATGGATTTAACGTCACAGGTCTAAGGGAGGTGGAAAAAGATATTGTAGGCTCATTTTTGGTTTTAGAACGGAGTTCGAATCGCTAGCAGGCTCGCCTCGTTTTGTATGGGACCCAAAACTATAATAATGTTAAATTAGAATACATAATGCGGAGGACTTAACGGGTTGTCGGGGCTCCGGTTCGGAGGGTAGAAGTAGGAACGGAGTGATTTTTAGTCAGTAAGTCTGACACTCCCGCCTCACCCAGGTGGGAACCATTCGATGATTTTCCTCCCTTAAAAAAAAGAATACACAACCTCTGATACCTGTCTCCCTGGGTAGGCAGAGTATCGACTCTAGAATCGTGGTGTCTAGTATAGATTCGTGGCGTTCCATAGGGAACGCCACTTTCGCACTCTTTCCCTTCCTTTACAGTCATAAGTCTTTTCAATAGTCATGCGTGCTCGTCCGTTAAAAGTACTTTTAATTTACTTTTAATTTGGCTTACTTTTAATATTAATTAATATGTTCTTCAGCCTCTATTTCATGGAATGATGGTACATATACTAAGAATGGAACTTAGTACTGACACATTTTATATTTACAATGCCACTATCACTACCTACCCTATTGAGGGTTTAAAAGCATGAGCGTCTATGTGCATAGTTTTAAACACATGAGAATTTTGCACGGTTATTGAAAATAACCTTTCTATCTTTTGATTTACGATGAGAGTTGTTAGGCCTTGGTTCATTAGCTACTACTTATGTGAATAGTATTTGTCTACATGTTCGTACGTGAATAAAATTCTCGGTTAACTATTTTTACTGTGGGACATCAAGTTCTTTTGGTTATGCAGTTTACTTCTAATACGTATTTTTTTAAGGGGGGAAAAATCATCTAATTGCTGCTCCCGCCCGCCGGTGAGGCGGGAGGAAGTGTCAGACTCTTACTGACTAAAAACCACCGCGCTCCTTCTCCTACACATCGAGCCGGAGCCCTGGCAACCCGTTAGGTTCTCCGCGACACTTCCAATACGTATAGCTTTTCGACAAAGTTACTCGACTACTTTCTTACTACACCAGAGGCTCCTAATAACATCTCAAACGCTTCGAGTAACTTCATTGAATAGTTGCGTGAGTGAACCGTATACAGGTTTATTAATAAAATGCTCCTTATTAACAAATGTCTCGTTTTCGTAAGAATTTATACAATTCATCTCCACTCCCTAATGTAACTTTCTACATGCAGTAGTTATGCGTGAGTGTAACTAAGCCAGTGACTCACTTCCGACAAACATTCATCTTTTGCTTTATTTAAATGTAGGTATTGTCTAAAATAATTATTTATTCTTTCTTAGAAATGACAGTGTGTTCTCGGTAGTTACTTAGTCTTCGGTGTTAATTTATTAGCATATCTGTGACCTAAATTAATTTCTATGCATTGGCATCTTTGAATCTTCGTGTTGTAATTATTTATACTAAGTAGGTGACGTAGCGACGTTCGCACTGCTTAAAAATTCAGAACCTATAGATTCGGTCTTTCATTTATTTAGGCGTTACAAAATTAGACTTTTCCTCAAATGTTTTTCTATTTTTTTTATTAAGCCCTCGAGCGTCCTTATGAACACCCGGTGGATCATAAGAAAAAATGCTTCATGCTGCTTTCTCTTTTATAAAATCTATTATTAATGTTTTTTTTTTATTTTGACTGTATTTGTTTTATTTCTACTGTAATGATCCTTGTTTTCGTGTGCCAATGGCCAAATAAATGCATTTTCTTGCATGCATAAGGATAAGGAAATGCATAAGGAACGCGGGCGCTCGACGTGTTAAAAAAACATACAAAAATACAACCTAACTTAAATAACTCTCCATACATCATCAAATCTATTTAAGTTAGGTTGTTTTTTGTATTTATGCTTTTGTTTCCTTTACAGCATCATGCGCCTCAGCCCTGGATCCTGGAGACGGAGCCGTTTGGGGCCTGGTGGTGAACTGTGCTGGCGAGACCAGGGTGGGGCAGACGGAGGCAGTATACTCCGAAGGCATCTACACTCTGAGTGTGAATGTAGCTCGGCAGTGCGCCAAGCTGAAGGTGGATAGACTGATCGAGATCTCCAGCGGACAGATGCATAGTAGTGATAAGGTAAGTCGACTGTTTACTGGTTAATTAAAATGAAGGTTTAGGGGATCTCTTTTCGCATGTTTTTGGCAAAAACGAAGCAGCCCTATCAAAGTCCAGCCTTTGCAATTTGTAATTTAATGACAAGGGCACGAACAAGAGTCCGTGGAGAAAAAGATATGTAAATATAATAAAAAAAGAACCCTCTCCAATTAGAAAATACCCTTAAATCATTCCGTTGTGGCGAGAAAAAGGAAAACCAAACACTTTCTCTTTTTTAATACTAGCAAAGATTTCCATATCCGTTATTGCCGTGAAATTATATGACTTGCTCATTTAATAGATCGCTAGACATAGACAAAGTAATCGGATTATTAATTGAGTGATACATTTATTTTTAATTATATCTAGATTTATATCAAACCTATTTATCTTCTAATTATATCAAATCTGACTTATCACATTTCACAAGTGTGATGTAATCATAGCTAAAAGCTGTCGCAATTTTCTCATGTTCTACTGCAGGCATACGTTGCAAGAATGATTGATAATAATAATAATCTAATAGACGCATAGTCATGCAAAAAGTAAACGTATTATAGAAAATTGAGTCATGTCAAGTGATCGGATGATTATTTTCATCAATTATGATGCCCAGATAAACGATTTTTCAATAATGACCAAAATGACACCAATAGGGATGATGACACCGTCATCATGACAGGGTATGAAAATTAAAAATCTTATTAGTCCGTCAGTTAGGTACTGAAAAAATATTAGACACGTATTTTTTATTTTGATGTATAATAAAATGATACTTATATATAACGAATCAAAGAGTGGGGGGGCTAAAACGTCATTTCTACGTATAAAATGTACATAGAAGTGACGTCACGTGAAATTTCATATATCTTCGAAACTATTCGTACCGTAAAAAAATTAAAAATAAATGTCTAATGTTTTTAAATAATCTACCAGACTGACATTAAAATAAAAATAAGTCATCTAACCTATTGTGGGAGAGCCATGCTTCGGGACGAACGGGCCAGCTCGACCGGAGTGATACCACGGCCTCACTGAAAACTGACGTGAAACAACGCTTGCGTTGTGTTTCGTGGCGGAGTGAGGTTTCCAGAGGGCCAATTAATTACCCCCTCTCTCTAATCTCCCCCAATCCCCGAATCCCTAAAAATCGTCAAATTCCGATTCCCCAAAAGGCGGGTAACGCACTTGTAACGCCTCTGGTGTTTCATATGTGTTCATGGGCGACACCGGTTGCCATCAAGGAATCCGTCTGCTCGTTTACCGGCTTATTCCATAAAACAAATTTACATCTGAAGCCAAACGTCCGCGGTCAGCTAGATTAACTTAAGTAACATAGTTGAGCCAGTATTTCATACAACGCAGCTTAACTAGCATAGTTTGCGGTGGACGCACATGTATGAAAAACTGGATGACTATGCGAGTTAAGCTTAACTAACTTATTTTAGCTTTTTTTTTTGAGGGGGGAAAATCATCCAATGACTTCTCCCGCCCGGGTGAGGCGGGAGGGAGTGTCAGACTCTTATTGACTAAAAACCACCCCGTTCCTACTCCTGCACTTCGAGCCGGAGCCCAGGCAACCCGTTAAGTCTTCCGCGGCTCCGTATCGGCATCAGCCCTGTTAGGCCCCATCATTGACTTACATCGACTGCCTCGTTGTTTATGCTGGAGGCTGTAATAGCTACCCTAGCAACGTAACTGTCCAAGAAGTCACATAGGTACGACTCACGATGAACTTTTGAAATAAGTTCATGAGTCACAGGTGACTCATTTTTATAAAAATTTTGGGGTGTATTTTTGATATGAGCAGGGCACTGAATTCTAATAAAAACTACGTAAACGTGTGGCAAATCCTTTATAAAAGTAATGGGGTACTTGTATTTTTTATTATATGGGGACAGTTAAGTTTCTAACGGTGGTGTCAGTCATCCTTTACGGCGAAATATGATAAATTATTCCCGTAGAATTTCGAATTCATTCATTGCCACAACGAAAATTTTGTGCCAAATAGATAACTTGCATTTCTTGCCCACCCCTTCAGTGCAAAAGGCGTGACCAATCTGGACTTAGCTGACGTCACTACATGTCATGTTCCGTAACCCATTAATAAGTCGACGGGATGAAATTTACGAGAGCGACCGGAACTTACTAGTAATTATTTATTATCACTCACTGATAAGTGGCAATTTGATGACGTACCGTCGTCGCAGCCAGTGCGTACATTAATATCGTTAGCCCAACTTATATTGGTCGTAATTTTGAGTACATTTAGCAGATTGAATCAATTTTATGGGAGCCTGTGACGTCATTTATATCATGCTGATGTAATCTTGATTTAACTTACAATTTAGTTGTAAAAGAGAAGTCATTGAAATAGATTATACAAACAACATTAGTTATTTAAAAAAAAAATTAAAAAGAAGTTATATGATTATGTTGTACGCCTTACTCGCGTAACTGCTTTATCTTTGCTGAGGTAATTCGACTGATTTCAAGCCACGCTTGGGGCTCATATTCATCATAATAGCTAGTCGAGTTGTCTTACTTTAATACGTTTCACGATTGTAATATAAAAAAATGGATAAATTAAATTTTTTAAAAGAATATTCTAACTACAAATTAACAATTTTAGCCACAAAAAGAAGACTGCGCCGTAGAGCCGTGGACCACGGAAGCCAAGATGAAGAGTAAAGTAGAGAAGGAGTTGAAGAATATGAATGGAGAGTTGAACTATACCATCATCAGGCCTGCCATCGTGTACGGGATCGGAGACCGGAGGAGTTTAAGTAAGTATCTCTGCCCCTCTCTTTTTCCTTATGAAGTGTTTTGTCACATTTTCTCCCATAAAGATTAAAAATTGTGGATCGCACAAATGAATTGTTCTATGCAAGAATGGAACCTGTAACACATTGCTCTTCAGCCGATTGTCTAGCTAGCCGATGCTAACCGCGGCCTTTGTACGAGCTACGAGTTTATTTTTCGTTCAAAGTAACTGTAACGAGTACGCGTTCGGCGCTGTGATTGGCCGGCTCCAATGAACAAACCAATCAGAAGCCTTAGTACGAGTTTCTTTTTCGTTCAAAGTAATCGTAACGAATACGCGTTCGGCGCTGTGATTGGCCGGCTCCAATGAACAAACCAATCAGAGGCCTTAGTACGAGTTTGATTTACGTTCAAAGTAATCGTAACGAGTACGCGTTCGGCGCTCTGAGGGTCAAGCACGAATAACTATCGCAATCGTATCGTAACAGTATCGAGCGAGTTAAGTGTTCTGATTGGTTGGTTCACTTGAGCCGGCCAATCAGAGCGCCGAACGCGCTCGATACTATTACGTTACGAATGCGATAGTTATTCGTGCTTGGCATTCTGATTGGTTGCTTCATTGGCGCCCGCCAATCAGAGTGCCGAACGCGTACTCGTTTCGATTACTTTAACCGAAAAAGAAACTCGTACTAAGCCTTCTGATTATTGTTTCTCGTTTTATCGGCTTTACCGCCATCTTTATTATCCTCAATTTCAAATTAGGATACGTTCGCTTGTTCGCGTCCATACTACTAAGGTTCGTCTGTTTACGTCCACCCACCAGTTCACTTTCATTTTATGGATCGCCATGAATGTAAGATAATTAAACGTGAAAAAGTCAAATAGATGTGTACTAAATACACATCGTATGTATAGTGATAGTTTTCTTAATTTCGGGAATTTTTAAAGGACGTTCCGTAACATGGATACTAACTTACCTTATTTATCGGAATCCTTTCATCGCCCACAGCGTGTTAATAGTATAAGTGATTTACTCAGTAATCCGCCCGTTATGGGGGAAAGTGGATTACTACATGCCGCGGACAATTAAACAATTAGTTCTGTACTTAATCCACTTTTCTATTTACTGTTCAGACTGTTCTTTTTTTTGTGCGGATCTCTTTGCTTTTATTTGTAGATTTCACTATTTGACCTATTTAAAGCTATACAGTGTCTTTGATCAATTCTATTTGGAAAGAATTTTACTACTTTTAGTTAAGGGCACTATAAATTACATCTGAACTTCGCATTCGATCTTTTTGGTCATAAACTTAACTTTAACTTAGAGAAAAGTTTAATACACATAATCTTTCGGGTTTTAATCCAATTAAAATTACAGAAAATTAAGCAAAAGAAATATGTAAGCATCGTAACAATTGGCGTTCCATAGTCTCTGCCTACCCCCATGGACGACAGGCGTGAGGTTATGTATGTAAAATTACAAACGAACAACAAATTACAGACGGAATAACATATTTGTAAAATACTGTCGTTCCTTAATGACATGTTTACCAACTAATCTAAACTTTAAAAAAGTGTTTTGTAAACATGACACCACCTGTCATCATCTTACAGCACCCCGCCTCCTCTACGGCGGCATCTACAAGCACCTCAACGAAACTATGAAGCTCCTATGGACAGCAGACCTGAAGATGAACACAGTCCACGTGAGAGACGTCTGCCGGGCCGTCTGGACCTTGGGCAGGCACCCAGAAGCCAACAAGCAGGTCTACAATGTGGTTGATGACGCTAACAGCACCCAAGGTGCCTTAGCCGAGCTCGTTGCCGATATATTCAAAATACAACACGATTACTATGGAACTGCTATTTCTACGCTTGCTAAGGTAATCTTTAAGATATTTTTTTGTGTTGTTTTAAGTTTTGACGTGACAACGTCTTGTAAATTGGTTTGCCGGGTGACACTTCAAGAAACTGAGTTACGCTCCGCTCACAATGAGAGCGAGTGAGAGGCACGCGTCCCTTCCACTCGGGCATGGTTAGCCCGCCTAAGAGCGAGAGAGACAGACATAAAAAGTGAAAGGCACGCGTCCCTTCCACTCGGGCATGGTTAGCCCGCCTAAGAGCGAGAGAGACAGACATAAAAAGTGAAAGGCACGCGTCCCTTCCACTCGAGCACAGTTAGCCCGCCTAAGAGCGAGAGAGAGAGAGAGTGAGAGAGATAGATAGGCATACACACCGGTAATTATTTTACCACTCAAAGTCGTTGTCACGTAAAACGTTCGCCCGTATACCGACTTTACAGGCAACCAATTTTTTTTTAAGTTTTTTGATGTCTAGAATACGAGAAAATGTTTCTCTGTTTGTCAGCTTAACTGAAGTTATTTAGCAAAGCCATAAATAAGTTATTTTATAGTTTTATACGTATAAATAATTGGTTTTCCTTATTGTAGTCAGTTTTAAACCGAACAGACAGTGCTACTCCAATCTCTGTTATATTTAGTCCTTTAAAACCCTTCATATCCAGCGTCCAGAGTAGGCGTAGACAAACGCTACGCGCCTATTACACACGTAACAAACGCTAACGTGAAGGGGCTCTTACCAACTAGAAGTGTAGGAGTAGTTATTAACCCGTCGAGCGTCCGCGTTCCTTATGCATTTCCTTATGATTGCCATTGGCACACGAAAACAAGGATCATTACAATAGAAATTAAAACAAATACAGTCAAAATAAAAACAAAACATTAATAATAGATTTTATAAAAGAGAAAGCAGCATGGAGCATTTTTTCTTTTGATCCACCGGGTGCTCATAAGGACGCTCGAGGGGTTAATATATTCGGGTGTACGCAATGATATACAACACAATATATTATACCACAGACGGACATAGCATCAGTAGCAGAGGAAGCGAACGACAAGCACCTGACGGCGTGGGCCGAGCTGTGCAGTAAGTACGGGCTGCAACACACGCCGCTGGAGCCGAGCGCGGGGCACGAGCTGTTGCTCAACAAACAACTCTGTCTCGACGGCAGGAAGCTGCGCGCCCTGCTGCAGCTCGATGTACCCGCGCCTACTATTGATAAACTGAAGGAGGTTGGTGGCTTACTATCTTTTGAATATTTTTTACTAGCTTTTACCCGCGGCTTCGCTCGCGTCACAAAAGGATAAAAAGCCAATGTGACATATACCAATACACACAGCGCCATCTATACCAATACTTTTGTTTTCCTTCGGGAATATCAAATTTTTCCGGGATAAAAGTATCCTATTATTTAATCCGGACTTCTAACTATACATCTGCAAAAATTCATAGTATCGGTTTAGTAGTAACGGCGTGAAAGCGGAACAAACAAACAAACAAACTCACTTTCCAATTTATAATATTAGTAAGGATGGTAGAAAATTATCAAATTACTCATACCGCCCTGTAGCCATGAAGGAGTATCTGACTCTTGCTGACTGAAACAGACCCATTCCAACTCTTGCTTTAGAGCCGGGACATTAACTTATTGCGCTTAATCTGCAGCCCCAGCCGTATTTTACAGTATCAAATCTCGCTCTATTTTAGTATTTTTACACATTTATGGATTTCGTTACCATTTCATTTTATTCATAAAATTATGTTAACACATGAGTCTCTTACATAAAATTGTAATCAGTTGTTCCATTGCAATACAAACAGTACATTTTATTACACGTTTTTATATACATATAATCGTAAGCACTGAGCTTCAGAAGATTACTTTTTATAATATTCTCCTTTTGTCACCTCCAGGTTTCTCTAACGCTTCTAACTAACTGTCTTTATTTCCAGGTACTGGAAGACTATGCTTCCATGAATCTGTTCCCAAAGGAGCTGCTCCTATGACCGAACAAGTAAACCACCAACCGCCATTTTTATACGTATTCTATAAAATATGCACCAGTACGTTACAGCTTGCATCGATTTGTTTCGCGATATTTGGTCACAAAGTAGAGTAGTGTATTTACGTTAGAGTAAGTCTGTACCAAGAGATTGTCCAGTAGAAATTGGTGTTATTTCATGATTCCTTTTCACCATAAGTATGTACTGTCTTAGAAACAGAGGCGGAGTAAATCTAGAGGGCAAACACCTTACAGGCGCCCCTATATTTTTGGCGCCGTCGCCACTCTATGGTCAGTTGGGCATGCGCGTCTCGCGGCGCTAACCGTAACCTGGCGCTCTAAATCTAGTTTGTCTTAAGACTAATACGGCTCTGAAGTAATATCTATTAGAGATGGTATTAAATGTTTAGTAGTCAGTGTATGTCAATAGACATTAGACCCCACTCCCGCCCCCCTGTGGCCGACCAACTATCGCTTTCACACATTCTGTCTTCATAACTTTAAGCATTATTTTGATTCATAATTTTAATGCAACACTGTGATAACAAGTGAGAAGTTTTGAGATCAAAAATAAATCCCAAAAGTATTTTTTATAAAAATTGTGACAATAAAAACTTTTTAAAAAGACATTTTTGAATAACCATAGTCTATTTAGTAAGGAATCGAAGACTGTGTATACCAAAAAGCAATGCTCTCATTTTGCTTTTTATTTTTTTTCTTTTTAAATACGTATCTTCGAAATTCAACATTTATTCCATCCAATGTGAATTGAAATAGTTATAACGTATTACAAGTGAAGCTCAATTTAGTACTTAAAGTATTCATTTTATTCAAGTATGGTGCGAAAATGTTTAGTTTTTTAACTGTATTCGTTGTATTCTTATAATAATTTACAGATTATATTTTTTTGATACAATATCTTAAGGAATTTAGGCGTTACATTTTAATTAAGAAAATAAAGTAATAACAGTGTGTCAGTACATCTCAGATTTATTTTTAAATGCTATACTGCCTTATTGGTATGATAGTCTCCCTTCGTGATAAATACGACGAGTTTATGAGTCGCGCTCAAAGGACAAGAAGTACTTAAAACTTACGAAAATTCTACGTAACTGAAAATGGCTTTGCATAGCTATCAACAGTTTTTAACCAACTTAAAAAGGAGAAAGTTTTTTACAAAGTAAAGACAGTAGTATATTACGATTAACGGTTTCCTCACGTAAGTCATTGACGGAGTAACTCAACCAGTTTCAAGCCACGCAGGGGCTCACAAACCTTACGTTACTCTGTCAAATAGTTTTGTGAGTAATCCGTAAAAAAAATAATTGATTGTATATGCATATGTCTCACTATATTTATAATACAAAAAAGACACAGTAGTTGCCGTATTTTCAATATATTCCTGTATACCCCGCTTTTAAATGTGCTTAAGTCCCGAAACAAGGTTTCTATGTATATTGCGTTAGGTAAGCGTAGTGTAAGACATTTTAATGTTTAAGCTGAAATTGTGAAGGCCTATAATCGCAGGTGACTTGAAATTATTATATTGAGATATTTTCTTTAGGCTAAGTTCGGCATTGTTGCGTGTTTGTTCGAACGACAAAAATAATATTTTAGTTCTTAAAGACATATTTTTTAATGTTAGATTAGGCAGATGTGCAATAACGAGTATATTATTTTACATAATCTTTATAAAAAGTCAAGTTATTAAATATTAATGTACAATTTATGTTTCATAATACAACTTGTACGTAAACTGTTGTAAAACGTGTTGAATTGAAGACATACGGCTTATTTACAATGTTCGAGGATGCTCGTACAGTTTCAAGCCATACCGGGGTTCATAATCAAGAGCTGTGAGTGTAATAATCTACAAAAGTACATGGAAAGACGATAATAAAATAAATAATTTTTAAGTAAGATTTTTTCACATTGGCAATAAAAAAGTCGTTCGAATAAAACGCGTATCAATTGTTTATCTGAACCAACCCTTAGTCATTATATAGTCAAGTTGCTATAAGTAATTTTGAGTATTTTTAAAAAACTTTGGGTGTCATGAATGTAATAAATGCTTGTCAATAAATGTGTAATGTTTATTTTTATTACTTAGTATCGATATCGATGGAAATCGTGTATTCCTATTGCTTAGCATTTTATTCGATTGATATAAGTTTTGTTTAGAAGAGCTTTGTATTTTACGTTCTACATGTATCGTCAATTGTGTAATAAATACTTTATATGTACTCTTTTGTTTTATTTTTCTTTCCGTGTGTGGTTATGATGGATTTTAATGTGGTTGGAATATGGCGAAAGAACTAGACACCTTTTGACTACCAGAGCGTAAACGCATCGCCGGCATTCCCATACCAAGCCACAAATTCAGCACTTATAAGGAGTATAAGGACTTCAAATTACCCTTAAGTACACATAAAAATATAATATTAGCTAGGTTTGTTACGGGCTGTAGCTTTTTTTTATAAAACGCAATATTATTTTAAATGACGTGTAGTTATGAAAAGTAAACTCTTAATCGTGATTGTAACTACAAATATTAGTAATCAAAATGTATAACTACTTTTACGATTATTTAATGTAATCTGTAATCATGATTACTAACTACATTAAGTAGTTGTAGTTAGTAATCAGTAGTTAGAATTCAATTTGCCCAACACTGTTCAGCACAAATACCTACAAAAAATTCATTGTTTTTCGAATTATACTACCATTAAACAGAAGCTGCAAAGTTTTAAACAACGGAAAACTAGACTTGAGAAATAGAAATGAATAAATCAAACAATAAATAGGTGCATCACTGATCTCGTTCGTGACGTCATGCGGTGACGGGAAAAGCCGTCTCTGACGTAGCTGGCACACCTTTTGGCAACTGCCTCACATGCGACTAGGGTTGGGTTGATATTGCGTTTGCGGCACATTATAAATAATAATCAGAGGTCGGAGGAGCCAGGAGGTAGATTGCTTTAAGGTTATTGGCGTCAAACTTCAATATGGACAATATGGATATGCCTCCAAAATACAGGAACTTCATATTTATTGTGATATTTGTAAAAATACTTACCTAACCTTGAAATCGTTACACCGTATTTTTACCGATTTCATAAAAAGGAGGAGGTACTATGTTCGGCTGATTGATTTTATTTTTTGTTTGTTCGCGCATTACTCCGCCAATTGTAAACCGATTTCCAAAATTCTTGTTTGGTTTGAAAGGGTATACTCCCGAGATGGTCCCATTTCCATGAGGTCAGGATCTGATGATGGGATCCTAGGGAAACTTTCGAAAATTGTAGGGGCGAGTAATGCGTCTATTAAGTTTTTCAATTAGGATTTTTAAACACTACAATTTGATTTGAGGGTCTGGAGTCGACCTGATGATGGAGCCGACAGACAGTCGAGAGAACTTCTCAGCGGTTTATATTAACTCCCTTGTGTTTGGGCTTGATTAATTTGTATTGATGAGGACTTTACACCTAGATAGAGTGGGGCTGTCATTAAGGGTCTGATGATGAAGAAGTGTAATTATTAAGGGAACTCTTCAACGGTATACAGTAACTACCTTGTTTTTGGGCTTGTATAATTTGTATTGATTAGGACTTTGCACCTACGTATATTATAAGTGGCAAAACGAATCTATGTAGCTTTACACTGAAAATTATATAATAATAAAATAAAAACTGAGTTTGGAAAACCGACTTCAAATAACTAATAACATAAAGACAAAAGGAAAAAGAAAAAATAACTGTTATTAGTACTGATAGGTTAGAAATCGGTGCCGTAAGATTATTTATTGAATTTTTATCCACTTTTGAGCAGTAATATGAATCATGTCCTTCCTAAATTAACAAATAAATAAAACAACCATTAAATATTTCAATATTTTTTTAATGTTTTAATTTAAATTCAAACTTTACGGCTTATGAACGAATAAGACAATAATAATACTGTTGCCAACAGTATCAGAATGTACACAGTTCAGACACTAGCACATCAACCTTCAATAATTTTCGACTTTATCACAATACAAATAAGATGTAACATTGAGTGGTAACGCAGAGTCAGTCAGAGATTGACACTCAATCTAAATGTCTTATAGCATTTTCACTCTGTTTTTGCAGAGCAATGCAAATATAACATCACATAACATCACGCCTTTATTCCCGAAGGGGGTAGGCAGAGGTGCACATTATGCCACTTTACAATATAACACCCACTTGTTACATTGTAAAGTGGCATAATGTGCACCTGTTGTTGTTGGTTGATGTTGGTTGCGGTCTCTTTGGTCACAGTTTTAGAGCTCGGAGTCTTAGACATACACATGGATTCTGTACTAGTATAAGCTTGCTGGTTGACCTGCTAGTGTTCAAGAACACATTTGAACAAAGACAAGTATATCCATACACTCACACAAACAATATAAACTCCACATGGTTCACCATATAAACATAATTATTCATAATAGGACTTAGCAACATTCAAAATACAGCATTATGGACGTGTTCATAAGATTGGTATTCAATTGAAGATGGTTAACCTTGCGTATATTTAAAATAAATAGATACTTGGAAGACAAGTTTTGTTGAAGCAAAATATAAATCAATTAAATGTTTGCCTCAAAACGAATTATTTTGTACTTATTCCACAGTAAAAACAGATGGACAAAAGAAGTAAGATTAAGTTTTCTTCAGCAATGTTTTTAACCCTTGTAGCTTCACTGCTAACAAAAAGCGAACCTAACTTTATCCTTTAACCAACTTAATTAACTAACAATCGCGGGTAACTCACGTAAAAATACTGAGAAAAGCTCTACTAGTTTCGAATTACAGAGGGGTTCTTCCTCATGACCAGCGTGCGCGGTCGCGGCTATGTCTGCGCTCATGGGTAAGTAATCCACGATTTTTAGTTAATTTAGTATGTCTCACGATAGTTATATATTTAAACCAGTTTAAAATAAAGGACGATAAAATCTAATATTTATTTTCTGAACAGTGGAAGTCGACCAGCGAATCCATTTTTCTAGAGTACGATGAAAGCCAAAGTACAAACAGCAATGTCATTTATTTAGTATGGCATAAGACTGATCTCATCAAAGCTATAATTTCTTTAAAAACTATACGTTTCAAATAAGAATAGAGTAACTAGCGGAAGTGTCAAATCGTCAAAAATAATTTGTTTTATACCAAAACAAAATCTATTTAGACAAGAACAAAATCTTAGATTAAGCAAATAAGTAGTTTATTTTCTTATTGATGAATAATTGAAAGTCATTTCTAAAAGTGAATCGTCACTTGTACGCTCTTAAATGGTCCATATTAATATGTCATTGAGGCCCTATTCTTTATTGAGACGCATATCATCAGTCCCCTGTAAAGGGTAGACAGACATGTGTTGTGTTGGTACACCGACATGTATTGATACAATTATACGCTCAGGAATCCCAATATTACTGTATTGTAAATAAATAACCAGTCTAATGCCATAATAACATAACATAACATAAGATCACGCCTTTTTATCCCCGAAGGGGTAGGCAGAGGTGCACATTTCGGCACTTAATACTAATGCCATAATAAATAATAAAATATACAAAAAGTGCACAAAATATTATATAAACTGCGTATGAGCACAAATCCTCCTTATGTTATAAAACATTAACTTATATGCATTGATATAATATGTCTATTTAATATTTAAATATTCAGTTCCACAACAATACTAAACGACCTTTTTCGCGACCGAAGATTTGCTGAAATATGTCAATGATTGAGCGAATTTGAACCTTATTTAAAGGTAACTTAGGTACTTATAGTATTGTAAAATCGCCGTCATTTATCACATTTTTCTATTGCATCTTTTATACCTATTGGCATTCAAGTGGTTAACAGAATGGCAATGGTAAATAAAACTTGATATTTCTAGTACATTTTGTTCAGCAAATCATCGCGCAGGTACTGACTTAAAATAACCTAAAACGTCTCAAATAAAATTTTAAAACAGTCATAATTAGTTAGCCTCATAATACAGGATGTAACGAAAACCTTATAGCTAGAATATTGCTCTTTTTAAATAGGGGAAATTCTTCCAATGACTTTTCCGCTTTGGGTGAAGCGAAAGAGAATGGCAGACTCTTACTGACTAAAAATCACCCATTTCCTACTCCTGTTTCAAGAACCAACAACCCGCTAGGTCGTTGGAACGCATAGATAAAATATACCTGGTATAGAAACACTATACAAAGTTTAATCACCATAATTAACAGACCCCCATGGGAGATAGGCGTGTCGTTATTTATGTATGTAAGTGACAGTCGACTTCTAGTCTTTGAGACTCCTTTAGGGCCAAAACACATAATGGCGTTGCGGGGCCGCGTCGCTAGAATCGACAGTAGCATCACTGCCGATTTAAGCGGCGCGGCGCCGCTACGCAGCGCTCGTTCCAGCATAGCAGAGTAATGTCTTCTTAATAACAAATAAGCAATAAGTTTTTCACGATGGTCCATGGCAGAGACACGTCTATCCACAATAAAAAATCACGACGAACTGGTTACGGTACCGAACGACAATAAAACGCTCTTAATTCACAACGCCGCAACGCAAACTGCAGATTTTAGCGTTGCGGCGGCGGTTATGTGTTTCGGCCCTTACACAAAAGAAGTTTGTCATAACTTCTACGCATGGCAGACAGGTTGGAGATCGCATATTACTTGGTTCAAGTTTATCAGAGAATCTCTGTTTCTGAATTAATGTTTTAAAAAGTATTTTAAGTTTTGACTATTTAGATTAGATATAGGTAGAATTAAGAAACCATAATATATAATTTCCTTTTTAAAAGGCTGGCAACGCACTTATGACTCCTATGGCGGCGCTGATCGCTTACTATCAGGTGATCCATCTACTCGTTTGCCTACTATTCCTTAAAAAAATTGATAATTATATACCTTTTTCGTTACACCTTGTACATTTTATAGATATAATAATTATATAATTCTTTGCTAAGTAAATTAATCTAGCATACAACATACTATAACATATTACATTATTTTTACAACATAAAGTAGCGCATGGCGATATAAACGAAAGAGCTTTATAATGGGAACGATGACGGACTATATTAACTATAATCAAATCGTCAGAAAGGATAATTTTTGTAACTTTTAAGTCATAATTTAATACGGTAGTAACTTTACATGAAGTAATGTATTAGATATTAATTCACTTGCTTTTTATTTTCCATAGACACATTTAAGAATGGTAAAATACCGTCACCAAGGGACTACCAGACAGACATTGATCTTTAAATACTTTAAACAAGATTTGTTGACGTTTAAACTTTAACTTTATTCATAAAGTATTTGTTTATTTAGTGCCGTTACCATCCCAACTATAATGCACTTTTGTTAACAAAACTTGAGGTCATTACAAATCGCCTTTCATTTTCAATAATCATAAAATATTTCGAATTGCATTAAAATTAACTACTAAACAATTAAGCTAGAATTTCGAGTTCTAAGGCCGAACGCACTTTGGACGTATTAAAAACATAATCTTATTAAAAACTATATAGCACATAGACAAGTCCGTGATATCTTATTTATTATTATTATTGCCATTTATGTACACTCAAAACCCCGACTAAGACTGAAACTCACAAATCGAAAACTTAAAAGTAATCGAACCTCGTACACAATCGATCAACAACATACAATAACGAACTTTAACACAACAGCGTAGAATACAAATTACTATCCAGTGGGCTGGCCTTGATAAGTTGACAAACGATTTTAAACTTTAATAGCATACATTTAGCTAAAACAAAGAAAATGTTCCATCGAACTTGCCTTCACGCTTCGCAGGCGGTGCTGAGAGATATGTGTCTCTCAGTCCGGGTATGCCACACCCGCGCAGTAGATGCGCGCTACTGTTGTAGGTCATCCCTGTGTGTCGTTCGCTCCTACGTGGGAGTAGTCTGTTAGAGGCACGATCACTACTTGTATCTGTAAACGAAAATAAATTACGCATATATACCAACTTCTTAAGAGCATAAAATATATTTTTTTCGGTTTGGTAGAAATGTTTGGAAATTAATTTATTTTTTCTATTTTCCACAAGCTAGTTGAAATTTGTTCTAAAAAGCCAAGGATGGCAGTCCCGGCTTTGATAACGACAAAAATTAATCGATAAGTTGTAAATCACTTTAATAGATTTAACTTATTTATCGTTACGTATTGTGGAAGAACATTTCATAATAGTTTACTTAACTGTGGATTAACATTAAGTATCCGTGTTATATTTATACATATAAGTACTCACCCTAAGCTGGTCCTTATGAGGTCCCAACAGATGCCTCGGCTCGGGGGCTTCATAGTCGGAGCACTTGTTGCAACGCTTGGAACTCACACTGTACAATAAATAAATGAAATATATCTTTTAACATCTCATACATTTTAAACAAAATTGAGATAATTCCAGTTACAAAAGCATGTAAGTTGGGACTGTCTTTTTTTTCTTCTGTCTTTTTTGTTGGGAATTAATTCAGGATCATTATTATGAAGGATGTTAGGTAAAATGATAGATGTGAATAATTGCCACAGCAATTCACTTTTATAGAGATTAATGAGAATTTTTTTTTGATAATATAAACAAAGAAGTTGTTAAGTATTAGAATCTAAGAAAGAATTTGAGTGTGGGAGAGCCATGCTTCGGCACTATTGGGCTGGCTCGACCGAAGTGATACCACGGCCTCGCAGAAAACCGACGTGAAACAACGCTTGCGTTGTGTTTCATCGTCTGAGTGAGGTTACCGGGGGCCCAATTATTCCCTCCCCCCCCCCCATTCTCCCTAATACCTGAAGCCCCAACAATCCTCAAATTCCTAATCTCCAAAAGGCGGGAAACGCACTTGTAACGACTTTGGTGTTTTAGGTGTCTATGGGCGACACCGATTGCTTACCATTAGGTGATCCGTCTACCGACTTATCCAAGAAAAAAAAACATCTTAACACTTTAGAAAGATACAAGAGCTGTAGAAAAAAGAGGAGAAGTAAATTACCTGTTAACCGAGTAGTTGTTCCCGGCTGCGGGCAGGGTGGGCGGCGGCGGCGGCGGGGGCGCGCCGGGCGGGGAGCACGGCGTGTACAGCGGAGTGTTCAACGCGTCGAAGTCCAACGCGTCGTCTATGTTCAACACTCTGTGCGCAATACAATTTATTTATTTACATTAAAATGAAAGTTTACAGCAAGACCCAAAATACTTACATTCTAGGATACAAAAAAGAAACTTAAACCTATTACATCACTTAGATAGTTCCTATATTATTGAGATTTATATTTAAAAACTTATACACTAATTTCCCTATGACATACGACTTATCGTGGAACACATCTAATTCTTAATCAATGCATTAATACTAAATGTCCGACTGTACTTAAGATCTAACTCATTTTTCTAATTAATGAACTTGCAGCGACATACGAACATATACGACAGGCAGCGATACGAAGACAAAACCGACTGTTGATGTGACGAGTGCTACAACAATCGATCGAAGTTTGAGTCCGATTTAACACAGAAATTCCTAACGCCTACTAACCTAAGCCGGTCAAAGCATCTCTTTTCCTAAGTAAAATATTTTTTAAGACTTGGTACTCATTTATTCAAATAAAAAATTTATATTAAAAACTAACTATTACTTAAAAAAATTAAAACTAAATATTACTAAATGAAATACCTATATACAACTAAAGATTAAAATTAATTATAAGAAAAAATTTTTTAAGACTAACATTTGATATTAAAAAAAAATACGACCAGACCCGAAACAACCATTTGTGGAACACACAAAGAGTTGCTCCGTGCGGGAATCGAAAGCGGTACACGTTACGCGGCAAACAGTTGCCCAGCCACCGCGCTGGACGTGCAGCCTTTTATTTTTATTTGACATTGACACTTGATATTGTTTAATAATATGCACCGACTGCTTCATTTAGTCATTGACAAAATTATTATGGAATAAGGAACCTCACCTGTTCTGTGCTGAAAAACGATGTACTCGCTCTACCACGGAGGACACGTGCTCCACTCCCTTCTCCACACCCCACACTAGGATGCCGATCTGATGACAAAATACAGAGGTTTAATATTAATGTACTTTTTTTTTGAAGATTTTAATCCCTTGGATAATTGTACCACACTAATTATAAATAGAACATCCACTTTTGACTAATTCTGTTAATTACTCATAGCCTATAAGTCGCCACTGCTGACCAGTAACCTCTTCTCGCAAGGAGAAGGTTTGAGCATTAATCACCACACTTGCTCAATGCGGGTAGGCAAGGTAATTTTGGTAATTATATCAGATATTAAATTAACTAAAATCGCGGGTTATTCACGTGAATATACTGAGAAAAGCTCTACTAGTTTCGAACCACAGAGGGGTTCTTCCTCATGAGCAGCGTGCGCGGTCGCGGTGATGTCGCGCATTTCACTGTTTTTGTGAGTGCACAGAAAAGCTCTACTAGTGAGTAGAGCTTTTCTCAGTATATTCACGTGAGTAACCCGCGATTTTAGTTAACCTTGCTATTACTTTTGAAAACCGAAGTAAACTCAATAATTAATTGTTAAATCTTGGGACCCCTTGCTATAGTTCCTATCTCCCATAAAAAAACATCTCATTTATTTATACTCAGTGGCGTGCAGTCCATATAGGCAAATAGGCTTTGCTTGACATAAAATGTACTAACGCGTTTATTAAGATTCAATAATATAATAAAAGTTTGTAAAAAAACGGCTAACATAAATATACATTCACATATACTATACACGGACCGCACGCCTTTGTAAAGCAATGAATGCGCGCCGCACGCACCACGCATGCGCTGCTATTCCTTAAATCTTGGTTGTTGGTTGTGACGTCACAAAAAGTATGCAACGCGCATGCGTGAAGGTCACGTGACTATGGTCACAGCACAGAATAACCATTCATAAACGCAAAAAATTATTACACGATTCAATCTAGCCGGACTTTAAATTTGTGAATCTGCGCCATCTATTGAATTTTTTGTTAAAACTTCTGAATAAATATAATGCGAATGTCTTTTTATAATTATGCATACTAAAAAAATATGTTTCAGGTGTTTTAATTAAATCTTAACATTTTTACGCGTTGTCGCTTTATAGAAACTTTAAACGAGGAGTTGACTTTATTATTTTAAAAGTTAAAAGGAAGTTATCGAAACGTCAAGTTGCCGCTACTCAAAGTTTCAAATTATTATCAACGAATGTTTCTTATTGGAAAATAATAATAAGACAATGATGCAATTCCATTTGACTTATGTAAATTAACGTTTTGTTTTTTTATAATTAAACACTGGGTTGCTTTAATGTTTTAGCTATAATTTTTTTATAATAAACATTCAATTGACTACGATGGGTAATGACTTTAAAATGTTTTCGGCCATATTGTTTTCATGAGATGTGCGATCGCTTTGTTTATGTTTTCGTTTAAATTATAAGGAATTAGTTTTAAACATAAAGTTGCATAAATATGTGTAGAAGTATTAAAATATATGTGTCGGTTTTTCAAATAGTGTATTTGTTTATCAATGTCTAGTATATTATTCGATTGTGAAGTTTGTGTTGATAATAGGTAATTTTTGTGTTTGTTTAAAGTTAAAAACAGTAAGTTTTCGCAAAAATGTGTCCTATAACGCTAGTCGTTATACTATTCAGGTAATGACCATAGGCAGAACTCAAGTTACGAGAATTGACCCAAGTCAAAGGTAGGTAATGTAAATATGTAGGTACTATAATGGATCTTTTATATGATGTTCTTGTTTATTGATTGATAATTCTTAAAAATATCAACTTATACCTCGGGTTGTTTTGATTTACATATTAATTTATTATTAATAATTATGTAATGTAATAACAAATGTACCGCTTATACTCGGCTCGGCCACAGCCGGCCGCGCTTGTTGTTGTTTTGTTTGTTGGTAGGTATCTACGTTCTTAAATTCGTAATTATGATTTTAAATAGATTATTTAGCAATTTGATAATTGAATTTGGTTCATCAAATTTATGATTCATTATTAGTATAATAAATAGATGCTTCATTATTTGTAAGTTTTGTTGGCTTATTCGATAGCTGATGAAGTACTTTACAAAAAATACGCGAGATGTCAGTGTATGTAATTTGGCGAAAGAATAAACCACAATATTCTTGAACGCACTTTTCAAAATGTATTCTGTACATGTACCTGTCTTGTGGGAGTATGATTGTATGACCAGGGGGGAGGGCTTTAATCATACGATATTTAGTTGCCTACCCTGTCTCGAAAATCTGTGCACGCCACTGTTTATACTATTATATTATTACGCGTATACTATTATGTAAAGCTGAAGAATATTTGTTTCCGGATCTATAGGTTCGATTTGAATAATTATTTTAGTGTTGGATAGTGCATTTATCGAGGAAGGTTATAAGATACTAGCTTCTGCCTGCGACTTCGAACGCGCAATCCCGTTTCTCCCATTCCCGTAGGATATTCAGGACTTTTTTCTGTCATAAGACCCTTCTCCTGAGGATAACAAACACAACAAAAAAATCAGCCAAATCGGTTTAGCCGTTCTCAAGTTATGGTGTGACAACGGGAAACGGGTTTCATTTTTGTATAGATAAGATAAAATATCACGCTGCAATCAATAGGAGCTGAACAGAGCGCGTGGAACTGCGCGATAGTAGGTAGTTCTGAATAAAGACAAAGACTACTACAATAACAAAACAAAGGAATATAATCATCTGGTCTCCTTACCTTAACCCTGACATCAGGTTCGAGTTGTTCAGTCTCCCCGTCCTCGTTGACTGTGAACTCCGGACTGTTCTGACACGTCACGGAGATGCGCACTGTACGGAGCACTACCTCGGGTATCTGACGAGTTTAGAACACGGTATTATGATGATTAGAAGCGATGAATGATGGTATATATTTTTTTTTAAACCGACTTGAACACCCTCGTCTTTGAGATCGATTTATTAATACACTATAACAGTCTCCTAAGTGTTTTAAAGCACTCGGCTTCATGCTTCCCATCACTATCGCCGACCATTCCCCCTTACTAGAGTCGGCGGCTATGACAGCGCGCGAGCAAGCATCGCGCATCGGTCACGCCCCGCGACTCCAAGCGCGTTTGCGAACGGAAGCAACAACAATTATTGCATAATGTACAATTTGAATTCTTTATTAAACTAACTAAAGTCTATTCCGTCTTTTTTATTGAATTCAACTTGATGATAGTCATCAACGAAGTGTAACAAACACTTTTCTGAAAACCGCATCAAAATCGGTTCAGTCAATCGTGAGATAATCGCGCTCAAACATACATACATATACATACATACATACATACATACATACAGGTCCAACTGAGAACCTACTTCTTTTTTAAAGTCGGTGAAATTAAAGTTTGTATTGTTATGTAAAAGGACTTTAAAAAGAACTTCTTATGTGAACATTTATTAAACATACATAAGTACATACACATACATATCACATTTATTTATTACATCTTTATTTATTTTTTAACTATTAAAATTATTATTTTTTGTGGTGCCCAATCTATTTATAATTAAGACTAACCTTAATTTAATAAGCCTAACATAATTTTTTAGGCCTTAACTAACTGATTAAAAAAACATTTTTTATTGAATTATGATTAAAAAGATTAAAAAAATAGTTTATTGTTTTTTACACCACTTAAACTGCCGAGCCGTATTTGATGAAACCTGGCACCGTGGGAATACAAAACGTCACGCCTTTTAATCTCCGAATGGGTAGGCAGAGCCACACGAAAGAAGAGAGAGAGAGAGAGAGAGAGAGGGACAGGGGGGGAGAGAGCTTATTGCGAAATGAATATATATCTCCTACTAATGTTATGTATGCAAAAAATTGTGATATTCTTTTGTATGTTTGTTACTCAACTCATCAAAACGGCTGAAGCAATCGAGATGAAATTTGGAACAGGGATAGATGGTTTATAGAATAACATACAGGCTACTTTAATTCCAAATTACATTTTTAAAAAGATGTTTTTATATACATAACATACATAACATCACGCCTTTTATCCCCGAAGGGGTAGGCAGAGGTGCACACAGAAGTAACATCCACTTTTCACAATTTATGTTATGAGTCCCATGGTGGTGGGGGTGAGCCTATTGCCATATACCGAGCACATTTCTAGTCTCAGTGCTACTATTGAGATTTTTACTATATATCTTATATATCTAACCGTATATTAGAAATTATATAATAACTTTAAACTTATTAATGATTTATTATAAGTTATGGCGTCATATTAACAATTATTTATTTAATTATTTACGCTGATCGTACATACGGTACATACCCGCCTATTGCCTCCACGCGTTCGGTGGAAGTAATTCTGGGGCAAGAAATACAAAATATACTATTAATTCACACCTATACTATTAATTATTAATTATTATTTATACTTTTATTACAGGCAAAGTGCGCTCGCTCTGCATTAATGAAATAGCAAATGATTTTTGTGAAGTTTTAAATAAAATTATGGTGGAATTTCATTTTTTATTTATTTTTTGTAGAATCGATTTAATTTGTTTTAGCTAAATTATAAAGTGAATTAGGTGCCACTGCTTAGTTTATACATTTTATTTATCGTTTATAATAAAACTATGAAAAGACAAAACGGTGTCAAAATGAAATAGAAGAAGAGAATAAGTAAACGTAAAAGAGTTTAAGTTGCGATGTGCATAGCTATATAGCGTGTAAATGGAATGTTGCTGGAGACGCAGACAGGTGATGTTATTTATTTTCAAAAAAGGAATTAAATGTTTCTTTTATGTAAAAATAACTGCGACCAAAATCAGGTATTTGAACTACTCAAATTCAATACTTTTATCGAAACGTCAAAAACGATACTCGTTCTATGAATTTTGTACGAAATACTAGCTTATGACGTCATCATATTTTCGCGTCAAATAATTGTAACGCGGTACACCGATTTAGGTTTGTGTCGAACGCACGCGCGCTACTCTAGTGGCAACACGCCACCTCACCACTATTTCCCTTCCCCCGCTTCCCCGCCACTGACCGCTCGACGCTAGAACAACGAGTCCGCGCCGGAGCCGCGACGCACGCCCATATTTGTGCCGCGAATATTCTTTGAGTTTCTTGTTTTATTGTGCAACTTTGTTTATATATAGGTAGTTTAAAGTTTATTTCAATATACAGTTTACAGTCACTTGTGTGTCGAACTTAATTTCACGCCCTGAGAACCCACCACCAAGACCAATCGTCTTCAACTATATTACAGTATTCAATTAAGCAAGTCAATGAACGAAAGTGTAACTACTTTTCAATATTTAATTGGACTGAAAAATCAAAATAATTTATTTTTAAATAATATTTTTTGTCTGCGTTTTAGAAAGCATTCCGTTTACACCCTGTATAAAAGCTAAAAATAAACGAAATAATTATTTGCAAATAGTGTTGCTATTGGTTTAAAATATTATGTTCGTAATAAAAAAACCGCTGAATAATATGCATCCAATACATAATATTATCAATTTACAAGTGATACACATGAAAAATTTTGCAACTTCCCTTTTGAACTGAAATATCAGTGTTACAGTGTATCTACATAGCATCACAAAACCAACAGAAAGAAAAACTTAATATACTCACATCATAGGTCCCAGCCCAGACGATCAGCAAGCTCTTCCTGAACCAAACTCCTTTGGGATACAAGTCTACTGTCCACTCGATGAGCTTGTCCTGCGGGGCCACGTCCGCGATGGAGGGCCGCGTGGAGAAGATGAAGGTCCTTGTGTGGTAGCAGGGCAGCGAGTGGAAGTTGTCGACGGCCAGCACGGAGCCCCACGTGTCCTCCGTGTACAGCCGCGGCGTGAACAACATGCGCCCCGCCTCCGTCGCCTGGATCTCCGACACGCGCTCCAGCTGGCCTGGGGGGGGGTGTTAATACTTGTTGTATTTTCAACTAGCTTTTACCCGCGGCTTCGCTCGCGTCACAAAAGGATAAAAAGTAGCCTATGTGACATATACCAATACACACAGCGCCATCTATACCAATATTTTTGTTTTCCCTCGGGAATATCAAATTTTTCCGGGTTAAAAAGTACCCTATTATTTAATCCGGACTTCAAACTTTACGTCTGAAAAATTCAAAGCAATCGGTTTAGTAGTTACGGCGTGAAAGTGGAACAAACAAACAAACAAACAAACTCACTTTCCGATTTATAGTAAGGATTGAATTTAAAACGTATTTGTAGGGCCCTGTTTCACTAGGGGGCGGAACCGAGGCGGCTTTTAACCGCGTAACATATAATTCTATTGAAAAATGGGCGCGGACAAAAACCGCAAGTGTAGCTGCTTATATCCGATTTCTTCTTCCACAAAACACGGTTAAAATCGCCGCAATTCCACCCTACTGCGGCCAAAGCCTTATGCGAGAAGTTTAGGTAAAGTTTTTGTACATTGTTTATGAATGCCAAAAGGAACCTGCGAAGTTTTTAAAACAAAACAATATAGGACTTAAATACAGTGAGATGCAATTGTCCTATTTCTGACCTAACTAACCAAGTCACAGATTTAGTCTAGGATAGACCTTGATATCAAAACCTAAATAGGTAACAATTTATTTTTTATTAAGTTAACCTGTTGAAAATCTTACCCTAAATTTGTTCACACAAAATTAGTCTCTAAACATCGGAAATAAGGTCTATAATATGGTTAGTGGAGAGCGGTCACCGGTGACCGCTTGGGAATAAATGGTAAATAAGTCTGAGGTTTTAATCTAGAGTTTTCTGAGTACCCATATCATAGACATTACCTGACTGATAACTCATGGCGATTGCCATCCGCTCCATGAAGAAGTCCTTATGTTCCTGAGTCAGGGGACATAGCAACAACTGCGCTAGTTGATTGGGGCACATCATCGGGAATCTGTGGGTAAACGATAGTCAATTATTTATTTATTTATTTATTACTAACTTTTGCCCGCAACTTCATTCGCGTAGGACATGATTCCTGTTTTATCCCATAGGAACATTTAATCGGGATAAAAAGTACTGCCTCATTGGCCGAGTGGTCGCAAGTGCTACTGCCGGGTAAGGGGTCTCGGGTTCGATTCCCGGGTTATTACTTGGATTTTCAAAAAATCACAATAGTAGCACGGCGTCTGGAATTGTGCTCGGGTATATGGCAATAGGCTTACCTCCTATTACATGGGACTCATAACATAACATAAATAATGAAAAGTGGGTGTTACATTGTACAGTAGCATAATGTACACCTCTGCCCCCCTTCGAGGATAAAAGGCGTAATGCTATGTTAAAAAGTATCTTATAACCAAAGTCAGCCCATGCTGTGCTGTATAACAAATTTCATCAAAATGCGTGCAGTTCAGCGTGATTGTCGGACATACTACCAAAGAAACTGTCACATTTATAATATTAGTGTGATGGCTTCTAGAAACCTCTGGAATTGGTATAGTTTTATGATGGATTCAATAAATGCACGAAAAGGACTTTGTAAAAGTGTTTAGTAAACTGCAGCTGTAGCCAAATGCCATTTAGCGCTTGTCTACATGTAGAATAGAAAACCAAATTATATGGGATTGACGTAAATTTTGACACTTGTCAGTGTCATCCCCATACATTTTGATTTCTACTCTATCTGTAAACAAGCGCTAAAGTGGCGTTTGGCTAAAGGCACTGGTAATTCGTAAGTTAGCTTATTGTTAACATATCTGAGTGCCAAGCACGAATAACTATCGCATTCGTAACGTAATAGTATCAAGCGCGTTCGGCGCTCTGATTGGCCGGCTCAAGTGAACCAACCAATCAGAACGCTTAACTCGCTCGATACTGTTACGTTACGAATGCGATAGTTATTCGTGCTTGGCCCTTTGAAGCCTTAGTACGAGTGTGTTGTACGTTAAAAGTAATCGAAACGAATCCGTGTTCGGCGCTTTTGATTGGTTGGTTCATTTGAGCCGGCCAATCAGTGCCTTTAGCCAAACGCCACTTTAGCGCTTGTCTACACAGAGAGTAGATCACTAAATGTATGGGGATGACACTGACAAGTGTCAAAATTTTCGTCAATTCCATATAATTTGGTTTTCTATTCTACATGTAGACTAGCGCTAAATGGCATTTGGCTACAGCTGCTGAACGCAGAACGCGTACATACATACTTACGTATGCGGTAAGGTCAGGTACACAAATTCATCAACAATTTTGTTACAAAATTCCCAACAAAAGTGTTTCCGAAAAAGTACTCTTTTTGGATTTTAAAGGTTATAGCTTCTTATTTTATGTAAGTATTAGTTTATATAACAACATAAAAAAGTCCAGATTTATTAGTACCACCAAAAAATAATATGTACAGTTTAGTAATGAGACTGTTCGAAGTGGTTCGACTAATTTCGAGCAACACCGGGGCTCATAATCATGACCCACTTCGACTAATTAAATATTATTTGTTATTGTTATGTTTGTTATACAAATAATGGTTAGTATTATGAATAAAGTCGACCTGACGTGTGAGAAGATGGCGGCGACGAGTGACTCCCAGTGCGCCTTGACCTCGGCCTCCGACAGCTCGCTCGCTGACAGACGCTCGCGTTGCTTTTCTAGCCAGCGGACAACGAAACTGTAAACAAAGTATTGATAATTAACAGAGCTCTTATAATGACAACGTAATAATTAGGTACGAGTTAAGGTAATAACTAAATAACAAATTGTGAACCTCTGTTTTCAAAATGGAGGATTTTTTAAAGCGTGACGTTATGTGATTTTAATGCAAGAAAAATGGTGTGCGTTACCCAGGCCAGATGTTTTCGAAAATGGTCATTTGAATCTTATAGATAATTAGTTGTCCGGCTTCTGTAATAGTTGTGCACATTTTGAAATTTGTTGCGTTTGTATTTTTTTAATTATTTCACAAAAACATTTCCTGCTGGGGTAACGTTACTCCAGCCAGACCTTTTTCTTTCTAATGGGAATATTTAAATAATTACTATAGTCAGAATTTTAATTAGATTCCAGATTTGACAATAGCTACTGTCATTTTGTGAAATAATGATACCACATATAATAGAGTAGTGATGCACACAAAGATCGATAAACAATCAGTGTGTGTTTTATAATAAATGTTACAGAAAGTGACAGGATAGCGATAGCGATGACGGCGACAATTTATAAATTAACTTATTACCATAATACATCTATCTGTTTTATTTGTCATGTTCCTTCATGATTACATTTTTTTATTTATTTCACACATAATTATAAAAGAAAAGTCTCAGATCGTTAATTAATCGTCAAAACTAAATTATCGTTTCAGAAATGTTTAATTTCCTGATGTACTTAGTTTACGAGAGTAAAATTATAAACGAGAAGAATCGATCCAGAAATATTGCATTTCCATATCGAATAATTTCGCAACGTCACTATTTAGTACTTGTCATAACGTTGCAACACTGAAATTGTCAAATCTGGAATCGAATTAAAATTCCGAGTATAGCTATAAAATTAGTTGTCTAGATGAAGTAAATTATTTTTTTGTATTATTTTTTTTTCTGTGTTGTATGTACAAGTCTTCATTTTGTATTAATATTATTTAAGTTGATTTAGATTTCTTTATATTTTTAATAACATTAACATTCTGCATTCTTCGGGAACTGAACTCTTTACAATTGACATAAACACTGTGACAATACTGCTATAGAACATTAGAGATACATACTCATACACGCTCATCTCATTATGCAGCACGAGGTCGCTCTGTTGCAGTAGGTGGACGAGGGTCTCCCCCTCCAGCTCACTGAGGTCACTGTCGGACCACACCCACTCCAAGTTCCACTTCACGAAGTTCTGACATGACTGTAAAAATATGGACAATTTAAAAAAAAAAGAAACGTAGGATTTTCTCCTGTATCGTGAGTGCGTTTACAAACATACAAGTTCACATACAGATGACACCCTGACCCGGAACTACAATCTGTGGATTACACAAAGAGTTGTTCCGTGCGGGCATCGAACCCGCGACACGTTTCGCGGCAGCCAATTGCCCAGCCACCGCGCCAACCGTGCAGTCTGACAGACTTTGAGATTATAAGGTTACTGAATTTATTAATATTAAGTATTTGATGTATGATCATTTTTTTTCTTATGTCAAGATGTCAGGATATATGAAGTGCGGGAGAGCCATGCTTCGGCACGATTAGGCCTGCTCGATCGGATATGACACAGTCTCACAGAAAACCACCGCTGCAATTAGCCTTTTTCCTGGGAAGATTATAAAAAAATCCGCTAGGGGCAGCACCGGTGGGGGGGTACATATGTTTTGAATTCTCTATTGACAACAACGTCAAACGTACGTCTTATTATTATCAGAATAAATAAATATTGTGATAAAAATTTTTTTTTTAAAAATAGTCATGCCTACAAAACATTGCGCATTCGCAAATTGTACGTCTGATAGTTGGTACAAGCAAGATGGTGTAAAATTTGTGTCATTTATAAAACCACAAGTTAACAAAAAAAAGTGTTTGGAGTGGATACACTTATCACGAAGGACAGATTTAACAATTGATAAAATAAGTTTCAAGCCATCGTTTCAAGTCCCGGACAAGATGATCTTGCACTTTTGCAAATTTTAATTTCGCTCCAGGTACATCATCTTCAGTTAATTCCATTTTAATTCTACACGTTTGACGTTGTTGTCAATAGAGAATTCAAAACATATGTACCCCCCCCACCGGTGCTGCCCCTAGCGGATTTTTTTTTAATCTTCCCAGGAAAAAGGCTAATTGTAACCTGCTACCTATATCATAAAATAGAAATCCACTGGCGAGTAATGTCTTCTCAGTACCAAAACTTTAAATCAAAAGCGTGGAAGTGTTTCTACATATACTTTTTAGTATATTTCATTAGAATTATAAGCAGATTATACCTTAGCGACTTCGTTGTGTCCGCAGGCCATGGTGTACTGCATCCAGGAGATGAGCTGTCCTCGCTTGGCAGCCTGCGCTATGTTCTGAGACATGTATGTCAGGCAGAGAGTCACTAGGTCCTGGAAAACAAATAAGCATTTCAAATATGATATGAAAATACAAACTTCTTTTACTATTGTAAACTAAACCCATATTTGTTTGATATTTACCTTCACATTGTATTTATCGCCTAGAGAAAGTATCGGTAGCACTGTTTCATGCGATATTCTAATCTGTCCAGTATAAAAATACCTGTAACAAAAAAAAACATTACAAACTGTGTCAAACTAAAAAAAAATATCAAAACATTATGTCAGTTAAAACAATAGAAAACTTCCTGGCAGTTATAAATCCGATCCAAAATTTTTTAAAATGGTGTTTTTCCTGTTTTAGTTCATATAAATTGGCGCTACAAGCGGTTAAAGTCTAGTGACTTGGTTCCTAGTTGGTAATACCAAAATTGGTTCATCAATATTTTCCAATTACCTTATCTGTTAGTATTCAAGATAGATACCAAAAAGTAATTTCTATTAATGGTAAACAACAGTTAAATATTCTCAGTGAGTCTACTTACTTAAGGAAGTGTGGGAATACTGAGGTAGCTGTAGGTGTCTCCTGGAGTACAATGCGACTCTCACGCCACTCGCTCCATTCTCGGTTCATCAACATCACCTGACAAACAAAAAATCAAATTAGATCACTTACATCCAAATACTCAAAGGCTACCCAATTTTAAGTTGCACAACTACCAATTCCAGAAGCGGTCACCAGTGACCACTCTACACTTACTCAATTATAGACTTTATTTCCCATGTTTACGGACTAGTTTTGTGTGAACAAATGTTGTTTGGAAATTGTCGATTAGAAGTTAAATATCGTGTCATCTCTGCCATTTTATAAAAAAAATTGTAGTGACAGAATTTAAATAAAAAAAATTGAAATGAATTTAAATTTTTTGTAAAGTTTAGAACTGATAATACAAATTCTTTTCAAGATTGGGTGCAATAACACAGATTTTTACGAAATAGCTTATGCATAAATGTAAATAATTTTAAATTTGATAATGACAATAAAGCATGCATATCTGGTTAGAAAATCCATGAAATAAAATTTCAAGAGAAAAACTTGATGAATATTTACCTGAAAAACTTCACTACTGGCACATAGTATTAGCCGATGTGCTGGATAGCCGACTCCACCCACCTCAAGGATGAGATCACTCATCAGCTGCTCAGCATACAATGTTGCTATTTTATACAGAACACATTTGGAGTTGTCCACCTGCAAATAAAAAGGGTTTTAATTGTTTACTGTCATGAATGCTTGACACAACCCTTAGGTTTACAACTCAGGTCTGAAAGAGTATTTTGAATCTCTTTCTTATTTCAATACCAATTAAGATTAATTTTGTTTGCTTTAGAAATGGTATACATAACTACTAAAAATAATTATATAAGAGTTATTTCAAGTACATTTGGTTGGGGATAGTGCAAGTCTGCGAATCTACCACATGTATATACCATGTATCTGCAATAGATCCAGTTTTACAGATGAAGGTAAAACTTAACTGTTCAATCCCCACACGGTCACCGGTGTCCACTCTCTAATAAGTCCATTATAGACCTTAATTCCAATGTTTAGTGACTACTTTCGTATGAACAAATTTTGGGGATTTTCAATAATGTATATCAACATATTAATAGCTTTATTGAATTAATGAATTTGAAGCTCATTTTTACACTTTAAAAATGAGTCCATCGAAATGAACTTGTATTAAGGCGGAGCCAGCCAATGAAGATTTTGCAGGATTCTTCTGCGAAAACTTGAATGAGCTAAATGTTTATCAGATAAGAAGAATTATCCAATGCTGGTTCCACGGATTTGCAATATCTCCAACGACATCCCTTCATAAAATCATCCACAATTTGCACCCGCAGGTCACCATTTCGGCTGTTGGAATACACGATATGCTAAGCTAAAGTTACATAATACATATTTTTCAGAATCATAAGGGAATAAGCTATGTTTTCAAACAATATAAATGAAATAAAGTGTTGTTGACAAATTATATGACCTACTAAATCATTAAAATGCATTCAATAAGTATAGAAACAATGATAGAAATCAGCGTAATTAACTGCTACCAATTTATAACGCACATTCTATACTTGGCAGGCATTGTAAAGAATTTAATGACTTCATCAAATTAGTTCCTAGTTAGACTGACAACTATAAACACATAAACCTTATGACTGATATTGAAATATGGCCCAGCCTTCACACTAATATAGACTGAAATTATTGCAATAACCTTCTGTTTATATGTTCTAGGTATTACATGTTTTAAATAGATAAAACTGATATAATATAAAAATCTGTCAGAAATAAGAACTAAAAACATTTCTCAAGTTTCATATCAAACAAACACTGATGCAAAGACATTTTTAAGAAGAAAGCAACCTTACTATATGTTGTAGGGCAAACGTAAGAATTGGGCACTCCTATATGATATTACAGAATAGATTTACAAAACCAATAACATACCACAAGACCTTCATTGACTTCCACTCCATCTTCCTTTTTCTCGGAGGATGACGATACCTGACGGTTTACCGTCAAGAAATCCATGATACTATTAACATCTAACCTTGCCGCATTGAGGTAGATGCTAAATATTGTTTCTTCTCCAAAAATAACACTAAAATAATGCACTATTTGCCACTAAAAATTCTTAGGTTTTATTTACCCGTTCATGACATTGTGACGCAACTTCAATAATGGATGTCAATTGTCAGATTGTGAAATGTCACATTGTCGGCTGCATCTGCTCCGCTCCATTCCATTACACAGTGTTAGATAAACACAAAACATTTGGTTTTGATCCGAAATAAACATTACTACTTTTATGTAGCTAAAACTTGTGGCTATCATGAAAATTATTTGCAGTTTATTGAGAAACCAGCCTTTCATGAGATGCTACATTTCTTCCACCGTGTTACAACGATTGCTGTAAATTGAAACGTGGTTTCATAAAGTTGGATGGCTGTCAGCTGTGACACTGACAGCTGACGGCTGACTGACAGTTATACTCAGTAATGAATTCGTTTTGTATCAGTGACTTATTTAGCATTATCCACGTTTTTTGTCTCTTTTTACCAAATGTGTAAACAACTGGCGCAAAAAAGAAAGATAGACACGACCGCACAAAAACAGTATACTGCCGTATACGGATGTTTTGTTACCGTTTGTAATGTAAAAAAATATGTGCACTGATTTCCGTGTTTCTTTATTATTGTCTGTAAATTACTGACCAAAGAAAAGTAAAGTGTAGTGTGTAGTATTGTATCTAAATGGCCGGCATGATGGGCCTTAAAAAGAAGAAAAACATTATAATTTTGACATTGTGCATGGTCATATGTTTCATACTTTATCAGTTGTATTTTTTCTTAACCATAACTTCTGAGACCGGTAACACGAACAGAGTTGTCCCAGTTTTGAATTTAGTGCATGAGAGGAAAGCAGATTCGTTCACGCACTTGCGATCTGAGGAGGATAAGTTCATAAATACAAATGGCATTATACATGGTGTCTTATATTCTCAAATGGCGAAATATAGACCAGATCACCTAAATGAATTCAAATGTTTAAAATCTGATCAGAAAATTCCTTTTGAGCAGGTAAATGATGATTACTGTGACTGCGAGGATGGGACAGATGAGCCGAGCACAAATGCCTGTGTAAACGGAACATTTTACTGTGAGACACAGTATAGGAAGAAGCCGGTAACATTTAATGTTATACCGTCTGGTCAAGTAAACGATGGCATTTGTGACTGCTGCGATGGCTCAGATGAATGGAGAACGGACTTATTCAAGAAACTATTATCGCAAAGTTCATCAAAGTTTTATAGATATTTTGTAACAAAATGCCCTAATATTTGTTAGCAATATTATTTATGGTTGTAACTAAAAGACTTTGTAAATGCTTTTTAAAATTGCTAGATAGTTTTAGTGTGTTGAAATTATATTTTAATTGCAGCTCGGAATTAATTCAATTTGATGTTGAAATAATTCAAGTAGATGAAGCTTCTATTTATTTATTGAGGCATTTAATGTACATAACTTTGTGTTATCTTTAAAATACCTATGCAAAGAGCTACTGCAATGCAAATTATGTTTTGTTTGTTAAAAAGTCAGTCATGAGTTCTAAAATAATGTACTTACATTATCATAAAAACAACTTCAAAGACTGAACACCTGTATAAATAAATTGTACATACCTACTTATGAATATTTGTTTTTCTCTTTGTGTTTTCCTTGTTCGAGTGCTATAGCTTGAAATGTCACCATATCATCATAACATCACACCTTTTACCCCCGAAGGGGTAGGCAGAGGTGCACATTAGAGCACGTACAATGTAACACCCACTTTTCACTATTTATTTTATGAGACCCATGTTATAGGGGGTGAGCCTATTGCCATATACTGGGCACATTTCCAGACTCCGTGCTATTACTGAGATTTTTTAAAAACCCAGTAATACTTTGGCCGACCCAGAAATTGAACCCGAGACGCCTTGCCCGGAGTAGCAATATAATATAGCAGAGCAGTATAATAGTAAAGTATATTACCAATTTAACATAATGCAATCATAACAATGGTATATTTAATTCAAATTAAAATTCTTAATTGCTTCATGTGTGGGTACACTTAAAAAACAGCACTATGTGTTTAAAATTATACATTACATATTCAAGATAAATTTTTTAATTTTTTTTTAATGGAATTGTTGGCGGATCCTCTAATGGTAAGCGATCAGCTCCGACCATGGACACTCGCAACACAGAGAAGAAAAGTCGCAATTGTTTCAATTAATTTTTACTTATCTACATTATCTACTCGTAACAGCATTTCACGTAAGTTTGTTCATAGTGATGAAGAGGAACTTGGAACTGACGCTGACATAGTTGTTATTTGGCTAGATATATTTAATTTCTTCCACAAAACGAAAAGCATTGTACCATAGAAAAGTAATGTTTTTGCAAACAAGTTAATAAGTAATGATAGCTTTCTCTGATAAAAATGATAAGTAGTAATCATTTGAAATTCCCGCGGTGCTTGTTTTTTTTTTACTCTGACTATCTTCTGATCCTGCAGGTTGTCGTCGCGGTCTCAAATTCTCAACGTTGATTGCAAAAAATGGTAGCAATATTGTAAATTCTTATACTAATCTTTAACCTTATACTCTTGTTTTAAATTGAAAATCTATTCCTAAACAAATTAGCGACCGATACTTATATTATGTAGTAATATTGTTGTCGAGAAATCGAGCCTTTCAATTTTAACACTTGAGTGTTTGAGTAAGAAAGTGTAATAAACTAGCAGTTTTTGGAGATATAATAAATTTCATAAAAATATAAAAATAGTCATGTACGAGAAATTATTTATCAACTTGTTTATTGTCTCTTTCTATCACGTTTGATAAAAAGAGAGACATAGTCACACAGTTTATCTAGAAAATTCCACAAACCACGCTTGCTCATGTTTTATCTGTGGACCACAAATCATTCGAAAAGGTTGACCGGCGCGCTACTGCTGAGTTTTCGAGAAAAAATAATCAATTTAAAAGTTCTCGCTTTCATAAGTGCATTTGCGTTATAGTTCCAATTAATAAGTTAAATAAAAATCTTTCATCATGACTGTTGACGAAGGCGTAGATATCACTAAAACTGGAGATCGCGGTGTGTTGAAGAGAATCATCAAGGAGGGTACAGGAACAGATACTCCTAACCCTGGATGTCAGGTCACTGTTCATTACACAGGAACACTCCTGGATGGCACCAAGTTCGACTCCAGCAGAGATAGAAACGAGCCATTTGAATTCAACCTAGGCAAAGGTACGAACTCATTTTAATTGTTCAATTTATAATTATTGTAAACTTGACCTCTTGGTTTGTTACCTTGATCGATTTATCTTTAACCTATTCTATCAGATTTATTAGAGCACACATTGTTTGTGCTAGAGTTAATAATAGTTCATGTAACATTTTAGATCAATGTGAATGATTCTGATTATAACAAGCCCTAATTTTGTCTTACAGTTCACATGCCAATATTATTATAGATAAAATTCGAATAAAATGTATTAGGCTCAACCTCTTTTTAATATGTGCACCCTCTGCCTACCTCATGGTGATAAAGATGGTATACCAACCATTCATAATGTTTTCCAATAAGACATTGTGAAATGCACAACTGTTTAATGAGTATTTTGAATAAGTAACACTTAATTTGTCTCTTGTAATAAAGCTTTCAATCTTATTGTTTGAATAAGTGGTGTTAAATAAAAAAGTATTAGAATGAATTAACGCAACCATAATTTCTAGATGTACAATGATGTGTAGATCAATGAAATGTGGTAGTCAAAGAGATTTACATATTATTGGAATAGTCCAATTAGAATAATATTGTTACTGATTAACATAAGCATGGGGAGATAAAGATCTCCCTTTGGATGGAGGCATTGGGTGATCAATCACTTTAAGATAATCATAGAGAACTTCCAAATGCTGCTATAAACATTCTTGAACAGACTCAACTCACACTGGGATTCCTCCACTAAGACTCCTGTATTCTGGGTGCATTTACAAACATACAACTTCACATTGTGGATCACACAAAGAGTCAGCCACTACACTCACTGTGCAATCAAGTGCAGTTAATCAATGATAGTAATGATGAATAAAATAATGAACATTCTCTATTTATTTGTCCATAGGTTCAGTCATAAAAGCATGGGATATAGGAGTAGCGACAATGAAGAAAGGAGAGGTGTGCGTGTTGACCTGCGCACCTATGTACGCCTATGGGGCTGCTGGCAGTCCTCCCAAAATCCCACCAAACTCCACTCTTCAGTTCGAGGTAAGGCCCTATTTTTGTGAATTTAATTGTCATTATTACTTTTTGCCGGTTCTCAGCAAAGTCTTTGAAAAGTTGATGCTGTCTCGGATGCTTCATCATTTTAATAAACATTCCATCTTTCACCAACAACAATACGGTTTCACTAAAGGTCGTTGTACAACTGACGCCGGTGTCACTTTGATTAAGGAAATATTTGGTGCTTGGGAGGAAGCACAGGATGCTATTGGTGTCTTTTGTGACCTCTCAAAAGCATTTGATTGCGTTGACCACGAGACACTTTTGCTGAAATTAGATCACTACGGGATAAGAAACTCTGCGCTCCGTCTTATGAGATCTTATTTAGAAGAGAGACAGTTAAAGGTTCATGTTAACGGTATTAACTCGCAGGGCTCTGGGATGAATATGGGCGTTCCTCAAGGTTCAATATTGGGTCCCTTTCTCTTTTTAGTCTATATAAATGATTTGCCATTTATATTTAAAAATGAACCACGAATGGTGCTTTTTGCAGATGATACATCATTAATTTTTAAAATAGATCGACGTACAAATAATCTTGACGACGTAAACAGCTCCATTCTTCAAGTGCATAATTGGTTCACCATTAATAATCTAGCACTTAATGAGAAAAAAACAAAATGTATTAAATTCAGTTTACCAAACGTGCGTAGTAACGATAGTGATATTGTTTTGAACGGTCAAAAGTTAGAATTTGTCGACGAGACAGTATTTTTAGGCATTACGTTAGACAATAGGCTACAATGGGGTCCGCATATAAAGGCGCTTTCGGGGAGATTGAGCTCAGCTGCTTTTGCAGTTAGACAGATTAGACAGCTCACGGACGTAGATACAGCTAGGCTTGTCTATTTTAGTTATTTCCACAGCATTATGTCGTACGGCATTTTGTTGTGGGGTCGAGCTGCAGAAATAGAATCAATATTTATTCTACAAAAGCGGGCTATCCGAGCAATATATAACTTACGCCGTTGCGAATCGCTGAGAGAATTGTTTAAAACGATAAATATTTTAACGGTGCCCTGTCAATATATATATGAAAATATAATGTATGTAAGGAAAAATAGGCAATTGTTTGAAAAAAGAAGCGATAGACACAATTTTAATACTAGAGGCAAAAATAAGTTAGCTATACCGCAATTCAGACTGTCCAAAGTACAGAAATCCTTTATGGGGTTAGGTATTAAATGCTATAATAAAATACCAAATAGCATACTAGATCTCAGTGAAAGTAAATTTAAAACATATATTAAGCGCGAATTATGTAATCAAGCCTACTACACACTGACAGATTATCTTGAAGATAAGAATGCTTGGCAGCATGTCGGTTCGGCTCCACTGGACAATACTCAAATGTAGTCAGTAGAATTCCAATAGTAGGTATTTTAATACAAAATTTAACACTTTAATTCTAATGTAGACAATCTAGTTTCCTTATGGCATCGAGCATTTCTTTATTGAAACAAAGAGTTTCCTTTTCTTGTATAGAAGCACTAATTCTATGGATTGTCAGTATGCATATGTGAGCACCATGTTGGACTTTAAGTTAAATTTTATTTATTTATTTATTTTTTAATTTTTGTAAGTTATTAGTATAATGCGTCAAGCGTGTCTTTGCATTGTTCTTACATATGCGTACAGTATTGAAATATGTATCAGAGACATTGTAGAACATACTTTTTTTAAAAAGAGTAACGAATGGAGTTTCTTGCTCGTTCTTCTCCATTCGAATCTACTTTTTGGAATGAGCACCTAGCTTCACCTAGTTTCACTGACGGACTGACTGACAGACTATTATTTATTTTGTATTTGTTGACGTTTCAAAAGCACCAAACTATGGTTTAATTGAAATAAATGCTTTGACTTTGACTTTTACACCATAAATATGCAATCGTCTATTTGGCATCCATTATTGGCATCCATATTATATAAAAATGAAACCCGTTTCCCGTTGTCACACCATAACTTGAGAACGGCTAAACCGATTTGGCTGATTTTTCTTTTTATTGTGTTTGTTATCATCAGGAGAAGGTTCTTATGACAGAAAAAAGTCCTGAAAATCCTACGGGAATGGGAGAAACGGGATTGCGCGTACGAAGACGCGGGCAGAAGCTAGTACATCATAATTGTATTTGTGCTAGTACCTTTAATACCTATACTGTGACCACTACAATTCATTAATATTTCTTATTGAAACAACATGTTCATAGGAAGTGACAGTTTCACCACCAAACCACATAATTACCATATAATTTTATTATCTAGTGAATTTAAGGATATTGTGGTTTTGTAACTTTTATTATCAACAAGTTAAATACATTAATTACATTTTATTCAATTTTCTGGAGTCATGTAGAATGTTTTTTTTTTAATTCATGGGTCATTGCAAACTCTTTCAAGCAGTGCTTGGTTTCTTCATTGAAGTGCAGTGGTGTTGATATACAATGGACTGTCTTGTGTCGGACGATCCTTGAAGATGACCTATGACTTACTTTATGTCAAGTAAAATAAGTCATTTACACAAATGATTTATTTTAGTAGGAATATGTACGTGATTATTGTATTGCTTCTTTGATAATTAATTCGTCTTTGTATTTAAGAAATGTATTATTTGGATATAGACACTTAGGCAATGCGTAGAGATGTAGCTTCGTTGTGCATTTTCTAGCGCTTATACCACAGGAAGTGCTCTGAGGAATTGTTTGACCTGATACCTGCCGCATCTTTTCGCCATCGAGCCTCACGACAGCATATGCATCCCCACCGTATAGATGGTTGGGTTAGGCCACAACATAGCTTTCTGCCTCGCACAGCAAAAATGTGGAATGATCTGTCGTCGGCGGTATTTCACGCTTTTAGCTACATCTACATACATATCTTAATATTCTTGTTTGTTATGTAGATCGAGATGATAGACTGGAAGGTGGAGGACCTGTCTCCTGGCAAGAACAAGGGCATCCTGCGTCACATCATCGAGCAGGGAGCTGGCAATGACGCTCCCAATGACGGCGCCATGGTTACAGGTATAGTATTATTGGTATTACTGTATTTAACTAAAGAAATGTTGTATTAATTGGTCCTCACTTGTAAGTTACACAAAATATGATAAGAAAGTAAAATGGTAAGAAAATAAAAAAGAAATAAAATGTCGGAATTTTAGTCTTAGCGATTTCACATTGTGTACCGCGACAATTAATAAAACTGCTAATCTAAATTTACACTTAAACTGAATTAATTTGTATTTATTGCTTAAGGTGGATGGATGATGATCTCAAATGCCATTTTGTCGCTAGATGGCGTAACTTCCACAAATTGGAACATTTTCACGTTTTACGCCTAACTTCGAAATCTTTAATAGATAACTTTATTGTTCGCGAAACCTAGGGCATTAACTTGATTTTTTAGATAGTCCTTGTGCTTGTTATCTGGTCTCATACAAAGATTACTACAAAATAAAGATTTAGCCGCTTCACTTTACTGTTTACACACACATGCAAAGTAAATAGTAGTAACTTTCGACACCACCAGATGTCGTTATACTATAAAAATATTAATTTACATACTTGAAATTATGTTCCCATCTATTTCTTATTAGTATAATAATTGGTCTAAGTATACTTTTGTTTCTAGACTCGATATCTAGCAAATTATTCATAAAATTTATTTTAGGTAAAATAGGGTACACTGTACACTATATACTATACCCCTAGACCCTACACCTGTCGCGGAGAACCTAACGGGTAACCGGGGCTCCGGCTCGACGTGCAGGAAAGGAACGGGGTGGTTTTTAGTCAGTAAGAGTCTGACACTCCCTTCCGCCTCACCCAGGCGGGAGCAGTCATTCGATGATTTTCCCCCCTTAAAAAAAAAAAAGACCCTACACCTAAAAAATTGTTGTAATGTGACTGAACCTAAATTGTAATGTGTATATAGTGACTTTACTAAATAAATAAATGAAAGACTATTTATTCCATTGTAAAGCTTTTTATTGTACCTTACTATAAATTAATAATATTTATTTAGTAAAACTAGTTAATATTTTCATAAAATAATCGTTTTATTTACTCTCACTACATTTACTTAGATAGTTTCCATTGGATTCAAACCATGGAGTCATACCACCATACAAAGATAACATAATTTTTTAATTGTTTTGATATTTACTTAGTTTTATAATTTTAAATTTAGTATTAGAAATAATTATTATGTATGTAGATCACAATATAAATAACATCATAAGTATATATAACGGTACATGTAAGTTTGCAAGTATCTTACATTTATTTACTTCAATTAATTAGTATAACATTATAGTCATAAAACCAACAACAAGTGGTTGCTAGCTAACCATAACATTTATTTATGTTTCAAGAATACATATTTATTTACAATTTTGAACTTAAATAAATAATGTTTTACAATTGAATTGTTAGGCTGGTACCTAAATGCATGAGGCAAACTTATATACACAGAAAAATCTTATGGACTAACAAAATAACACAAACTATACATCGCACAAGTGGTTGCTAGCTAACCATAACATTTATTTATGTTTCAAGAATACCTATTTATTTTACAATTTTGAACTTCAATAAATATTGTTTTACAATTGAATTGTTAGGCTGGTACCTAAATGCATGAGGCAAACTTATCTACACAGAAAAATCTTATGGACTAACAAAATAACACAAACTATACATAGCTACGTGCAAAAATAGCTTATTAATTATTCTATAATGTTCACACTGCTGAGAATCAGGCTACACAAAGCAAAGTGCCGGCTTGGATTCGAACAATCAACTCGTACCACCATACAAAGATTCTTATATATATTATAATAAAATGTTCTTTTTGCAGTCAGTCGCCGCCGCCGCGCGCCATATCAGTCTTCTGTTTATCGCTTTTTACTTCCATTTATAATTTCCGTGCAATCTGAATCAAATGCTGGAAGACGCAGTTTTCGCTGCAACAAATGAATTTACACAGTTTTGTTAGACTATTCTTACTGAACCCACACCTCAGAGCCCTGAGAAATAAGTTAGGAAATGAATAAGACTTATATTTTTATACCTTTTAATTCCTTGATGTCCAGACATTTAGCATTTTTCTCAACTCTTCTCAAAATAATTTCCGGCAGTACACATCTTTTAAAAACTGTCACCAACTTCGGCATCATAGTACTGATAAATTCCTCATTCTGGTTAACTTCTATGACAGTCAATGGTTGGGTGACTGATATATAGCAAATGAAGTAACATTTATTCATTTTGGTAATTCGCAATTGACCCTGGACCTAGAATCAAAATAATAATAGCTGTTAAAAAGAAACAATCCAAGAAATACATTATTTTTATACACATACCAAGAAATAATGATATTTGATAATAATGAAATAATAATAATAATATTTGATAATAATGATATACTTACTTGATAATAGTAATTATGCTTTTTGTTCATAACTAAAACATCATTTTCCAAATGAATAGGAAAATTTCTATTTTCTGATGCTTATCGAATATTTTGAATATCTGTAAAAAAGAAAAGTTTTTAGGCTTACGCTACTGAACCCTATTTAAAATATTCACGCGACAAAAACTAGTTATTTGTATATTTTTATTATCGAATAATTTTACCATCAGGGCTAGCTACTAAGAATCCAAATTCTTCATTAATGAAAAGTCCTGATGGTCTGACTATTTGCCATATTATTGCATAAACATGCTCTATGCAACATGTTCATTTTGTTTTCCATACATCATATCTTTAGTACAAATATTATTTTTATAGAGAATGCATTTCACATGATTGTGACATGGTGTGGCATTGGTTGGAGTGTAGCAAAGGGTGTGCAAGGAGTTTAGGACTTTTAATTATTTTTTCATCAAAAATGATAATTCTTATAAGTGGCTCGGTTTTTCATTTCTATCGTTTAGTATACCTAAAAATAAGATGACTATTATCTGGGCACTTTTTATCTAGATAAAAGGCTTCAGGTTCGCCTGAAATTGAGCCCTAAAGGTCAGTTGGGGGAGTATGTAAAACACTTTTTGTGCACCCCAACACATTTGGTTAGGTTAGGTTAGAACTGTGACCCTCATAAGGCCTAGATAAAAGGTGTCCAAGATGATTTTCGCTTTATTATTAGGTATACTAATCAGTGAAATGAAAAACTAGCCATTTATAAGAATTTTCATTCTTGATGAAAATGAAAAATAAAGTCCTAAACTCCTTGCACACCCTTTGCTACGCTCTGACCGTGGCATACGACGTTTGCATACCTAAAATGAACAAAGTGACAATCATTATTCTGCAATTTGTTAAAACTTTCTCAATACATAATAGGTACTAACCTTATCGAGCATAACGACCTTTTCTAGAACATAAACCAATGAGTATCAAATAAACTTCACTCACGTAAATATGATTTGAAATCCTATAGTAATCTGATTTCTTCACTATAGATCACTAAAAGAACTTTCATGATGTCTTATGAATGCGGCTTGCACCTTTTTCCTTGAATTTTGCGGCCCTGAATACATATAGTATGTCGTATACACGCAAGTTTATTAGTCGGGTTCATTTTAGGCAGTTCAGTTGCAATTCAATCTCAACATCAAATGTATCTTATTTATGAAATGTTTCAAGAAATTTGTAATAGCAGATCTAATCTAACACCACCATCAAGTTGTCAAGTGCAGTCAAGTTCTATTAAGCAGTGTTGCCAATTGCCAACACGACTAATACAAAATCTGGGAGACTGCTACTGAATTAAAATGTCAAAATTATTCTAAATACTATAAAACTGCTAAAATACTGTGCTAACATTCTTCAGTGTGAAATAAAACATCTTTTAATTTGAATCTTTAATAATCAAGAAAATTCGAGTAAGAAGCATTAAGAAACATTATAATACAAGTATCCGTACTTGTTGTTATATGTACTAGTGTTTATTAATTAATTTTTTTTAAGTAATAATAAACATGGTAAATATCCCGTTTAAGTTGTAATGATACTGGTGTTTATTGTTTCGTGTGGATTTCATGACAAAGTCTCTTCCGAGCCCCTTTTCTTTAGTAAATAAAGCTCGTAGTAAAGTTTCGTTGCTAAATTGGTGTACGGATTCTTAAATATTATACCAAAAGGTTAAATTTTGCGTTGAAGTTATAGTAATACCACATTCTATTGCCATTTATTTTTTAATTCAAAGTACGATCTTTTAAAATGTATGGTACAATCTTCCAAAAAAATAAAGTTGGCAACCCTGCTTGACGCACTTTGTGTATGTGTATACATGCTAATAATACTAGTAAAATAAGCAATTAAGAAAAATTTAAATGGTTTGTCTGTATATTCTAATTAACTAATGTTGCTGGTTTCACATGATTTAAATATGATTTAATCAATAGATGTACGTAGTACCTACGTTTCATTATTGTGTAGGTAGCTTCGCTAATCACCTGATTTATAACTTACATATACATCAAATTCTATTCTCTGATTTTATTCAACCCAAACCAATGGATTAGTACCTAAGAGTATCAGAAAATGTGTTATCAGTATCTTACATACATTACAAAGATTTTTGAATCTGCAGTCAAGGAATGTTAGTGTGTACTAGTACAGGCAGGCTGCAATCACGGCGTCCTGACCTATCGGTTGACGCAGGTCCTCACCAGACCAAGGACACATCGCAGAGATATTTTTTTCACTTTATGTAAAGCATTAATTCTCATCCCATTATAAAAAACATTTTATCAATCGTTAATGTTAACTCCGTGAGTAAACCCGCGCGCCCGGTGCTAACTTGCTAGAAACACAATATTCTGGAAATGATTCGCAAGTTGTCAAGATTCAACAAGACATCACGCATGGACGGAATGGCAACAGCGCACGCGCTGCTTCTTGAACGGCAACGTCGCATTCCCGCACGCGTCACGTCACATTGATGCTTGTTCGAATTATCGGACAGCGCCATCTATTATGAATGTTTACCAATTGTAAACTCGGAACACAACAGCAACCAAATTTCTCGGTGGTTCTATGAATTTCTATCAGATGGCACGATTCAGGTCACTCACACATGCAAAGACTTTTCGTTTTTTATTCGGTCTAATTCTCCTAGAAATACAATTTTTTAATAAAATTTGGGCTATACACAAACATAATACATTATAAAGTCTCATTATAGTTCCTTTTCTTCTGCAGAAACTGTTTATTTACGAAGATTTCCGCACCTGAAAAATGTATGGCGAGGTCTAACTAGGCATCCACCTTAACATTCTTTACTAAATGAAATCTCCAGGCATGTTCTGCATGGCAAAGAAATATGTACCTTATTGCATGTTCATAAGAACCAACTTTCTCTCTATTCTCTAAGAATGAGACCCCACATGTAAAAAGGATTAGTTTTCAGTATACAAAGGCTGCATTATAGTTCACAGTCGTAATGTGATACTTTATTGTATTGCTTTGAATAGACTGAATGAAATATGATTCGTATTATGACAAGCGTTTTGTGAATAAAGGTGAAATTGTCACTAGAGAAAGAACATTTTTATTATGATTGTAACCTGATCTTGAAAGTTGGCACGGTAGCTGGGCAATAGGCTGCCGCGCAATATAATAATATAGCGGGTTCGATTCCCGCACGAAACACCAGTTTGTGATTCACACAAAGGATCTATATGACTGAAACTTTACTATTGCTTTTCCAACAGTTGAGCTGGAAGGTAGACTGCAGGCCGATGGAAAGGTGTTCGATACAAGAACAGTCACATTCCCTCTCGGAGAAGGCAGTGAACATAAAGTATGCGAGGGTGTCGAAAGAGCTCTAGAGAAATTCGCGCAAGGAGAGAAGTCCAGGCTCACCATACAGCCTAAATATGCCTTCAAATCAGAAGGAAACGCTGAATTAGGTGTCCCACCTAACTCTGTGGTAGAATACATAGTGAAATTGAATAGTTTTGAGAAAACCAAAGAGGTATGGTCCATGGATGGGCCGGAGAAGATTGAGCAGGCGAAGATGTTCAAGGAGAAGGGAACCAACTACTTTAAGGGAAGCAAATTCCAGCTGGCCATCAAGATGTATAAGCGAGTTGTTACGTTAGTTGAAGGTAAGCTATTATCGGTTTATACCTTACTGACTTATATTAGTTTCACTCGCTTGCTATGTTCGCAATCGTCGCGTCGTAGCGTGTTATTAACCTATAATTATTACCCCAAGGTCATGAAATGTGGAAAGTGTTTTCAATAATTAATTACAATTAACAGCATTTACGATTTCGTTTTTTAAAAGAAAAAACGTTTCTTTTTTTTTTGAATATTACCTCAAGGCCATGAAATGTGGAAAGTGTTTTCAATAATTAATTACAATAAACAGCATTTACGATTTCTCTATACTATACAAATGGTACCTAGTTATGAAGTCTAACAAGGTATCTTACTAAAAACCTCTATTCTTCTAGACATGCTAGAAGACACAAGTGAGACAGAAGAAAGCAGAAACCAGGCGAAGGAGCTCCTTCTATCAGCACACTTGAACCTCTCTTTGGTCTACTTGAAGGTCACACCAGCTCACCACTTTGAGGCTAAGGAGCATGCTCTAAAGGCCTTGAAGTTGGACGAGAACAATGTCAAGGGTCTCTTCCGGAAAGGCCAGGCTCTGTTGGGACTTGGTGAAGCTGAATTAGCTATTAAGGACTTCGAGAAGGTTGTGCAGGCTGAACCACAGAATAAGGTAAATATTGCTGTCACTATTGTAACGCCACTTCGCGACAACGCTTCGATAACTTAATAGATACCCAAATTTTTTCTTTCTTAATAAAAATTGTTACTATAATAATTTGGCGCAGTTGTTTTAAAGTTATAAGTTTGAAACCGCCAAACTGCATTGAGCAAACATGGTGAATAATGCTCAAACTTTTTCCATGTGACAAGAGGCCTTTGATTAGCAGTGGCTAAGCAGCCACTGCAACATTACATTAATATAAGCATATTAATGTAATGTTTTAAAGTAGTTCACATGACCTTTTAACCAACTTCTGATACTTTCGTAATACGACGTTTTATCAACTAATTTCGATGTCAATTTAACTTTCAGGCTGCCGCTAACCAGATAATCGTATGCAAGACAGCGATCGCGAAACAAAAGCAAAAGGAGAAGCAGCTCTACGCCAACATGTTCGAGAAGTTCGCTAAATACGACACGGAGGTAACAGGTTCGCAAACTTATTATACACGCGCACACGCAGACACATATTATCACAATCATTCACCATCGTTCATAACAGCACGCTACTAAGGTTGTTCTTCCAATTTTTCATGTCCTAGCACTTAGCAGTCCAACCACTAGTAGTAACATGTTCAATAACATTTGATTCTCCAGTAGCATCCAAAGTTTTTTAAATTTACCGCCCTTTGTAACATACGAGGGACTGTATTGACATACACTGGAAATGCACGGTGCATTTCCAGTGTATGTCAATACAGTCCCTCTTCTCTGTTGATAATACAGTCCAAAGGCTGTATTCTATTTCTAAAAAATAGAGGACCCTTTCATGATAGCATTTTCAACCATTTAACCAGTTGTCACTTACCACATAACACCATTAATTATGTAATTACTCTTTTAAATTCTAAAATTCATTTTTTGTCCAGGTGGAGAAGCAGAGAGCTAAAGATGAGATAGACGTAATAGGTGAGAAGGTAGGAGAGTGGGGCGCCGGCGAGGGAGAGTGGACTGACCAGCAACGGCTGAGAAAACCCACTGAGTTTGAGAAGGAGAACCCCAACATCCTACTGTTAGACAAGGACGGACAGTTTGAGAACATGTGAACTCACTGCTAGCTGAGTTCCAGGTGGATGCTTACATAGACTCGCCGGTGTATGTAGAAATAATCAATTATAATAATATCTACACAAAAATACAACTTTAATTTCGGAAGTATACTGTTGACTTGATATTTGAAGTTCAGGTTTAATGTCAAGTCGCAGGTACGATCTCACCCAAATGAAATCATGTACAATCAGTACAATTATGCCCCACCTGACCAAATAATCCTATCTAGTTCGAATAAATTGATGTTAATTAAGTTTCTTGATCGATATTTTAGCGTGGAATATTCCTATGTAAGCATCCGTCTTTGAAAACGCCTTCTGCCTCAAAAAGTGCATTATAATATTAGTTGTATATTCTGATCAAACTGTTTGTTTGTCCGGACACTTATCATAGATCTCTTCACCAAACTTTAGTATAAATAGTGTTTTCGTTGTATTACAGACAGATGAAGAAATTACACTAAGTCACTCGTAGACTACTGATTTTCAGTATACAATAAAAACTAATCATTAGTTTTTGGAAAATTCTATCATTTACTTGGTAATTGTAAGTTAAGTCATTACCCAAATGGATTTTGAAAATTAATAAACTTTTTTTTGTATATTTTCGTATGTTCACAAATCATCTGTCAGTATGATAGTTCTTGTCCATATTGTATTTTTTGTTTTACTTAACTAAATTGTAGTTGCAATGAAATCTCTGGTTTTTGTATATTAAGTTTGAATCGATATAAATCATTCCTCTATAATTATGTATGTATGTTAAGTGAGATAGGCTGTGTTCGTCCACTCGTTTTACGGCCGAATTTAATAGCCAATCGCAATCCTAAGTCTGTGGATTAAGGTCTATTTTTGACATTCATTGTGCGGATTTTGTCAGAAATACTTTTCTGATTAAAAATGGTTATTAACTTCGACTGTTAGTACTTACTTGCATGCAGTGTAACCCACATAATGACGTCATCAGTGTAAATATTGCACATAACATGATTAATTTTCATCCCATTTTAACATAATAAGTTTCAACCTTATTTCTTTACTGATAAAGTTCGTTTTTAAGTTTGATGTGTGATGCGTTTGAAATCGGTTTTCGTACAGGTAATACTGCAAGCTATGTCTTTAATATCACAGTGAGTGTCAATTTGTAGCATAATGTTTTTATTTGGGTTGAGAGCGGGTTTATTTTGTAGTACATTGGTTAATTGTATTAGTTATACGAATGAGTTTTACCTAATAAACTGTTAACAAGCAATTAAACCGTTTCATTTAGTAACTCTCTCTATTTATATAACTAACAAGTTAATGAGTATACATTGAAGTTGTTTACACATTTATGATTTAACTCACAGAATGGTTGGCCTAATACACTGCCATTATAGAAGAGTTCATGAATTATGCCCGATGTATGTCTCCCCGTAGTACAATAAACACGATGCCTACACAATAGCTAAAGGTCACACTACAATCTTACGTCACAGATAAAATAAAACTTTCATCAACAACAAGCAAATAATGTAATCGCATCCTCCGCATAAATACTTGCGAATGGCCGATTGTCCTTACTATCGAGCCATTCGGGCTTCGGTATAAAAATCCTTGCAATCAAAGTTTACCTCCACTTAGTAGCCCAGTCACATCAATATTATATTGCATGAATTCCAGTCTTTATGTGCCACTCAGGCCGAATGTAGCGAACGGAACATTGTAAGTAACGAGTCCTTTGCTATTCGGTCCACGCAGCTAGCAATGTGCACACGGCCTAAACTATTATATTATTCAAATATGGCCGTATCGCAGGCCCTTTTGAAGTTTTAAGACGAAGGCGGATTGTGTACAGTTTGGGACAGATTGAACGAAGAATTTCTTTATCTCGCTTTTTTATGTAGTCTCTTCTGTATTACTGAATGGTATTTTTGTTGAATGTTTCTTTGTAACATTCGTCTTTAATTTTTGTTCGTTTATTATTAATACAGCTGAGTGAGTTTCTTTGGAAATACTCTCTTTATTTTAACTGTTATTCTAGTTCTAACATAATATTATTATTCAGGCTTCTATCAATCTGTTAACCTTTCGACTGGGACTGTGTGCCCGCGGGCCCAGACGTGATGGGATCCCTCGTCAGATCAGCTATTTGTTATTCAAATCAAGTGCTCAAATGATGACATTGCTTTTGTGTTAGACGTTTTTGTTTGGTCTAGAAAATAGGTTCGAATAATAGCGCTATTACTATTGTACATAAAGACCATAATAGAAAAATAATATTGAAAAAGTATAAGAAGGTATTACCAACAGTTTTGGATCAAATAGAAAGCTCCTTTATCTGATTATAGGGCTACATTTACTCAATATCTTGGTAAAAAATATATTGAGATTTTAAGATGTGAACAGATTTATACTGAAACTGAACTAAACAAGTACGAATTTTACATATTTTAAATTATCTGGTGGACATAAAACCTTAGCTAAGCAACTTTGCAAGCTAGATATATTGCTTCTAAGCGACTACTTACCACTAAAACTAACTCTCTAACCAAGAAATCCAGTAACCTCCTTCACTGTCTACAATCCTGGTACAAGTTGCGGCCGTACCTAGTAGCCTAGTACAAAATAATTATAGTGTATATTAATTTACACGTCACTGCTTACACCACGTATTTGTTAGCAGCGCGCAGGTGTGTATCATTTGTTCCCGTGATTACTGTGTTAGCCTCTTACGGTGGGCCATAGTATAAGTGGCAGCGATAGCGGTTTGGAAGGCTAGAATAAAGAAATATATGGCAAATTACTAGTATATGGCACGAGTCTAGGTTGAAGAAATGTTTGACATATAGTATTAAGATATTAAACGTCACCAATACTGTAAGGCAAGGCGCTTTTCAGTAATTTTAAATTGTACTTAAATATCGAGATATCTCTGTCATTTTAAGTCCCCTCTTTGAGGAGTTGCTTGAGAGACGCTACGGCGTCTTCACCTACCGCCTGAAGCAGGTGCTTACCGGACACGGAAGTGGACGGACACCACAGATGGGGCCTAACAGGGCTGATACCGATACGGAGCCGTTTGTTTGTTTGTATGAACGCGCTAATCTCCGAAACTACTGGTCCGATTTGAAAAATTATTTCTGTGTTAGATAGCCCATTTATCGAGGAAGGTTATAGGCTATAAAATATCACGCTACGATTAATAGGCGCCGAGCAGAGCGAGTGAAACCGCGCGGAAGTAGCTAGTCTCTAGATTATACTTTCAAAACAGTGCATATCTTGTTACTTGGACCAAAAGCGAGTTATCCCGGTAATTTACTTTCAGTCTTACACACAAAGCTTTATTGTAAGTTATTGCTTACGTGTACTCGCGACTTGTGAAATTTAAACCTTGATTTATTCAAATATATTTATCAGAGAAATCACGAATATTTAATCAAAGGTACAGACGTAATTTCGTAACTAATTCTCAAAGGTGTATATATCTTTTAGTTTAAGGTTAATAAGAAAAATTAATATTACATCAACCTATGCAAAACCAGTGTAAAATGACTGTGGAATGAATGAAAAGAACATACGAACCGAGATCATGATATAATGGTTTTGTATAGGTCGATATGTAACCGCGATTTGATTTGATTTGATTTGTGTTTACAATACACGACCTTTTCTTAATCTATGTTATTAGTTCGTTAATTACAAATGGCCGTACAAGACCAGAAACAGTTTAGTTGTCGTCTTTGCAACATCATAACAGACAAATTTTTATTTAAATATCATAATTTATATAACTACATAAATATTTACAACTTAAAATTAACTACAACTAAACTATTAAATAAAAAGAAAACAAACAAAAATTTTACCCTTAATTTTCTGGGAACTTTCCCCTGTGATAGTGATGCGGACGAATACTTTGACGCCTAAATTAAGGGTATAATTTTTGTTGTTCGTTAATTATGTTTCTAAGAAATTTTAGTCTTGTTGTGGATTCCTAGCTTAGCTAGCCTAGCTCCTAGCTCCTGGCCTAGCTTCACTGACAGATAGACGGACGGATAATTCAATTTTTTACGTCCATGGGCGTCGCCGATTGCTTACCATCAGGTGATCCGTTTGCTAATTTACCGGCTTATCCCATAAAAAAAATCTTAGACGATAAATGCTTAGATGGATGTAAATCGGAAATAAATGTTTATTTATTTATTATTTCGGTAAAAAGTAAAAAAAAAAGAATTGGGTAAAAAGTATCCTATGTCCGTCTCCTGGTTCTAAGCTACCTCCCCACCAATTTTCATCCAAATCGATTTAGCCATTCTTAAGTTATAAATAGTGTAACTAACACTACTTTCTTTTATATATATAGATTTCTGGCAACGGCAACGATCGCGTTCCCGTAAGGTAAAAAGTAGCCTATGTGTTATTTTAAACCACAATCTACTCTTGTTCCAAGTTACATACCGATCTTTTTAGCTGTTTTTTTATATATTTAGCTTTATTATAAGCCGGCTAACGAGCTTACGGATCACCTGATGGTAAGCAATCGGCGTCGCCCATGGACACCTGCAACACCAGAAGCGTTAAAAGTGCGTTACCTTTTGGAGATTAGGAGTTTGAGGATCGTTGGGGATTCAGGGATTGGGGAAGGGGAGGGTAATTGGGCCTCCGGTAACCTCACTCAAACGACGAAACAACGCAAGCGTTGCTTCACGTCGGTTTTCTGTGAGGCTGTGGTATCACTCTGGTCGTGCCGAAGCATGGCTCTCCCACACTTGACGTGATTAAGCAACACATATACACACAGAACATTTTTTAATTAAAACATTTTTTTTAACATTCATTTATAATATTACTAGCTTCTCCCCATGGCTTCACTAGCGTTCCCGTGGGATAACAGGTAGCCTATGTGTTATGCCAGACCCTAATCTATCCCTGTTCCAAATTACATCTTGAACCCTTTATCTGTTTTGACGTGGTTGAGTAACATACATAGGTACACACAAAGTCACAAACTACCGCATCACTACTTAGTACAAAACAAACTCGCTATCCGCCGTCTGTCTGTCCCTATGTATGCTTAGATCTTTAGAACTACGCAACGGATTTTGATGCAGTTTTTTTTTAATAGATAGTAGATAGAATTATTCTTAAGGAAGGTTTATATGTATAATACATGTTATATGTACATGCAACATGCATGTTGCACCCGTGCGAAACCGAGGCGGATCGCTAGTTTTTAATATAAAATAACGTCATACGTGTAGCGATTCGAGCACAGATTTCAGATCCCGTAATATTACGTCGACGCTCTAAGGGGTTAAGTAATATAAAACATAAATAAAAAAAGAAAACTTGCTTTAAAAATAATTTTATTCATCGAATAAATTGAGATCAATTTCATTTTATCCAAATAGATATCCATCTTAAAGCAATTTATTTACACTATACACTGAATTATAAGAATTCGTTTTTAGCCTAAACACTTTAATTCATTGACAGTAGGCCCAGCCTTTGTCTTACAAAAATAACATTTTGTCGAATAATACTTATAAAATATGAATTTTGTACCGCCAAAGGTTCAACTGATAGTAAAAATACATAGTTGTATGAAAATTGGCCGAAATATGCTTACACTACTTATACATAAGGTCTACATTCATGATAAACTCGTGTTGATATTTTGGAAATCAGTACACGCATGATTGTACTGTAACACTGCAGATTATAACACTGGCAAATACCAGCTCAAGCTACTACTACGAATATGAAAATCTGACACTACGAGAATAAGCATAAATTAGATAATGTTCATGTCGTTTCTTTAAACTCTGTAAATAAGACACAATAGAAAATACATTGTATCTCGCGTAGATCTATGTTCAGCATACTACGGGTTAAGGGACCCGGTTGGACTCGAAACTAGTTGGCCATTCCCGTAATACAGTGTACACACGGCTACACATCGAGCTTTATATAACCAGTATAATCTGAACGTTAAATGTGCGGAAAGATGATGCGACGCGACACCAGGATAAACTGGTTTTGTATAGATTGATGTATGTCCGTGTGTAGAACTGAATGAACATTATCTAATATTGTATGCTATACGATAATTATTATACAAATATGAGCGTAAGATGTTTATAACATCTACAAGGTGCGATTGACCTGCTTAAACAACTAAAATCTCACAAAATTCATAACATAGGTGTATAAATAAATAATACATACTTTAAAGCACAAATAAATAAACAAAAATTCAGTTCTGGAGAGGAAATCTCTTAAATAAATCAAAGAGTTCATAACTCAGTTTAAAACTTAACATTATAATTAAAATAGGATAGGAATATTTAAAAAAATATTCTTAATACTAACATAAACGTGCTAATAGTGATACATACATGAATAATACATTATTTTCACAAGTCTTTTCTCTTCACAATCTCTCCACAACCATATTCATACAATTTCCTTTGCAATACCAACGTTTTCCTTAAATAAAAAGTAAATGCCACAGATGGAACTCTCGACAATGATTACGATGAATCGGATGTCGAGTCACATATTCATGACTTCATTAATTTTCAACTTTAATTACAAAGGGTAAGGTTGAGAATCTAATAAAGAAATTCATGAATTTTGGCAGAAATTAACAATAATCAATCAGAAATATATTTTGGATTGAGATCGTTACACATTGATTTCGACCAATAGCGATCCGAATTTTTTCGTTACCTATGTCGAGACTTCCGGCCCTAAAGGGTTGAAGAAAACAGAACCACTTCTTTGGTCAAGTGGCCCAGTAAAATTTAGTTATTGTTATCTCTTTATGACAAAGCATTTATAGGATAGAATTCCGTATACTAGCAGTATCAGAGTATCATCTTAGATTATTTCTAAAATAGTATTTGGCTTTCCCTTCCATAAAGTTTTTAAAGATGGCAAACGACGGACATTATGGGCACACGTTGAAATTATAGTTTAGAAGAACTTTAAAAGCATATAGATATAAATGTTCTGTCCGTCAACATAATGAGACAATTCAAAAATTTTGCCACCTTCGAGTAACAACAGCTGACTAGTACATAATCTCTTGTTTTGTAAATAAAATTCGCCAAATACATTAGGATTTCTAGAGGTGGCGAGATAGGCCTTAAATTCAAAGTTCACACCCTACAAAATACCGGGGTAAAATAATACTTTTCAAATCGATAGACTATACATCTATCTTCTTGTTCTAAAAGCTAACATAAAAAAAATTATATGGTAGTTTTGTCTTTCATGCGAAGGAACAGATGGTCCATTTGACGGTTAGCTCATTCCATGGCTACCTACAAGTTCAAATGAACTATAAATGCACTGCTAGCCTATTAAAAAAAGAGGAAGCCCTTTTCCTAAAGGTTTAAGGTAGTGCCATAAGTAATTTTTTCCAGAACCACTCTATCCACTGATGAAAACTCGATAAAAATTTGTTCAGTAGTTTTTGAGTTCATTTTGAACATACAAATAAGCATTTTAAATATGTAACATATGTTTTCTATAAATTAAATACATCTATATATTATTTACCGCAGGTACCAGTAAGGTTTTTATGGCATCGAGGAGTTTAAGCGTCTTCATCGGAAGTATCAGGCATGCTGGCTGGGATGGAGTCCTGCATCTTCTTGAAGTTGGCGAGCACCTCGAAGTGCATGTGGAGGGAGTGGGTCATACCGGGCTGCTCGTGGAAGTATCTGTTAACCTGGACGAGACAAAATAACGGTAAAATGGGGTGGATAGGGATCGAGAGGTGAATAGGGACAGAAGAGGGGTGAATCGATACTATGAACAATTTCCCAATATCTATTCACCCCTCTTCTGTCTCTATTCACCTCTCGATCCCTATCCACCCCATTTTACGGTAATATGAGAAACATTCAATTTAATTTTCCATAAATTCATGTGGTGTGTCTAAAATATTTTTTAAAGAAATTTTCGACCCCATTATTTCTATGCAAGACTTTCGATGATTTGGGTAGGTGAATATGTTCATAGATTTAGATATACATATATAAGACTTCTACAGAAACTGTCAATAGTGAGTTAGAATTTAGACAAACTTTCCTTTAACTTAAATACCTTTTTTTAAGGGGGAAACCATTCAATGACTTACAGACTCTTACTGATTAAAAACCACCCTGTTCCTACTCCTGCACTTCGTTCCAGAGCCTGTTGCCAGGCAACCCGTTAAGCCCTCCACAGCTCTATAACTTTATACATTGTAGTCAATACTAATAAAGGCATAAATTCCAAGCCAAACAATAACTGACATCAAATGGTTAGTAGATAAATATAATCGGGTACCTTCGCACCAAGTTTCTTCAGCAAGCTGGTGAATGCTTTCTCCTCTCTGCCGATCCAGGGTCGGGCCTCATCTTGTACTTGGTAAGGACTGACGTGGATAAACACGTTCACGTCTGAAACAAATTGATTTTTTTTTAGTTTCTAACTCTCCTCAATGAAACAAAACCGAGTCATGTATATGTATTCAGAAAAAATATTTATAAGTTAACTAGCGGACTCAATAGACGTCCTGCATATCCACTTGAATGCATAAACAAAAATTCATTCAAATTAGTTCAGCTGTTTAGGGTAAATAACCTAAAGATCGACTGCAGCGCCATCTGCCGGGCTGATTTGGGATTCTAAACCATTCCCAGATCCCCTAGAACACACACAGAAAATTTCATCAAAATCGGTCCAGTCGTTTGAGAGAAGTTCAGTGACATACACACTCACAGAAGAATTATAATTATATATAAAGATAAGCTTTTTCTTCTGTGCAGAATTAGTATTACGTAGTAATGTATATGTTTGAAAAGTCGTGGTGGCTCGGAAGTTTAAGATGCCTGCTTCTCATGCATGAGGATGCGGGTTCAAACCTACCAACAGTAAGTATTTTCCGAGTTATATGTGCTTTTTAAGATTATTTAGACATCACTGAAAAACGATGAAGGAAAACATCGTGAGGAAACCTGGGCTTATAATTTCTAATTGTAAGTTTTAAATTGCCAACCCGCATTGAGCAAGTGTGGTGATTAATGCTTAAAAACCTTCTCCGGGTGAGAACAGGTTTTTGGTCAGCAGTGGCCGCTTATAGGCTGTTGGTGTATATATCTTAAATTGCATACAGACATCCTTATTTGTATACTTACAGAATGTTTATGAATGTAACCGATTACATCAATATAAAATTACACATTTTGTTTAGGATTAAAAAATCGTCCTTTGGAACAGTCTCCGGAGGCAATAGCTTATTTTCCTATTCTGTAATAACAGTTAAAGTAAATAAAGCACGCTTCACTATATATTTATTTCTGTAACGAAGAGTTGGACTTACCGAGTCTAGTGAGCGTCTCCAGCAGACTGCGCGACGTGATCCACGTGTTCTTCCCGCCCGCGTGGCCGCCGTCCAACCAGTACATGTCCACTATACGCTCCATGAACCTGTACACATACAATGACGATAAAATAATAGTAAGCAGGACACAGCGAGCATGGGTAGCTCGCCACCCGACCAGAACCAGACCCGAGCGTACGGCACGTCGCGTTCCGCGCGCGCCTCAAAGAGCCAGCAGACCACCACGGATGGGGCCCAATAGGACTGATGCCGATACGGAGTCGTGGAAAACCTAACGGGTTACCGAGGCTCCGGCTCGAAGTGCAGTAGTAGGAACAGGGTAGTTTTTAGTCAGAAAGAGTCTGACACTATCTCCCGCCTCACCCAAGTGGGAGAAGTGAATCGATGATTTTCCCCCCTTAAAAAAACCTTTACAATCATGTCACCTCATCATATGGGCGTCTCCAGGAGTCAGAGTCTTGGTGTAGTGGAACTCGTATATGAGCTGGTTGAGTACGACGCATCCCTTGCTGAACCCGACCAGCGTCAACTGCGTCTCGTCGAGGGCGAAGTTCTCCCGCCACCACAATGGGTCTGACTCACTGGAACAATGACGTATAAAGTCAATCAGTCGCTTCGTGTTAAGTACTGACATGTAATATATTAAATGTGGCTAAGATTAGGTAACGACCCCAATACTAGTCGAGAAGAGTAACACATGCTTTTTGGCTTATTGCAAGTTCATTGTTAAGTGATAATTTCAGTTTAGCGAAGAGACAAGTTAGAACTGCCATAGTGTCTTACACTAGCGGTGTATTGTGACAGATTTATGCTAAAAATTAAGACAAGTGTGATAGATTTTTTGATAATTTTGCTGTACCTTTCCTACCACAGCAACTAAAGCAGATATCAATTTTAAAAGCATCATGCTGGCTTGGGCCCTCAAATAACTTAATTAAGGGGTAAAATCAAAAGTTTTTTTCCTCTTTTTGTCCAGTTTGGCCCTTGATAGGAGTAAGAAAAAAATGTTTCAACCATCTAAAGAGGATAAAGGAATAGTTTCCAATAAATGTGACGTAATACGTGGTAGGGTACAGACAACATCCATTGGAACTAAACCTACTCACGGCTTGTGTTCAGCGAGGACATTGTCCGCAGACTGCGAGCTGCCTGGCTGCGGCTTTGTACCGTTCGACTTGTTCGACTCCGCTGCAGCCGCGGCGTGGATCGCTGAGTTCTAGGTGGTTAATAAGAGAGTTAAGCAACACAATAATTGGCAGTCTCACACTTCATATTTTTCCACTGAAGGTATAGATAGCAAAGGTATTAAGATAGATTTAGAGTAAATTAGACACTTTACATTACATTAATCTAAATAACCACTATTGGAAAGTGGATTTCTGTAAAAGTCACGTAAATATTAATTATAAGCTGTAGGTATAAATATTAATTATATGAAGAAGCCTATTCCTTAATAGGAATAGGGTTTTTCTTGCTGGAATTGCTTTTTACTTTTAAACAAACTTACGCTTACGAGACGACGCTTACGGATCTATTTTTTTTACTTTTCATCAAGTCGATATCAGATGGTCAAGCACGAATAACTATCGCATTCGTATCGTAACAGTATCGACCGAGTTAAGCGTTCTGATTGGTTGGTTCACTTGAGCCGGCCAATCAGAGCGCCGAACGCGCTCGATACTATTACGTTACGATTGCGATAGTTATTCGTGCTTGGTACTCTGTGCAAAAATATATTTATCTGCATCCATCGTTCAGATAAAGAACAAAAACTTATATAAATACTGTCATTCAAGCAAATCCATTGACTTCAAGCCGTGGTCGTTTTCATTAAATACTTCACGCTAATTAAGCATTACTGATAACAGCAGCATAATCGCAGATAACTGAGCTGAACTAGATTAACGTATACATTGTAATCTATAATCTTAATCTGAGATATTGTATGTGGAATGTAATCTGATTATATTGATAATAGATTTTTTAATTTCTATTGTGAAAATACTACCTACAACTGTTAGAATCGGTCAAAATCTACTGGCTCGACGTACGTTGTAGTACGTACCTATTTGAAAATCTCTATTTGTGTTTTATTCGGAGATTTAAACCAGTTTGATTCAATGTCAGTTAAAATATTGTAAATACTAGATGATGCGGCAAACTTCGTACCTCCTGAAAATTATTTTAAACAAATCGGTTCAGCCGTTTTCGAGTTTTAGCGAGACTAACGAACCGAAATTCATTTTTATTTATATAGATTGCAATGTTTTCGGATAATAAATATGATACTTATAGTTTCTGTTTGAAGGTATAAAGGTTTATGGTGTAGGTACAATAAATAATTTAGTATTGTATAAGAAATGTTGTAGTTATTTCTATTGCTCTTTTTTAAAACTAACAACTCACATGTAGATCTTCTATGTCGATATCCTCAGGTAGAGACACGGGCGAGAATGCCTCCACCAGCTCAGATGTGGAGAAACTCTTTATCCTGCTGCTAACTCCTTGGAGAAGCCTAAGGAGAAACAAAGGTGGTATTTAAGTGTGTGAGAGCCAAGCTTCGGTGCGGATGGGCCGGCTCGACCGGAGTGATACTGCGGCCTCACAGAAGACCGACATGAAACAACGCTTGCGTTATGTTTCGCCGTGTGGGTGAGGTTACCGGAGGCCGAATTAACCCTCCCCCCCTTTCCCTGAATCCCGAACAATCCTCAAATTTCTAATTCCAAAAGGCCGGTAACGCACTTGCAACGCCTCTGGTGTCCCACGTGTCCATGGGTGACGCCGATTGCTTACCATCAGGCGATCCGTCTGCTCGTTTATCGGGTTATAGCATAAAAAAAACATAGTTATGAATAGTAAATCGTTCTTACACCCTATTCTTTACAGCTAGCTACAGTATTGCAGTTTAATTTTACCTGTTAAATTTAAATAATTTCTTGTTGGACCTGATCATTGAACCTGATACTTCTTGATAACTAAAGACAAGTTTACTGAGTATGATTGTATGTATATGAAACTTGGGGACTATGTTAAGCCTCAGTATTTTTAAATAATAACATATCATCACGCCTTCTATTCTCGAAGGGGTAGGCAGAGGAGCACATTACGGCACTTAATGCCACTTTTCACTATTTATGTTATGAGTCCCATGTAATAGGGGGTAAGTCTATTGCCATATACCGGGTATTTCCAGACTCCGTGCAACTACTGAGATTTTTTTAAAACCCAGTAGTACTTTGCCCGACCCAGAAATGGAACTCGAAACCCCTTGTCCAGCAGTCGCACTTGCGACCATTCAGCCAAGCCAAGGTAGGCAAGAGCAGTAAAATAATACACACAATTATTGCACTATCACAAGGTAAAACAAACTTTATCTACTTGTAATCCTTATCCTTACTATAATATTATAAATCGGAAAGTGAGTTTGTTTGTTTGTTCCGACTTCACGCCGTAACTACTAAACCGATTGCATTGAATTTTTGCAGACGTAAAGTTAGTAGTCTGGATTAAATAATACTTTTTATCCCGAAAAATTTGATATTCCCGAGGGAAAATAAAAGTATTGGTATAGATGGCGCTGTATGTATTGGTATATGTCACATAGGCTACTTTTTATCATTTTGCGACGCGAGCGAAGCCGCGAATAAAAGCTATTAAGTATATAAACACTACAAACCTCTCCAGATGATGTAGGGCGCTATGGGTGGGAGTGTGTTCGGGCACTCCAGCGTTGTTACTGGGCACAAAGTTATCATAGCAGCTGAAGCTCTTGTACTCTATCCTGGAACCACCGACGTACCTACTTCGATTATATAGAATTATGTTCCTTAGCACCGAAGCTTTGGTAATCAGGGAAAACTTACGACTGTGACTAGAATATATGTTGATGGAGGAAAAGAATCATATTTTATTATTCTCTTGAGCATGATGTGTTAGCCTTTAATTGATTGTTACACTAGCAAATGCATATTGTATATAAACCGATTTGTTGTAATATGATGTGTAAACAGTCGTTGGCTGACCTTAATAAATAAATCATGTATACAAATTAAAGTACTTCTTTAACTTCTGCCAGAGCGCCACCAACTAAAGGTGTGTATAGTTAATTGGTTACTAACATACATGGAGCAAATGCATGAAGTTTATGTATGAATAAATGGAACATTTGATGACTGAATAGCAAGTCACAAATTTGACTATTCACCCTCCAACCAACTTACTTTAATGTTAAAGTTTTATTTTTCTACAAAAGCAGTCTCTTTACTCTCTCTTCGGAAGGTACCACCTAATGCTATCACAATAGGTTCAGCAATATAAGAGTATGTCACACATTTTCAATCATTCTTTTTAATTCCTATTTCTTTCCAAATTGGGTAGTTTCAGGGTATCGAAATTAAAAATCTAATTAGTCCGTCAGTTAGATAATGAAAGAATATTAGGCACGTATTTTTATTTTTCTTGTATTAAGTTACAATACTTAGATAAAATGGAGTTAAGTATAGGAGTGGGAGGTCGTTACGTCATATACGTGCTACAAAATGTGGCACGCTGTGACGTCACACGATATTTAAAATTAATATATCGTCGAAAGTATTTAATTTTGTGAGAAAAGAAAAAATACGTGTCTAAAGTTTTAAATTAATGTACCGGGCGGACATTAAAACAAAATTTGGGAAACTACCCTATTGTTGGTTAGTCAAGGTCGATGGTAGGACAAGGAGCACGACTTACCTGGAAGGCCTGACAGCCAGGATGTGCTTGGTTGGAAAATTGTGTCCCAGCATGCGCACTGTGTTCTCTAGGTTCCACTTTATGTAGTTCCTGTTGTCACGGTGAGCTTGCATCAGCTCTGGGTAGTCCTAGGGGAAAGGTTAATATGGAGCACTATTCAGGATAACGTAAGCAAAAATACAGACAAAAAAAAATTAAGAATTGTAGCAACAAGAGTTAAAAGACTCGCACAGGGTGTACTTTTTCGTGTATCAGTATCACACATAAGTTATATCAATATGACTTGGAACTTTTTCTATATTTTTCTTATGACTGTTGGAACCTTGCCGATCATCTGCTGTCATTTGATCGTCGCCTTCAGGGACACCCTGTGTATAGCACACTAATGAATATTCTTCAGAATTTGGGTTTTCATGGCTTTCATGTGAGTGTTTAATACAGACATCAGCAAATCCTTCTCTTATCTATATTGTTTCAATAGATTTCCGTCTTTATTACAAAGACTAATAAGTTGACAATGATCACATCACACGAACCTGTACATCTCCTCCGAAGAACACCAGGGTATGCTGTGAGAGGGGCGGAGCGCGGGCTGCCGGCTGGAACAGGGCGTCGTTGGACCGGCCCTCGTGACCCACGACGCGTCGCAGGCGCACCGGCAGCATGATGCGACTTCTTACACTAATCGTTGCTGTTTCACTGTTAGTAATTACGAACTGGATTATATTTAATTGTCAGCATTGCGCAAGCAGCTTTCGCCACAGTACTTAACTTATAATTTAATCATTTCAGTTTTAAACTTTCTAAGTCTCGAAAATAACACCTGTACCATTGCAAATGGTATAATTTTTTTTCATATGTTTTTGTTTTATGCAATCCGACAGACAGACAGATGAAACTACTGCTAATTTGCTTTCAATGTAAAAGGTTTGTTGAAAAATATGAAAATTATTTTTGCTATCATTATAATGAAAATTTTTAAAAATCAATGCTTATTGGTTGCATTTTGAGATTATAGTTAATGTGGTTCAGTAAGATTTTTAATGAGTACACAAGTTATAGTAACTAAATGCATTTATTAATTAAATTAAATTACACAACATAACTTTTGACTTAGATTCAATAATGTATCCTTAAATAAATTGTAAAATTAGTACACTACAGTCACTTTACATTCCGACTATTTTTTTGGTGATAGTATTTAGTGTCATTCATACACACAGTGATCTTCAGGGTAATATCATCCAGACAGTTCTTCAAATCCTCCCGTAACTCCCTGACCTTCACTCTGACATCTTCACACATGAGGTTGTAGCACATAGCTACTAGACCCATGCCCAGAAGAACATAGATGAAGTTGATGACCAGCTTCAAATGAGAGCCACCTGCCGAGTCAGCTATATTGGCACCTGGCACAAAGTCACCAAAGCCAATCTTGCACAAACTTATTACACAGAAGTATGTAGAATCCAGGTAGTTCCATTTCTCCCATGCTCCAAACATTATTGTCCCAGTGACTATGTAGAAAGATATGACCCACAAACAGGCTGTTGATGGCACTGTAATCTTCCGCTTCACCGGTTGCATTTCTCCATCTTCAAACAATGTGTCATCTCTTCTGCTGCACTCATGGGCAGTTATGTACAACCACTTGAACGACTGAGCTAACACCTTGCCCATATTACAGAAGTACAAAACATATATTGGTATACCAAAACAAGCATATGCTATAGTCACAATCTTGCCCCACACTGTCTTGGGTACAATATTCCCATATCCAATCATAGTGAACACTGAGAGGGAATACATGAGTGCTGCTGGGAATGACCAGATGTCCTCAGCTGACCGGCCATTGTAGCCTGTGTGAATGGCAGCTGTGATGTTATTTTGGAACACTTTGAGTACTTCATTCACTTTAATCACCCAGGCAGTTTCATTGAATAAGTTGTCTGTGATAGTGATGTTCCACAGGGCCTCAGCACAGTTCTGTCGGAGCCGCCTCACTTCATGTAGCTGCACATCAGGGCTATCTTTCTCAATGTGCATGAAGCCCGCCGCGCCTAGGATAGCGTAGCAAACAACAAGGGCGCCAACACCCACTTGTGTAAACATAAAAGCTATGAATTTTCTGAAACAGTCTTTTATCTTCTCTCTTGCATCACTGCCAACTGTTGATGAAGAATCCCTGCTCCTCATGGAGCCGTGGAAACTCGCGTTAAGTGGGTGGTGTCGGTCCATAATATATTGCTATGTCAAATAAAACAGGGAGTGGAGTAAACGGAAAATATCATCACGCCGGCATAAACTATTTCGGGACTATTGCTGGCAACGCGCCAATAGTGCTGTTTGACATTGATTACAAAACATTACAGTGTGAAACTCACTGGAACGTTGACTCGAAGTACCACGAAGAAGCGTTTTAAATATTGATTGTATTATAAGTTAGAAATCTATTACATGTATAGTAATTATAGTTTAATATTAGGTATATGCATCAGAGCATTTAAATAGATGAAATAAGAATAAAATTTGAACGTAATAATGGTTATTTAATGTAATAATTATATAAAACACAATAATATCGAAAAATCAATGATAAATATTGCAACTACTTACAATCACTGCCGAAATCGCAAATAACTATTGTAAATAGCATAGTTCATCACTAAAAATCTGCACTTCTATGAGATTTTGCTACAAAATTCACGTATGCTTGAAAAACTGACAATAATTGAACAAGAATACAAATTTATAGCTGTCCACTTCCACAATTACAAAATAAAAATAGACGTCATATTGTATTGATAAAAAATGACAGCGGCGAATAGCGACCATTGATTAATTTGTATGAGTTTTAGATTTCCATCCATTTCCAACTTTATGGCAATAAAAGGAAAATAAACTATACAGTAAATACGAATAATAATTCGTTTCATAAAAGACAAATTGTAGCAGATAAATAAGATTTGAATATTATTTTGTTAAAAATATATCATCATCGATTTTTAACTTGTTGAGTGTCATAATTTGCAATTTTTGAACGAACATTTCATTCATTGATTTTTCGGTAGTCTGTTGTGTAGCGTTCCAGGGAAAAATGTCATAGAATTTATGTACATGAAATTTGTGTATTCATTTTTCTTCAACTGTTTCCCTTAACGCTATCCTTCTGTGATGCTAAATAATTGGAATTTAAGTTCTGAAATGCGCAGAAAATCAAAAACCACACGTTTTCTTGGCGTTGTTTGTTATCCGGCGTTGCGTTTTTATTAAAGTTTATCATTTATTTCTGCAGTTACAAAATAAAATGTAGTGTGAGGTTACTGTCCAATGCCTGTACATTTGTTTTTATCCAAAATTTGTGAGTATTGCATGATATTTCCATTGTTATGATGATATGCGATTCCTCAATCCTCAGTGCTAATGGCTGAACAACCTAGAAGTTATTGATGAATAAAGATGGTCTAGTGAGGGCATGAATGTTTTACTAATAACTGTACAACGGTCCGTAAACTTGACCGTGATACATTGTCATTGATTTTGTAAGGATCAAGATGTTTCCTTCACAAAGCCCAAGGTCACAGAGATCGCTCATGCCGACATTTTTTTTTTCAGGCAATCTAAAATACAATAAACATGTAGCCGCAAATTAAATTACAGTAGGTACGATGTTTGCAATAGCAGCGTTCCCAACACCCATTTGACACCGATGTAGACTTATAGATGGATCATACTTAGCATAAAGAGTAGTGATGGCTTCACCGACTCAGCCGGACGCAGGCTGGATGGAGCAGGCAGAGATCGTGCTGGGCCGCAAGCTGACCTCCATAGACTTGGTCGGCGGGATATACTGCACCATCTGTCAGTCAACATTTAGTAACAAGAAAGAATACGACATTCATTATGTGGATCATGAAATTGGCGATGCCGACATTGGATACACCTGTGTCGTGTGTCGCAAACAGTTTACCGGCTACCCTAGCTTCCGTAACCATTGCTACTTGGCTCATGTTGCTAAAAACAAGCACAAGTGAGTACATAAAAAACTTGCAGTCTTGATTTTTTTTTGTTCAAAATATTGTCGTGCTAAAAATAAAGAATCTGAATCAGTCAATGATTCTAACAGTATGATTCATGCCAACCACTTTAGAATTTGTGGGAGGTGTGTTTTCTTTGAGCTGACTTTTATCAGCTCAAAAAGCTTTGCTACATCAGAAGAGTCCTGAGTCATACAGTGTTTTATCTGAAATAGTCTTTTCATGAAAGAAAATTAAGAACAACATAAGTTTGTTATACTGTATTTGTAAAGTCGTTGCTATGGCAATACAACCTGTGTACACTTGTAAATATGTGTTATTTGAACTCAATTAATTTGTATTTTTATTTCAGGTGTGAACATTGCTCCAGATCATTTTCGAAACAATCAATTCTGAACAATCACATTGACACAACTCACAACTTCAAATGTGAACCTTGCCAAAAATTGTAAGTTTCACTGAAACCCAACTTCTGGCTTCCCTGGTTTAGGCAGATATTGGTTATTAAATTAAAATTCAAAATTGCAGATTTCCATCTAAAAAAGAATTGCATACACATCAGATCATACATGGCAAGGACAAGCCTCCGTACTTTTGCCAAGAGTGTGGCCAGTCTATTGAAAGCATTGACATGTGCGAGTTCCACATAGACGAGCACTGCACCACTCTGTACACTTGCCCCATCTGCAACGAGACAAACAACAACAAGGTGGACGCTGCTAAACATCTTACTCATCACTTTGGCGAAGTACTTACCGACGAAGACATTACCGCTTCCAACATAGGGGACCACTGCTCCATCGATATCCTTGGAGGTGTCCTCTGTAACTACTGTGACGAATTATTCAAGAACCGAGTAGAGTTTGACACACATTTTACTACAGAACATGCAGATAAGCCACTGGTATACTCCTGCAACATTTGTGGGAAACAGTACGACAAGTATCATTTGTTTGGGAACCATTGCTATAATCACATGACCAAAGATAGATTTGAGTGAGTACAGTTTGTTATTGTTAAATATTCTACAGATATTTTTAAAGGTCAACTTAAAATGTTTACTATTTTGTTGTTAGGATTTGTCAATTAGAGGTTTAACAATCCTCAACCATTTGTCTACAATCATGTTTCCCCTCCATGCTAATTTGACTGAAAGGAATACATGCTTTCATTCCTAACATTTATCTTTGTCAATGTAGTCACTTTACTGATAAGTTATTATTGCATGTGGAATTTAATGCGTGATGATGTCAGGTGTACTGATTGCGGTAAGACCTTCCCGCGGCTGTCCCTGCTGGTGACCCACACGGAGGCCTACCACTCGGAGGGCTCCGGGGACAAGCCCTTCCTGTGCGGGGAGTGCGGGCACGGGTTCAAGTCCCCGCGCCGCCTGTGCCAGCACACGCGCGTCGTGCACGACACCAGCGCCATGCGCTGCCCGCAGCACGGCTGCCAGCTCACGTGAGGCCCTCGCTTGCTAGTGCATGCCGCTGCACGGCCCCTACTGACCAGACATGTTGTGCGGCAGGTTCGAGTCCCTGAAGGACTTGTTGCTGCACCAGCGCTCGCACCGCGCGAGCCGCGGGCCGTGGTGCCGCCAGTGCGGCCTGCAGTTCACGACGCTGTGGTCGTGCGAGCGCCACCTGGACGTGCACCGCAAGAAGAGCTACGCGTGCCCCGTGTGCGCGCGCACGTACCGCGAGAAGTACCTCATCCTCAAGCACATCCCGTCGCACTTCGAGTCCGTGCTGCACGTGTGCAAGGTGTGCGGCAAGGTGTTCTCGCTGCGCAGTCGCCTCGTGCAGCACTCCAAGACCCACTCCGACCTGCGCGCGCACAAGTGCTCCGTCTGCAACAAGGGCTTCATGAAGGCCTCGGTCCTGGAGCAGCACCTCAACATCCACACCGGCTTCCGCCCGTACAAGTGCACCGTCTGCCCCAAGACCTTCGCGAGTCATCCCAACTGGTACAAACACCTGCGCCGCGTTCACAACATCGACAAAGAAGATATCAAAAACAGTAAAGATAATCAGAACAAAACTATCACTGCTACTCGACCATCTCCCGTTACAGCAAACGACAATACCGATACTAAAATGAAAATCGAATCAGGAATCGATTCTACGAGCTCAGAAATGTCTATAGAAACAAATTGTTTTATGGAGTCGACGATAGTACGATGGATAGCCTCGATCCGACAATCATTGAGAAAGATTGGTGCATCTCGAATGAAAATTTCAAAATAGAAAATTTACAAGAAAATATACAGTATACAGTTACAGATATGCTGCCAGTAAATAACACTACATTTGACTTCGGTAAGTGGCCATCCCTTTACGATGAGGTCCCTGGAGTGAAAGCTTGTACCGACGCGCTAACGAGCTGGTATTGTATTGCAGACGTATCCCAGCTGGACAGCCTGGTGGCGGAGTACGGCGCGGCCACGGCGCCGGGCGGCGCGGGCGAGCTGCGCGAGTACGGGCCCGACTGCGGGCTGCCGGCGCTGGACCTGGACGACCATCTACTGCCGCACATAGACCCGCGCCTCACCATGAAGGCGCCGGCCGCGCCGCCCGCCTGGGAGCCGCTCATCACCAAGGTATACCACGGCTTCGACGACGCCGACATCAACAGACTCTCCATCCTCAACACCGACATATTTTGAAACACTGTACTCCCCCGTCGCACTCGAGTGTCCGACGTGCGATACCATATAAATAGTAGATGTTAATAGTGAATAAAATAGTATTGTACCGGCCGGGCGAGTTCGATCGCTTCGGATAGATCCTCCTGTATAGATATACCACAGTTCTGTTTGTGTTGCACCGGTGCTACGATCGAATCCGCTCGGCCACCCACACAGCTACCTCAGGCAAACTACTATATACCTCAGTAATCCATAGGAAATATTTTAATGTAACTGTTGATATATACATTTATATAACATAGATCCCACCAAACATTAGTTGGTTAATGTTCTTTAATCATATTCATAATAATGCTACCTCATTTAGTTGTTTAAGTTTATCGCGATAGATTGTTGCTTAAACGTATGCCTCGTCGTTCAGATGTAGAACAGAATGTAGTTATGTGCCATGTGATGAGGAGCTGGTGAGACCGGACTAGACACACGTACTGCGGGCAACATTCTGTCTCTGTGTCATTGGAGCTGCGGACATTTTGATACCGCCATGCACTACTGTCGCAGCCTCAAAAGAGGTGATTCAAATTGACTTTGACTCAGCGACACAAACTCGAATATAAATATGTATCACCGACTTGCTTCTCGACTTCACTTTGATCCAATAGGACCTTCCCAGGTTTTACTCGCATTTTTAATTCTTATTTAATGCGTACTACACCACGCTTGTCTCCTATAAAAGCAATTATACATGTTTCTGCAAGTCTCAGCAATGTGTATTGTTGAATGTGAAGGAGTATTTCATCTGTTAATAGTTGTTTCTGTAACAGATTCAATAGAATGAAAGCGGAATATAATTTCCATTTATAACCTTCCCACTGGATCAAAGCACATTGCCCGCAATATGTCCGTCTTACTGTTGAACGTTTCTCCAGCTCACGGTCGACAGACGCCAGTAAAATCTTTAAATTGCTGTTCTTTCGGTTCCAATATTGTATTATATTCGATTATTACGATCCAAAGTTAGAGTTAGACGATTTGGTGAACAAATTATTTGCATTTGTAAATATTTTGGTACTTGCGGCACTTGCATTTTCGACGCTTTTTGAGGCCGCCGTTGGTCGTATTTAAGTTTAGGATTCGAGGGATGTTAGGCAAGAAGTAATTTGACCGCTCTTTACATATCAGCTACGGCTGGAGCGTCAGTTTTGTAAGTGTGACTTGACAGAAATCATACACAGTCACTTCTAGTCCAGATGAGTTGTAGTCATCAAGTGTGTTGCCTAATGTTCTACTGAAAGATTCTTCTTCGATTGATGATGGTATGATAACGTATGTGCTATTGTACAGGGATTTAAGTAAGACCTAAAGTATGTTAGGAGCTAACAAGCATTCACTAGAGGAGGACGTGTCACCGACTGGTTCCACCTGTAGGTCGTCGTAGAAGTATCACGTCGGGCCAACGGCGGTGTGCTCATGCATTTGAATTTCGATTCCTTTATTATTATTGTTATTTTTATTGGGAAGTCGCGACGCCAAGCGTCGTGATTTTAGTGTAAGTGAATCGATAGTGCTGTGATATTTTTTATGTATATTTAGTATTAAGATTAGAGAGTGTAACGTAACGAGTGAGTACAAACAATGTTATAATCGCGCGATGCGGCGATTCGGAGATAGAAACCCGCGGCCCGCCCCCGGCGCACTATGCACAGGGAGTAGTGGAGTAGACACGCGACCATGCGAGCGTTGGACCGCCACCGCCGCGCTCTGCATGGTCGGGGCGGGGCGGGCCGCACACCTAGTGCATTCGGAAATAGAGAAGTAATGTTGCTACATAACATGGATGCGCGAGCATTCTAAATAAATCGAAGGAAACAGGTGTTGCCACACCAAAAACAAGAATAACTTGACAATGTTTACTTAAGCAGGATCAAGCTGCAAACTTAAAATGTTGATGTAAATGTTAAAAAAAGAGTAAAGAAAAATATTTAACTCCGAAATATATTTTGGAGAGAATTATTTACAAGTGTGGAGGAGAGGGGTCTTAGTGATAAAGATATCCAAAGACTGCTAGGTATTATAAGTTCTTTGAACTTGAAATTCGACTTATAAGTCAGGGATTTATGCGGAATAAAGTCAGACGTAACGAAAGCAAATATGTAATAGACAACGGCGTAGCTATCGGATAATCATAGGCTTTGACACGAAAACGACAAAATTAAAAATGAAGCAAGTATTTGGCGCCTCGTGACACCTGCAAAGGTATAGGGCAGAGTTGCATTGATCACACACGACCTGGTACACACGGCCGAGGCCGATGTTAGCATGAGCGGATCCAACGATCCCATGCTTTGATAATTACAAAAATGTAAAATTAAGCGCATGCGCTAACCGGGCAAGTGGAATGTCCGGCTAGCAATGGCGCGACCAATAACCACGCTAGATTGGTTCCCCAATTGGCGGCTGCGCGGTGGACGACGAATTAAAAAAAAACATAGTATAAATAAAATATCTTCATGTGGCGTTAAATTGTACAAGTTTTGCCAAGTCGATGATAGCAGTATTCTATGTCTTTTTGTCGTGGTCGGTGTTTGTAAATCTGTATGTCTAATCTAAATTATAAATATAAGAAAATGTATAAAAAATGTCTCCACCGCGCGACTCGTCCAATCGCTGTCAGTTCCGTGCGAGCTTGTGACAGTTATAATATACATAGCATTAACTCACATACAATATAAGGATGTCTTAAACCTCACCTGAGGCTTTCATTATTTCAATATAAATAGTACTTATTTCAAACTTCTGTATTCATGAATACCATTTTGATGTTAAAATTTGTTGCAAAGGGGACAATTGCATATTTTCGCGGTAAACAAACCGAATACAGGTTATTACAGTAGTAAATAAAGTAAGGCTGGGTACTAGTAGCGCAGTGAACTATTATAATATTAGGATCGGGCAAAAATGGTGTGAGAGTTACTCACCATAGCAGGATGAGCGCTATAAGTTACAAGACATGCTGGTTCATAGCAGGCATTTTACAACGAGCGCCATGCAGCCTCATGCACCGTGTATCCTGTCAGGTCTGCAAACAGTTACTTGCATTGCATGAGGTTCAATTAACGATGCTAGATTCTATTATTATATCCAAGTATATGTAAATAAGTGAATTCCAGGGCTCAAACCCACGATCTATATGCAACGGTTTCAATTGAACACTAGTTCAATAAGCTTCGGTCGATGGCTAAAAATGTATTGGCTCCAATACTTCTCTGCCATTGACAGAACACGTTTAGGCTTATTCTTGCACCATAACTTAGAACGGAGCTCGATATCGAAGCATCTTGCTTTCGCTTCACGTGCTGGTTGTGGCTACTCCTCTCTAATAGTGTCCGGCCGGTAGCTGAAGTAGATGTACTGCGAAACATTGATCTTGATGACATAGATCTCGTTCAGTGAGAGTAGGCCTCCAACTCAGCCGATCGTCGGGGCGAGCCTCAGAGGTTCATTCCAACCCGAAATTGTCTCATTGTACCCTTTGCGACCGTATTTGTCCCTAGCTTTTAGGTGTTAGGTTATAGTCGAACACAGGGTATTGTGGTTCTATTTTAACGGAAGTGTTAAAAAACGATTAGTAAGCGACACACATCGCACCCGAAACATGATGGCTAACATAATACTACCCCAATACCCAACAAGTGTACAATATAGGTACCGTTCTAAATCTGTGTTAAAGTGTAAGGTGTACAGGCCGGGTTACGATTATACTTACAGGGATATCTAAAACGAATTTTGAGAAATACGTACGACATATATACATGTGTAGACCGCGATACTCGAGGTATTGCGATAACTGGCAAACGAATTCCTTAAACTTCGTTTTGTAATAAAATGATATCAGATTTACAGTCTATGTTCATTTCAAATGTGGTAGGACGTGCGACGGATAGTACTGAGAGAGCAGGAGTAGGAGTCGTCAACTACTGATGACGTTAGTATACGGAAGGTGGCTTAGCCAATTTGATATGAACGTATTCATAGAAGGTAAAGTTATAGAAGATATTTTTCAAATGAATATTTAAAAGATGTATTAAGTAAAATATTTGGAAATATGTAAAGTAAGGTACTGTTGTGAAGTTTATCAAAACCCGGTCGACGTTTCATGTAGTAAGCTAAATAAATTACTTTTTCATTCGAAATTCTTCATTTTAGAGATTTAAAGAAGTAAAATGCATAATAAGTATACATAGTGTAACGAACCTGCTGGGTTATTTGGCGACGCATTTTGGTATTGTGAAAATATTTTGTACATAATTCTGTAATCAATTTTATCCTTGACACCTAATTCATCTAAAATGTATTAAACTATTGTAAATGTACTTATTTTGCCGGCAAGACTATTTTATGCCAATGTGTTTTATCGTGAAATTATTTTAACATGACGTATTGTTTTGTTTTTTCGTATTCGATCAACTTTGTAATTCTTTTTATCATCCAATGATTATGAGTGTGATTTTTTTTAAATTCAAGTATTTTAAGTAGCTGCATTTTGTATTGTATTTATTGCTCACGTTTAAACGCATGTATGGTACATGAAGTTACGTTGGCTTTTTATGAACATAATAGTTGGAGTCTTGTCGTCTAAATATGTAATCGGCCTAAGGCACATTGATGTTAGGCTGCTGACTAGTCGGCCATGATTTCATCGAGCTTACGTGAGCGAATTCTGATTTTAGTAATTTTTAGCCAAATCATGGCCTACTATGCGTTCTTAGATGGAAAGGATATTGATAATCAGCTTTTTCGCTTTGATGTTTTTAAAACTTTTGACATGATATGTATACTTTTAAGAAACTGTATTTTTTGTGCGTCAAGCTTCTAATTGTAAATAAAAACGCTGTTACATTTTTTCTACTATTCGATAACTGTACGGGATTATTTTAAGACGTAGTATCATATAGTTAGCCAGTTAACCTGAGCAGAAAAATGTGCAAGTTGGAATGTACTACTAGCGGAAGGCGGCCGCCGATACTTGTGCACTCTTCTGTCCGGGCTCAGTATATAAGTAATGTACCGAACTACCTCTGCATGCCTCCATGGATAACAGTAATTATAGATTTCTTTTTTGTTATTATTGCGAAGTAACTTTACATTTACACATATATTTTGTACGTTATATTAAACAGAGTAATTATAAGGGACATAGGTTTTACAGTTATATATTATTGCTATAATCAATATTAAGAGTTGATGTGTGCAAATTAGATTTTGGTTTTATGTAGGATGCTACTCAAATCTGAATGGAAATTATTGATCCTTATACACTTCATAATACAATCTGACTAGTTCAAAATAATGATGTTTCATTTATTTTCTGTTTACCCTGATTTACACTCATTTTCAGAGTTTTATAAATTTAGGTAAACCAATACAATATATCATACATTGATTCAAGAAGATTAGGTCATGCTTCAGTTTAGCCGTCTTTGACGATGGATGGATGCAAGGAAAAGGCAAAGGATATCTACAAATAATACAAAAAGATTGCGGTAAGTATCCTTTATTTACCATCAAATTACGCACCTTAAATCTATGTATTTATTTAACTATATAAAACTGGCTTATTACATGAAAATGATGGCGTTCGCTACATCGTGTGGTAGAATAAAGAAATTATCTATGCGACTACTAACTACATAATAGAGGAATCAGTACTAATCATGACATTACATGATTATTTATAGTCCATCTGTTTAGGTAATTAACTAAAGGTAAACAAAGAAAACCACGTGACACAGAGATACTTAACCTACTATTACTTCAAATATTTCTCGTGTTTTAATTTTAACCAAATTCACTTTAAACTCGTTCATTTGTCATACACACAACACAACTACAAATGCCTAAATCGTACAAGAGCCTTGCCTATGGGTCTATTTCATTATCATGTTTAAATAGAAACTATTCTGAATCTGATGTACGGATTTCTTTCTTGTACGGATATGTGTCTTTGGGCCAAGTTTCTTCAAGATATTTGAACACATTAATTACAAACGATGAATAACCTAAACTTGAATAACTTAATAACGAAAACAAAACAAAGAAACAAGATAAATTCAACAAAATAGGAACGCGAGCGCAAACGACGAGAGAGCTGTCAATGGCGCCTGATTAACCGACTAAACGTAATACACGCTACTTTCATTGTCGCGCTACATCTTAGTTGTACTCTTTAATTTGACAACATTATTTTGCTTCGTTCTTAAAGAAAAGTTTTGGATACCTGGGATTTTAGGCTCTTTATGGTGTCTATTGTAATGAAATATTATATTATTTAATAAATGTTATTAAATTAATATCCTCAAGCAGATATATATAATATTTACTAAGAAATAAGTGAAAAGGAACAGAAACATAACATTTAATAGAGAAAACTGTCGTAAAACGGAAACAATTTTATTTTCTTATGAAGTATTTTGAATCATGGAAATGTCAACTATAAAGAACTCTTTTTATGGTTTGTTTACAAATAGTTAACTACCTAAACAGACGGAGTATAGGTAATAATGTTTAGCTATAGGTATATTTATTGGTAGATGTGTAACTGAGGTCGCGTCTCCATCGTGCCCGATGTAATGGAACAACTTGTAAATCGCGATCAAGGAAACGCTCTTCTCTTTGATTTAAAACTTTTACTTACAAAAACTATCTATAAAATACTTTGAATGGAAGAAAAGCAATAGTTGGCGATTACTATTACAAAAGTTCTACGATTTTCCTGCAGAAATAGGTATATTTCGTAAGTGAAAATCGCAAGGCGATCTAACTACAGGAAGCCAGTTAAATAATAACCTAAAGTTACTGTTACAATCGATGCGATCCACTTTCTGTGTAAAAATTACGTTCCTTACGCCGAATTTTCTAATCCCGCTTAACTAACATTAAAACTGACTAGACGTAAAACTGAGACAATGCGTGACCACTGAGCGGACGTCTCGAATGGAGGAGCCACCTCGTCGCGTCTCAATGTTTACTCCAAAGCGAACATTTCCATTGTAAATTTTATGAAAAAATATACAAATTGCATAACGGTAACCTTAACTATAATTTAGCGGGGATATATTTACAATAGCCATACACGATAGTATTTATAGTGAGAAAACGTTCATGTTTTTACTACAAATTCCAGTGTTACGACTGGAAGAGAATTTAGAGGAACGTGGTCACTAAATGATAGTATTGTTAGCAAGGTATTGCTTTCGGGCAGTTAGAACGCGACTTAAAATATAATCGAGATACACCAATAAACTATGATCTGTATAAGCCGACATAATTCCACAAGGAACAAGCCTTATTACATAATATATTTTCTAGTTTATCGATCTCGATACATTCACAAATAATGAAGTATTATGCGAATAAAAAGAATTGTGACTATGTCTTTCAATATATCTCCTTATAAAACTAAAATTGCAGTCGAAATAAATCTCGAACATAAAGTCTCTAAAATAGGAATAAATGCATCAAATATACAAAAGAAATTAATGTAAATGATGAAATAAAAAAGGTCACTAACTGAATTTTCACTCTAGAACAAGTTCACAATCAAGATTCAAGTTATACTAATATTTATTTATTATAATTACTGGTACTCCTATACAAGTGCAATAAGTGCAAGTTTACAATACATATGAAGTTTAGTAAGCTGTTAATCAATATTGCACTTTATTTCGTTGATGGTAATCATAATTTCGTTAGTATCACAATATGTTAATCAAAGGAGTACCACGACATTACGGATCAAACGCTTCAGAAAATTTTGAGTAAGCTATATTAGAATTTTGTGAAATGTTTGAATCAGTAATGTTGATAATCATCTAAGTGATAATATAAGATGTAGGTTTAAACATCTGTTTGAAAGTGTTCGCCTATTAACTGATGTAAATATTTTAGAACTGTGTTAAATCATATTGATTGTCAATTAGCACAGCTACGTCTCATGATTTAAAGATAATCAAGAGAAGTTCACTACAGCAAGTATAACGAAAAGCTATCGCGTATCATTTTACAATTTCTTCACGCGTACATTATGGTCCAATTCCGTTAAACTGTAATAGTGAAGTATGAATAATTGTAGTTTAATACAATACATCGTAATTGACCGGAGTTTACACAACAATGCGTAGTAGGCCTTACAATAATATTACATGAAATTGTAATTCAATATTGTTGTGTGTAGTCATGAGGTCAAATAGAATATTGAGTGATCAATCAGTTCTCACACAAAACACTTGATTATATTTCATGCACGAATTAAAATGATCTTAGTCATAGACCTCATAATACTATAAGAACATTATAATCACATAACACGCATATTTACGACGTAATCTGTCCACCGGCAGGTTTCCTGGTAAAAATCCTAGTGTTCGTTTTTTTAGCACTGTTCACTGGCCCTGCGGGTTTACTCGGCGCAGTTTTTGGCCGCAAGCTGGGTATCTGAGATACTCTTATACCTATAGCAGACTTCTGCTTAGGGGCTGAAGACACTTGCGCCTTCGGCTGCCCCTCGAACGTAGAGCTCCGGATGAGTTTGGGTGGTTCAGTTTTATCAGCTTCGATCCAAACTTTCTTTTCTGCCTTAGCTGGCAACTTTTTCACTTGTTCTACTTTCTTCCACAAACTTGCTATTTTACTCTCGATGTCTTTGGAGTTCGTTTTAGAAGACTGTATCGAGTTGACGCTGGAGGTGCTGCCTTGTCGCGAACTTCTCGATGCTATAGTGATAGTCTTGCCACTCTCATTACTCTGCAAGCTGTGATTGGAAGCAGAGTTCTTCATCGTCGGTTCAGGCCTTTTCGTGACCCGTGATGTTGAAGGCTTGGGTTGATTGACTTTAGTGGGGGGAGGAGGTCGTGTGCGGTTGAACTGTGGAAGCCTTGAAGGAGATGTATTGTTTTTATTAGGAGTGGGTCCCTTAGACGGCCGCGGAGCAGCGGTCTTTTTATCAGGGACGGGAACAGGTAAGTCCTTAGCAGGTACAGAACTCTCCTCCTTGGTAAATGTGCCCTGTCGTTCGAGAGGTAATGGTTTAGTGGCAACTGGAGGAATACAAATTGGTTTCTGTTGTAATTTAGTAGGGGACTTTGTAAGAGATTTTTTAGGGGAAGTAGTAGCACTGGATGCTTTAGTCACGGAAGGTTTGGGAGTTTTGGCACTAGTGTGGGCTTTGACAGGGTTCGTGGGTTTAGGGGGAGCACTTTTCGGAATGGGTTTAGTTGGAGTGGCCGCGGCCTTTTTGGGTGTGGCGGAAACGTTTCGCCTGTACGGCGAGACATACAATGCCTTCTTTCTTCCCCTAATAGCTTTAGGTGTATCATTCTCTTTGTCCAAAGACTCGTTAGAGTCTAAACTTTCGTCGCGCCGAGCCGGCTTTATAATTTTCGGCTTCGGTCGAGGTGTCTCCGGGTCTGACTCGGATTGTGCTTTATCTTCCGAGTTGCTGTCGCCCTCGTAGCTCGCGAAGTCACTACTGCTCGGGTTCTGTTCTTATCGCATTGCATTTGTACGGTGCGTTTATACGAGGCAGTCATCTCGATGTTTTTAAGATTGTAAACAACGCACATGTCGACTGCAGCGGGGCTTTCAATCACAGGCAAGTAATTCCTAAAGCTCTTTGTGTAAGTCTGCATCTGTGTAGAGTTGAGCTCGAAGTCGTCTTCATTGTGTCCACTGTCAGTTTCCCGTGAGAACACGTCGTCGTCGTGCCTGTCGTCTGATATTTGCTGGTGGTTCAGCTCGTTGGAGGACAAGCTGTCATACCCAGTGGTGGTTTCCACGTTTTCAAAGTTTGCATCTTTTGTTACAAACGTGGGAGAAGGAGGGATGTCTTCGCTCAAAGTCCTCGTTCGGAATCGTTCGGCATCTTCTATACGTTTTTGTTTCATAGTCTTTTTGGCTGCTAGCCGTTGTTTCAGGCTCTCCAAGTGAGGGTCCACCACCTTTTGTTGTGGTTCTGGCGGTAGGATGGTGTGTATGTCAACAGTTTGAGTTTGGTACCTAGCTCTGTCTTCCAACCTCCTCTGTTTGGCACTCAGTTTCCTCCTCGACTTTACCTCTGACGTTGCAGTCACATACTCGTCAGATCGGTCGCTCTCTGATTTAGTCCACGTGACAAATTCTTCCTCAACTTCAAGTACAACATCACTCTCAGCCACCGTGTCTGTAATGGTGTATGTTTGGTATCTATCTTTAGACACGTGTCTCTTTTCTTTCGGGGTCAAATATTTCGGATCTCTCTGTCTCTTCGGTGTGGACTCTACGCTACTGATATCTGA